AAAACTTTAAATGGTACAAGAGTAAATTGCATTTATTTGAGAAGATAAGGAAATAAGTTACTAATTTTCGAAAAAATCGGCATACTTTTATTTATGTGTGATCATTAACTTTATTTTAATATCAATTTCAAGTTTATTTACTCAAACACCGGGTGCTGCCTAAAAGGGGGCGCCGGCGCCTTTTTAATGCTTTCTCCAACAATATCGTATCTTTCTTTTGCAGTATTTAGACCTGTCAGTAGTAGCTAGTCTTCAGAAAGCAGTATTTTATCTCCACAAAGCAATTTTAGTCTTTAGAAAGCAGTATTTAGTGTTCCAGACGCTGTATTTAGACCTGTCAGTAGTATCTACTCTTCAGAAAGCAGTATTTAGTCTTCTAGAAACAGTATCTAGTCTTCTGTCAAGGTTATGTATGTTTTCTCCAAAATATTTTATCTTTCTTTTGCAGTATTTAGACCTGTTGGAAGTATCTAGTCTTCAGAAGGCAGTATTTAGTCTTCTAGAAGCATTATCTAGTCTCCTGCCAACACTATGTATATTTTCTCCAACAATATCTTATCTTTCTTTTGCAGTACTTAGACCTGTCAGCAGTATCTAGTCTTCAGAAAGCAGTATTTAGTTTCCACAAAGCAATTTTATCTAGTCTTCTGCCAAAGTTATGTATGTTTTCTCCAATATATTTTATCTTTCTTTTGCAGTATTTAGACCTGTCAGCAGTATCTAGTCTTCAGAAAGCAGTATTTAATCTTCCAGAGCAGTATCTAGTCTTCAGAAAGCAGTATTTAGTTTTTTAGAAGTAGTATCTAGTCTTCTGGCAACGTTATGTATGTTTTGTTCTTGATACTGACAGCTATCATCATCTTTTTGGGAGCCTCTTATTATCTATACGGATCTTGTACCACCCGGTACCTCATTTCTGCAGCTGTTACTTGGCTTTTGTGCTTATCCTGCATTGGCAAAGTTTCCATATTGGTGATTTCCTGTCCTGTGCAATAACAAGACAAGTCCATTTGTTTCTTGTTCATATTCTTCGCATTCTTTTATTGAACACATAAGTATTGCCATGGAAAATCATGTTTGGTTTATAATCAATTTTTTGTTTTCTCTGAACAGTAATTTCAGACCTCATGTGGACTTTGAACAATGTAATTCCTGTTTTTTGTTGAAGTCTAGTTTATAACTATTGCAATTTCAGACTTTTTCTTGCAGATATATAGGAAAAAATTCATTAATGTTAAATCTGGACTCCTAGGAGGCCACTGAACTGGTCCTTCTCTCCCAATCCAGTGGTCTGGAAACGCACGGTCTAACTGGCATAATGTGCTGGGCATCAATCTTGTTGAAAATGAAATGAACGACTGTATTCTAATGGAAGATTGTCTATTTCACCGTCGAGGAAATTTCTTAACATAGCTAAATAACTATTCGCATTACAAGTAGTGTCAAAGAAGTATGGCCCTATTATTCCGTAATAAGAAATGGCGCACCACACATTTACTTTAACACAGTGCTGACGCCTCCGTGGTATTCGAAAATGCTCCAATATCGTGCAGAGCCACAACACCATTGGTCGAAAAAGTTGATTCATCAGAAAACATTATTTTCTTATGAAATCCTCTTTCAATATTGCCAACCCACAAACCGAAATCCAAACGTTTTGCTTTATTGCCGACTTACAAAACATGACTAAAAACTGGCTTGTATGGATGTATCTTGTTGTGTGTTGATCAGTGATGGGCGCTGGGTAAATACTCGGCGGGTATTTATTCAACAATCCAAGACGTATTATCATTAGACGAATTTGTCGTAATTTAGATTAGATCAAGTTATTATGATTATTACCATCAAGCAGCCCTCTGAGTCCATTGTTGGACATAGACCTCCCCTATTCTGTTCCATTCGATTCTATTCTATGCCGTCTGAATCCAATTGTTGGTCATTCTTTAGACGTCTACTTCGTTTGTTCGCTCGCGGTCTCCACTCAACGAACCGTTTTGTCCACTGCTCATTCTTCATTCGCGCGACATAACCAGCCCAGTTCCACTTAAGCTTTGCCACAATGTTGACCACATCTTTTACGCCGGTTCTTCTTCATAGGTCTTCCTTTCAAATGTAGTCCCTCAGAGTTAGACCCAGGATCGACCTCTCCATCTATCTTTGCGTTACTTGGACCCTCTTGGCAGTGACTATCGTTAATGTTAACCTTTTCTCTTGAAGATGTCTCTAAGTTTCCCATACGAGTGTGATCCTTCTGTTTAGTTCGCTTGTTTGATTATCTCTCGATACACGAACCTCATAGCCAAGATATACATAGCTGTCAACCCTCTTTTGTAGATGTTATAAATAAGTTTGGTATATCGATAATCGACTCTGCATTCTTGAAGTGCTTGCAAAACTGCCATCAACTCAATTTAAATTAAATTTTATAAATATCTCTAAATACCCATCTTGGGTAAATACCCCCGGGTATATATCCAGGAAATTTACCCTTGAAAATTAATACCCAGGTAGTTAACAACACTGGTTTTGACATCTTCTGAATTTGCGACTTTTTAACAAATTGGAGATTTTCAGCTCTTCTTCTTAATGATAATTTCGGGTGTTCCTCTACTGAACGTAATACCAACAAAGTGCATCATTTTCATCGTATCTCTTCTTTTCTCTAGGTATTCGCAACAATTACCCAGTGCTTAATACCTTCAAAATTATTTTGCAGCAGTCTCAGAAACGTCCACATTGGGGAATTTTTCATTAAATTCCTGAATAACTCGACGATAACATTTTTCGCCTTTCCCATGACATTTTAGCATTTTAAGCTGACAATACTATGGCTAATAAAGTATAAAGCGAAGTGTCAATAAAGTTTGTCACTATCAAGGCCTATTAGTACAAAAATGATCAGAAATATTATATGATCAAATATCAGATACCTTTTACTTTTGAATAACTTTTTCTAGTAACTTATTTCCTTATCTTCTCAAATAAATGCACTTTACTCTTGTAAAATTTAAAGTTTTTTAAATATTCTGAACACCGTGTATAAAATATGTTAAATGTTTCTATCCCAATGTAACTCTAAGAACCATAAATTATTATTAAAATTTAAGATAATTTAAAAATGTTAAAATAAAAATTTTTATTCGTTAGTGAAATTTTAACTTGTACTAACCTGGTGTGAGATGACTCACAGGTAGGTCAGACGGAGATGATCGGGCGTCGGGACGTAAGAGGGACGACGACGGACGCCGCCGAACGGATGTAGGGCGTCCGGAAGCCAATGAGATTTGGAGTTCGGACCGACGCCCGGGCGACGCCAGCGTCGTAGTCACGGCGACGCCCTCTGATACAGACAAAGCGGGGACGACGGACGTCGTCTGGGGCGTCTCGGCGCCAGAAACCACCGAGTTCACGCCCTTATGTCAATTATAATGCGTTACTGAACTAGATTTTATCAGTAATTTCATTTCTAAAAATATTTATGTATCCTAAACTTTTTAATTTATAATTAAATTTTTTATCTCGCACAAAATTTAAAGTGCTATAATTTACATCGACATTTTTATGAAACTGTTTTGACTATTTTTAGCACTATGTCTATCTACAGTGTGACCCGTTTGAAAGCGGAACACCCTCGTAAAATTTGTATTTATTATCCGANTCTCCACAAAGCAATTTTAGTCTTTAGAAAGCAGTATTTAGTGTTCCAGATGTTGTATTTAGACCTGTCGGCAGTATCTAGTCTTCAGAAAGCAGTATTTAGTGTTCCAGATGTTGTATTTAGACCTGTCGGCAGTATCTAGTCTTCAGAAAGCAGTATTTTATCTTCCAGAGCAGTATCTAGTCTTCAGAAAGCAGTATTTAGTTTTTTAGAAGTAGTATCTAGTCTTCTGCCAACGTTATGTATGTTTTGTTCTTGATACTGACAGCTACTTCTTTCTGGGTGTCTATCATCTTTTTGGGAGCCTCTTATTATCCATACGGATCTTGTACCACCCGGTACCTCATTTCTGCAGTTGTTACTTTACTTTTGTGCTTATCCTGCATTGGCAAAGTTTCCGTATTGGTGATTTCCTGTCCTCTGCAATAACAAGACAAGTCCATTGGTTTCTTGTTCATATTTTTCGCATTCTTTTATTGAACACATAAGTATTGCCATGAAAAATCATGTTTGGTTTATAATCAATTTTTTGTTTTCTCTGAACAGTAATTTCAGACTTCATATGGACTTTGGACAATGTAATTCCTGTTTTTTGCTGAAGTCTAGTTTATAACTACTTTATTTTTTTAAATGGAACACATATATTTTTACATATTTGGATCTGTTTTCAAGATTTATGAATAACTTTACAGGATGTTCCAAAACTCCTAATTAAAATAACTCAAAAACTAAAAGCACCAGATATCAACATGTCTCATCACAGTCAATACATTTTTATACAGGTTGTTTCTGTAAGTCGTGTTATCACCAATACTAGAATCATAACGATGACAATTCGTGTAAAAATGTTTGGTTTAACCAAACTTCTGATAAACACCCTGTATAATAACATCCAATAGTATTAGCGGCGTTCGAAAGACTCTATCTTTGTTTATGCATTTAAAATTTGATATGTAAAAAGATACAAAGTTCCATTTAAAAAAATTAAATTGAATACGATCCTGGAATAGCAAAACATCCTGTATACATCCTATAACATAAAAACATTTTTTTAATTTTCAACAATAAACCCACTATCTTCCGTCCTCGCATTGACTCACCCTGTATAATAAAATCTATATCATTCCATTTAAACTAACATGTTTATTTTGATACGTCGTTATGAAACATCCTGTATGTATAAAAATAGTTTCAACTTTTCTCCAAAGAAGAACTTTTGTATTTTACCGCTTATTTAAGACACCTGTATATTTAGCCCCGCTGTAGATGTTAGAACAGGTTAAAAAAAGGGTTAATAATGAAATTCCCTCAATATTTCACCTTAATTAATACCACATATTATTTTATTTCGTATTACTTACTCTTTAAATTGGCTTCAAACGCGAATAAAATAATCTGATTTACATTATCTAACTTTCAACACAAGAACAGCCGGTTAAAAAAAAACTGCGATGTTTTTGCCCGAACAAGTTTTCGTTGCTAAGCAACCTACAATCGCAACTAAGGGAAATTAACCTAAAAAGGTTGAAAAAAAAGGTTGAAATTATTAACTTAAAATAAATGAATGATTTAAAACAAGCTTTATTGGTTAAAATAGTACTTTAACGAGAATAAAAATAAGATATTTATGTTATTTACGTGTTGATTTTAAATTATTAAAAAAACTTACGTTTTTGTCCCTTTTCAAACACCAAATTAAAAAAAACGTGATTATTGATAACTTTACAGAACTAAACACTGAATTTGATTAAACCAAACTTAAACAAAATTAGATTAACTATAATTAAAACTTTCGTTGTTGTAATGGCGACGATTGTTGGTTTTCTGATCGTCAATTATTTTAAAAGACGCCAAGTTATAAATCAACGCCACCTCTGGTTTAATAAGGCGATTCAAATAAGAACCAAGAGATGGCGCTACCTAACTAATTTAATTTTTTAAAATTATTTTAATTAATTATTCTTATTAATAAACTTAGAATAAATTAATTGAGCGACAACGCAATCTTCTACGGCCATTCCCAAACTTTGAAAAACCGTATTTTGTTGATTAACAGGATAAGGTTCAATCTTTTCAATTAAAGCACCAATTTCGTTTTTAAAAACAACCCCTTTTTCGAGTAAATGTTTTAACTCCTCTTTCGCCCCAGATAAATGATCAACATAAACGTGAGCATTCTGATACGTTTCCAAATCAATTTCCATCGGATTACTTCCAGCACCAACGGCTAAAATATAAATTAATTATTAATTTAATTATAATTAATTAATTAATTACCGCAAATGTGATAACCACTTTTTAACCACTCAAACTTTAAAATTGGCTCTTTAGCGTAAGTTGTTGTTATAACAACATCGGCGTTTTCAACGCAACTTTTTGGATCAGAAACTAATTCGATTTCATTTAGCCCCAATTCTTGTATTAATTTTTCAACATTTTTTTGGGTTCTTCCCCAAATCTTCACCTTTTTGAATTTGAAAAAATGTTGGAACGCTAAGATGTGAATTTTCGCTTGTATTCCACTTCCTAATATTGCCAAAATTTCCTTTTTCGGTTTATTCATTGTTAAATATTTAGTTGCAACAGCCGAGGCAGCCGCAGTTCTCCAAGAAGTGATCTCAGTGGCGTCAATAACCGCTTGAAGTTGTCCCGTTTCTTGATTAAAAAGTAAAATGTTTGCTAAAATCGATGGTAATCCTTTTTTGGTGTTCTCGGGGAACGAAGTAACCAATTTACATGCTAAAGCGTTAATTTCGGCGTTATTTCCAATAAATCCTGGCATCGAAAAGAGGATGTTTTGGGTTTCTGGTATTTGGGTCAATGAACGAGGATTTTGAATTACCCGCTTTTTTGTTACACTTTTTAATGCGATTTCGATCGCTTTAAAGATTTCGTCCCAGTTTAATAAGGTTAAAACTTCTTTTTCGGTTATGTATAACATGTTCTTCGTGGGTTTTTGCAATATTATGTAATTATTAATAATAACAACAAAAATTATGATAAGTTTAGGCTTGGTTTATATCATTACAAAAAAAAGCATTTATTTTAAAGAATTATTTTTAAATTCTATTAACTAAGTTAAATAATTGTTTAAATAAATGTTTTTGTTTCAATTTGTACTTTAATTTTTTCATAAAAAGTGTTTAAAGAAAATTATTTGTATCGTATCAACTAAGCCTTAAAAAAATTTTGGTGACGCACCCTAAATAAAGATTAACGTGTTAATTAGTAATTAATTAATTATTAACGCAAAATTGATTGTAAATGATTGTTTTATAAACATTTTTGGATTAAAAATAATTAATTAATAATTTTTAATCGAATCAACAAAAATAATTTGACGTGGCGTGTCAATAACCTCAAAAAATTTTCCCACCTAACCTTGATTTCCGCACATTGCGCACCAAGTTATTAATTTCCTTTAGTATTATTTAATTAAACCGTTTTAGAATAATGGATGTTTGGCAAACAACGGAAGATATGGATTTCGATTTGTTCACAATATCGGAATTTACCGATGGGCAAAGATACGAACCTCCAACTCCAACGTTAATGACAACAAAAAAAGGTGAAAAAGTGATATCTACAAGACCGAAATTTAAAAGTTTGTACGATTTCGATGATTTATCTGATATGGACGAAGTGGAGAGGCAAAAACTCGCGAGAAAACATTTACAATCAGCAGGGAGAGGTTATGTTGTGAAAAAATATCAGCACATGAACAAAGGAAATAACGTGATGTCACCACGTGTTTTGGCGCAAACGGAACGCGATATACGAGAAGTTTGTCCAATGGGTTACTCGAATGAGATTATTGAAGCTGTGTATAAGAATGCTAAGGATGAAATACCGACAAATGAAAAATTCAAATTTATTCCAAGCTCGGATATAACCAAAGGGGCGATTCCAAAAAAATTAAATGAAAATACGTCTTCTAACGATTTACCAAATGGATTTATTGAATATAATGTAGACTCCAATTTAAAATTAAGCGATAATGGTGAATTTCCAAAGTTGTAAGATCTTTTTTAAACAGCTGTCTAAGTGTTGTAATATTTGTATTGCAATTTGTGATCGATTTTTGACTTAAGCACTTTTGCAATCTTGTTGACTAAACTATTATTTGGTGTTATATAGTGATAAAGACATTAAACATTACCAAATATTAAGATATTAAACAGCTGGTTAAAAAAATGTCAAGACTCAAGAACCAATGTTATTCAAACAAAGGATGTATATATATATTAATAATTAAATAGTATCAATTGTTTTATAATTAATTTGTTGTAGAAAAGAAAATATATTTTTATTACCATTCAAATTTGTTTTGAATGTGCAGGAAATTGTGGGGATTAAAAATGTTAAAACTATAATTAAAACTTTTTAAATTCTTAGCTGCTATTTAAAAATTGGAATCACCTTTTAAATTAAAAAAACGATAATATACCAAGGGTTGATTTACTGTTTTGACAATTATCGAATACAGGGAACTGTAAAATATGTTGGTAAAATAAAAATCTGTACGAAAGGTAATTTATATAAATAAATAATAAAATTGTTGAAAAAAAAGCGATTTTTATTTCTTCCCACCTAATAAACAATTAATTTTATGTTTAAATTAACTCAAATTATTATTAATTAAAAATATATTGCCGAAAAAAAGATAGATTGAAAAAGTTATAAATTCATATTTTATATTTCCCGCTAATTACTCCTGGTATTTTAATTTACCTCCTCGATTTGATCTCATAATATCGAGAAGTTATTTCTCAAAGTTTTAAAGCGGGAATGTTTATAGTATTCAGTTGACAGCTGTACATTGGGTTGCATACTTTTAAAAATAATTTGAAAATTATCAATTTTATTAGTAAAGTATGTTTTATTAATCTTTTAGGTTACAAAAAACGTTTTTTTAGGCACAATATTCATTATATTATTAAATTAAGGTTACTTTAAACATAAATAAATTTTATGTTTTTTTTTGTAACAAAATTTTAGGTTGGTACGAAAATTAAACGTGAATACGTCAACGTCAGATCAAATTTGTTCGAAGGATTTTCGTTCTCAATATTTTTTAGTTCCAATAACTAAATCAAGAAAAAATGTGTAAAAGTGAGTTTGGGTATAGGCTTTCGTGTTTTTTAGTCCATAAATGCGAAATTAAAGCTTAAAATTGAACTGAGATAACCGAGAATTATTCAAATCATTACGTTCTATAAAAAATTGTTTTGATTCTATCCATAAATGCAGGTGAGTTCCAAATATAACTTTATTTATTATCCTATGTCCCTTAATAACCTCCTAAACGATGGCATGAAGCTTCTTATTCAAATCAGATAATGGGTAAAAATTTGTTGGATATAAATAGTTTTAAAATTGGATAATAGATGTCGCTTTAACAAAATCTAACTTTTCAGCGAGGTAATTAAATAAATTCAATTCAGCAAATTTTAATTGAAAGAAAAATAAGAAATAATTTATAATAATGCAGTATATTTTATTTCTTTATATCAATTACAAAACATTTAGATATCGCATCCTGCATCAGCTGGCCAATCACAAACATTAAGTTCGGTGTTGAAGTGAAGACCATCTGGGCATGGCATATCGTAGGCAACCCCCCAGTCGCATTGGCAGAATCTTCCGCAAGTTTCAGGGTGAGCAAAATAAACTGGGTATTCATCATTAACAGCTGGGCATTTGTCGTTGGGGCATTTTCCGCTGTTTCCTTCATTGCTTCCGGTTTCATTGCTTTCAGAACTAGAGCTGGAGCTAGAACTATCGGATTCTTCTTCTTCTGGTTCTGGTGCTGCTTCGGTTGGAGTCTCAGTAACTACTTCTTCTTCATCTTCATCGCTTTCGCTGCTGCTGCTGCCGCTATCACTGTTAGAGTTACCTTCTTCAGAGTTACCACCACATCCAGCTCTATCTGGCCAATCGCAAACTTCCAAGTCTTTGTTGAAGTGTAATCCAGATGGGCAATCGAATTTAACGGCTTTTCCCCAATCGCATTTGTAGAAAACGGTGCAATCTCCATCATCGACCAAAAAATCGACTTTCTCTGGGTTCATGTCGCTGGGGCATGTTCCGACTGGTTCGGCTTGAGTGTATTGGAGAGCAGCCACGAAGGTGGCGAATAAAACGAAAGCAACTAAAAAGTTTTTTTAATAAAAACAAATTTAATTTATTAATTTAAAATTAACTTACCTTTCATGTTGATTGAGTCTTCACAAATTGTCGAACAAACTTGAATGACACCCTCGACGTTTCTTACTCCCCCTTATATAGGTACCCAATAGATTTTTTTATTTAAAACAATAGATTAATTTATTAAAATTATTAAGATAAAACCAATTAATTTAAGTGATTGACTATTCACCTTTGATTAAATTAATTATTAATTACTAATTAATTGGATCAGATAAAGTAATCAAGTAAAAAAATAATTTGGGTATAAAATAGACGCATCAAATAGTTTGACAAAAGATTGTATAATTCAAAATTTTTAAAAAAACTTTCAGTTGCCAATGTCAACTTTAATTATATTCATAATCTTCATAAAATAAGCTTTAAAGAGAGTCCAAACTTGACGCATTTATCTCAAAAAACCAAAAAGTTCGAACTTTTAATTTTGACATAGGTATTTATCAACTTCATAAAAAATCCTTTAAAATGAGTCCAGTAAAATGGAAATACAATCACTTCCGGTTTGAAACGTCAACGTCAATTTTGACATATTTGCCATCTTCATTAAAAATCCTATAAAATGAGTCCAAACAAGACGCACTTATCTCAAAAAACAAAAAAGTTAGAATAAAAAAACATTAAACCCGAAGTTAGCAACAATGAAGATAGAAATTTAATTTTTAAATATTAATACCAACCTTAATTTTTTACTTTTTTTTATTATATTTTTGTTTTTGTGACAAATATTAAGACATTTTATAAAAATTATGAATATGTCAAAATGACATTGACATTTCAAACCGGAAGTTGCATATATCTCGAGTAATGTTGGAATTAAACGTATCATGTTTGAGCCCATTTTAAAGGATTTTTCACGACGATTACAAACATGTCAAAATTGACGTTTACATTCCTAACCGGAAGTTGACCATAACTTGGTTAATATTGAAGATAAATATGTCGTGTTTGTACTCATTTTAAAGGATTTTTAATGAAGATTACAAATATGTCAAAATTAACGTTCGAAAACCGGAAGTTGATCATAACTTCATTAATATTGAAGATAAATATGTCGTGTTTGTACTCATTTTAAAGGATTTTTAATGAAGATTACAAATATGTTAAAATTGAGGTTGACATTTTAAACCTGAAGTTAGTTATCATATAATAAACAAATGGATAACTTCGTGGTGTTCTTTTATGATGTATTCTTTATTAAAAAACCTGTAAAATGAGTCCAAACATGATGTATTTACCTCAAAAAACGAAAAAGTTTGAATAAAAAACATTAAATCCGAAGTTAGCAACAATGAAGACTTTTAAATATTAATACCAACTTTAATTTTTGATTTTTTTTTATTATATTTTTGTTTTTGTGACAAATATTAATAATAATTGACACACATTTCATATCATGACGTTATTAGTTTTTATGTGAAAGAAAAATTGTTTTAAAGTAAACAAAATAAATATTTTTTGATTAAATTCGCTTAGGAAATTAAATTTGCTTTAATTTGATACCAAACACGATATATTTCCGGTAAAAATAAAAAATTTTAGGTTAAAAATCAACAAAGAAACCGCCATTTTGTTTTTGCCTTAATTCCTATATTGTCCTAAATAGGGCGTGTTTGGTTTCAAAATTCATGAAATTTTCTATACTTTCACGCTAGAGGGCTTTTAGATCGCTTTTCTCGAATTTATTTATTAATCAAAGTCACAAAAAATGTTCTAAATTAAGTAAAATCAATATTTTTTGATTAAATTCGCTTAGGAAATTAAATTTGCTTTAATTTGATACCAAACACGATATATTTCCGGTAAAAATCAAAAATGTTAGGTTAAAAATTAACAAAGAAGCCGCCATTTTGTTTTTGCCTTAATTTCTATATTGTCCTAAATAGGGCGTGTTTGGTATCAAAATTCATGAAATTTTCTGTACTTTCACGCTAGAGGGCTTTTAGATCGCTTTTCTTGAATTTATTTATTAAACAAACGTCAATTTTGACATATTTGTCATCAATTTAATTTTTAAATATTAATACCAACCTTAATTTTTTATTTTTTTTTTATTATATTTTAGCTTTCGTGACAAATAGTCGTTTTGACATTTCAAACCGGAAGTTGATAATAACCCATAACTTCATTAATATTGAAGATAAATATGTCGTGTTTGTACTCATTTTAAAGGATTTTTAATGATTACAAATATGTTAAAATTGAGGTTGACATGTTAAACATGAAGTTAGTTATCATGCAATAGAAGTTTTATAACTGAAGTTAGTAACTTTTTATTTTTAACGTGTTCTTTGGGTCATTTACATTCATCTTCCTTATCTCTTCTGTAAATCAGAGGGTACAATAATATAAATATAAAAGTTTATTTTAAGAATGTTTATTGATAGATAGAGAAATAATAAAAATAGTTAATAACTTCATATTAAAAAAAATTTTGAATTTCCAATCACGATTAATGAATTCATTAAATCGCAATTTAATCCTTAGTTTGGATGTACTTAATAAGATCTACAACTCTGCAAGAATATCCGTATTCATTATCATACCAGCTGATAAGTTTAACAAAGTTATCATTTAATTGAATACCAGCTGCAGCATCAAACGTTGAAGAATGATTATCTCCAATAAAATCAGAAGAAACAACTTGATCTTCAGTGTAGGCCAAAATTCCTTTCATGGGGCCTTCGGCGGCTTCCCTCAATTTTGTTTTGATTTCTTCGTATTTTGCAGCTTTACCTGATTATAAAAAATAAATTAATGATCTCAAAAATTTCTTTTATTGCAATTTTTACCTAAACGAACTGTAAGATCAACTACAGAAACATTTGAGACTGGTACACGGAACGCCATTCCAGTTAATTTTCCATTTAATGAAGGAATAACTTTTCCCACAGCTTTAGCTGCTCCGGTTGAAGCGGGAATAATATTTTGGGCGGCCCCACGACCATCACGCCATAATTTTCCACTTGGTCCATCAACAGTTTTTTGCGTCGCAGTAACCGCATGAACTGTCGTCATTAAACCTTCAACAATCTCAAAGTTATCATGAACAACTTTAGCCATAGGAGCCAAACAATTCGTTGTACACGAAGCGTTTGAAATAACTTTGTATTTCGGATCGTAAGCATCAAGATTTACACCAACAACAAACATTGGGGCATCAGCCGATGGAGCTGAAATGATAACCTTTTTAGCACCCCCTTCTAAATGGTACGAAGCTTTTTCGATGGTTGTGAAGACTCCCGTTGATTCGACGATGTATTCGGCTCCGGCTGAGGCCCATGGGATGGCTTTTGGGTCGCGTTCGGAGAAAACGGTGATTTCATTGCCGTTTACGACTAATTTTCCGTCTTTGGTGGCTACGGAACCTCGAAATTTACCGTGAGTGGAGTCGTATTTAAACATGTAAACCATGTAATCTAAACCGATGAAGGGATCGTTGATTGCGGTTACTTGGGCCCCTTTTTCGAGGGCCGCGCGGAGAACCAAACGTCCGATACGACCAAAACCGTTAATACCAATTTTAGACATCTAATTTTTAAATTAATTAATAAAAAGAATCGTTTTAACATATTTTACTTACGTTGGAATTCTTTTTTAAATAACTTTATTGACCTCCACAGGCGATGAACAGGCGATGAATGTCGTCTGAAGGGCAAATTTGCACTTTATAAATACTGGAAAGGAAGGTCACGTGATTAGAACCTGCGCGTAGGTATTGCAGCGTTACAGTTCAAATTACAAAAGTGTTATCAAATACTTACATATTATCAAATCTAATCGTTTTACATAGTTTCATCGACTTTTTGTGTAAACTTTAGAACGAATTTTTTAATTCTTATTTAAGTTGGTGTAATACATTGAAATAGCTATCGAAATCGAACACACCCACAAAATTGAAGGTCAATTAGTTTTAACTTATTTATTAATAAGATTCAAATTAATTTTAAGTTTGAAATGACAGCTCATTTATGTCAAAAATGACAACCCATTTCTGTCAAAAATCTTTTAATTTTTCAATATTATTATTTATTATTATTAATATTTATTATGAATTTTTTGAATGAACAAAATTAATAATAATATGAATCATTTTAGGCGTAATTTTCTTTTAAAATTAATAAAATAGATAAAAATGTTTTTACTTTCGATTGATTCATTACCCTAATTTTTCTTTTTTATTTATATTATTAATATTATTAGTAAAATGTTATTAAAAACATTTTACTACATAAACGTTTATTATATTTATATTTTAATTAATACATTAAAACAAATTAACTTTTCATCACATCTATACTGATTGATAATTGTCACATTGCCTTGAAGATGGCGACACCGTTCGAGTAAATATGGACAACTTGAAGAAATCAGATTATTAGTTACAAATTTTCAAAATTAAAGTTTAAAAAGTTGTAAAATGAAATGAAGGACGAAGTGTTACAAGTTTACAGGTTAAAATTTATCATCGCTTCAAGAAATTATTACTCAAGAAAACTTTTAAATGGAGAAACTATCCTACGTGGTTTGCTTTTGATGTCGATTATTTTACCTTAATTCAGGTTCTAATTTAGCTGCCAGCGAAGGTTTCAAAAACATTTAAGTGATGCTTTGAAAATGAAAAAATGAGCAAAAGGACACAAGGATGAGTTATTCTGTGGTGACAACAATGGCTGTCATGCTTATTCCACACAATTTTAAAGAAACAAATTTTTATAACTTTATTAAACTCAAAAATAACAATTTTAACATTGATAAACAAATATCAAAATTACTTTTTGCTACTAACACTTTTCTTCGCCCCTTTCTTAGTGGTAACAGCAACAGTTTCAACTTTCTTCTCAACAACGTCACCATCACCGTCATCTTCATTTTCCCTTTGACACATACTTTTTCTTAAAGCAATACGTTGTTCTCTCCGTTTTCTCGCTTCCCTAGCCCTTAATCGATGCGCCTCCGTTTGATCAGCCAACAATTTAGCCCTGGCCATGCTGGCTTTCTTCTTAAAAATGTACTCCATCATAACCCGTTTATTTTTGAATTGATTTCCCTTCACCTTGGCGTACAACGTGCTATAAAAATGTTTGTCGATTTTCTTAGCGTCGCGATAACGTTTCAAAAAACGCCTTAAAACCCGCATTCGGAGCCGCCATAGAATGTTGGCGGGGTTGCGGGCTTCGCGGGTACCTTTGCGTTTCCCAAAACCGCTGTGGCGCCCTTTTAAACGCGCCGCGGTGTTTTGGCGGGTTCGCGATTTAGAATGAATCGCCTCAGGTTTACAAATAATGAGCCCATCTTTTAAGAGACGCGAAATCGCTTGACGGGTGTTCGCCCCCGCGATGTCAACGGTTTCGTTTGGGTCAATCCAAATTTTTTTCTTACCACAACCTTTTATCGACGCTGCGAGACGCTTTTGTAATCGCAAATTACTCATTCTTCAAAATTAAGTTAAACAACGATTTTTAACACCTTTTTATAATGAACGAAAGTTGACAATGACAGATTTAAAATTAAAAGAATTATCTTTATTGTTTGATAGATGGCGCTGATGCCGGTATTAACAATCTAAAAATATAATTAAATATATTATATTTTGTTGCGGGAGATTGAAAATTAATTTATTATGAGTTAATATGCTTAAAAATGATTTGATTTAATATTATAATTTAAAAGATAGGAAATAGATTCAAAATTAAAAGAATTGTTTTTATTATTGATAGATGGCGCTGATATCGGTATTAATAATCTAAAAATATAATTAAAAATGTTTTATTTTGCTGTAGGAGATTGAAAATTAATTTATTATGAGTTAATATGCTTAAAAATGACTTAATTTAATATTATAATTTCAAAGATAGGAAATAGATTGAAAATTAAAAGAATTGTAGTTATTTCTGATAGATGGCGCCATTAGGTTAATAATATAAAAATATAATTAAAGTTATTGTAGTTTATAACATGATTTTGAAAAATTATAATTTAATTTGCTTAATAATGGCTTCATTTAATATTATCACTTAAAAGATTAATATAGACTTAAAAGTTTGACATGAAGTTGTGAAAAGTCAAAACATAACCTCAAAAATTTTCATCAACACGTGAACTTTATCTCAATTTTAAACAAATTTAATAACTATGGATGAGTTTATTGATGAGAATGATGCGTTGTTAGATTCAGATGAAGATGTGGATATAAAACAGCATAGTAAACTATTAGAAAATCTTGTAAGTTTAGATTCTAAACAGCCAGTAAAAAAACCAACAAGAACAGAACCAACTACGCAAATATCGGAATATAATTTAGTAAAATCGATAACTGGGAATAAGGATACTGTTAAATTATATGAATTAACTAAACCATTAAAGGCTAGAGCTACACACGTAAAAATAACTAAAGATGTTAAGAAATCAGATAAGAAAACCAAGACATTAGAAAAACCATTAGAAAAACCTCAAGCTGAAAAGGTAAGAAGAACTGTGGGGTATGAAAAAGGTAAAGAAGAAATAAGTAGATGGGAACCTGTTGTAACAAGTCATAGAGCTTCAACTTATTTATCATTTCCACTTAATTATGATACAAAAGTAGAAATTAATTCTAAAAGAGATACTAATTGGAAAGTAAAATCAGATTTAGAAAAAGCAATTGAAAATATTGAAAATGAAGGAAAAAAGGTGGAAATTTATGAAATTGAACCTGAAATAGAAGCCCCCTTAACACTCCAAGAAATGATGGAACGTCGAAAAGAAATGGCAAAACTACGTAGATTTCAAACTTATCAAGAAATGAAAGCTAGAATGCAAAATAAAATTAAAAGTAAAAAGTATAGGAGGATCCTAAGGAAAGAGAGAGCTAAGCAGGAAATTAAAGATTTTGAAAAGCTTCAAAAGGAGAATCCAGAAGAGGCTTTAAAGAAATTGGAAGAAATTGAAAAAACAAGAATGATGGAAAGAGCTAGTTTAAGACATAAAAGTACAGGGAAATGGGCTAAAAATCAACAAATTCGAGCTAAGTTTGATAAAGATAGTCGACAAGTTTTAGCAGAACAATTAGCAATTAGTAAAGAATTAACTCAGAAGAAACAAATTGTTGAATCAAGTGAAAGTGAAGTTGAAAATGATGATGAAAAAAGTGGTGACTTGGAATTTAATTTTTGGCTTACAAAGAAAATACCAGAAAAAAATGAAAATGAAGAAAAAACACCATTATTAAAGTCTAAAATTGTTGAAATAAAAGATGAAATTGAAAAGCCACAAAAGAAAAGGAAATTAAAAATAAATAAAGATGTAAAAAATAAAGTTGTTAAAAAGCCAAAAGAGGAAAAATTAAAATTGCATGGAATGTCTGGTGATTGGGTTGATGAATCATTTGTGGATGATTTAGCGAATAAATTGGAGGATAAATTTAAGGAAAAAGTTTTAAAGAAATCAACAAAACTAAAAAATGACCTTGAAAAATTAAATTTGACACATAACCTAAAAAAGAAAAAAATTGGACCAAAAAAAGAAAATAAACCCAATTTAACATTAAAAAAATCAACTAAAAAGCCAATCATTGATGAACCCCTTCAAGAAGCAACAAAAATCACCAATAATCCATCAAATAATAATATAAATAATTTAAAATCAATTTTAGACTCAACTGAAGTTAGCACCAACACAATTGAACCAAATAAATATTTAAAATTAACCCCAACAAATGTAGAATCATCAAACCCCGATTTATATTCAACAAATGATAATGAAAATAACTCCGATTTAAGAGGAATTATAGCAGAGGCTTTTGAAGATGAAGATTTAATTGAGGAATTCTCTAAAGATAAACAAGAAGAAATCGATAAAGATACCCCGAATGATTTAGATTTATTTATGCCCGGATGGGGTTCTTGGGGTGGCACAAACATTAAAAGTACGTCAAAAAGAAAACGTTTTATTATGAAATTTCCGAAAGATTTACCAAGGAATGATAAAAATAGAGGGGATTTAATCATAAATGAAAATACTTCTAAAAATATTAAACCGCACATGGTTAGTGATGTTCCATTTCCGTTTAAATCCGCCAACGAGTACGAGGCTACGATTAAAGCGCCTGTTGGGAATACTTTTGTGCCAGAAACCGCTTTCCGGAGACTTACAAAACCGGGGGTGACCACCAAATTAGGTACGGTTATCGAACCGGTTGACGAAAACGTTTTGATGAGGAAAATGAAAAAGTTTGAGAAAGTGTTTAAATTAAAAAAATAATGTTTTTTATTATTTTAATAAAAATAACCTCAAAATTTATTTTTTAACTCATTGTCACTTTGACCAACTGTCAAATCAAAAATAGAATTTAAATTTATACGTTTTAAATGTACAATAATTAAATTTATTAAAACAATTCTATTTGTTTAGTGAATTTTCTTAAAAATGTTAATATCTTAGTACGATGTTATTAATTAAAAAGATTTTGATTTCAAAATGAAATAAATTTTTCGTAAATTAAATAATAGATGGCGCATCAATCGTGTGTATATGACGAAAATGTCCGCCGTGTTTCGGTTTCGGGGGGCAGAACACTATCAACTGGTATCGCGTTAACGCCGTCGCAGCCGTCCGCTTTTTGGTGCGACCATGTGCGCGAAAACATGTCCAACAATCGACTGTTAGGCACCGTTTGCATCAAACCGCAGTGTGTGCCCCTTTTAAATGAGAACCTAAACCTTGTCAAAGTACTGTTCTCGGCCCAGCTGACCGAAGGGGGTCGCACCACCGATGATGGTCTCACCTGTTTTGACGTCTCCGCACCGATAGCCGAAGACAGAGTTACATCGGATTTTATATTACGCGTACAGGTGAGAATTAACTGGATTGAGTTTATTGACATAAATGTTTTGTTTTCTTAAAGAAACAAATGAAGTTGTTGTTTTAAGGTTATAATTAATACAATTTGAAGATTAATAATCAAGATTTAATTAATTCAACAAATTTACATCGTCATTCAAAAGAAATACTACTCATTGTTGTTTTTATCTTTGCAACTTTATTATAAAGGTAACAATTTTTTTTTATTACTCATAAAATTCATTACTATCAATACGAAGGTGTAAATGAACATTAACATTATCTAAAAATGATATAAAATTAAAAAATACGCTTTAATACGGATTAATGTTGCAATACGAATCTTATCTGTAACAATATCCGCAAATGATACTAAGATGTTTTTTTTTCTTTTAGCCTTTTGAATGTATTTTTTGTTATGAAATTTTCGAAGAAAGATATAAGCGGGTGTAAAATTGCGTGAAAATAAGGTCGTAAACGCGGATTTGACCCAACTCTTGTTACGAATCTGGGTCGTTCTTATGCTGGAGAGACGTAGTTTCGTAATTTATTGTGCTTTGGGGAACGAGTTTAGAAAGTTGACGGGTTTGCGCGAGCGAATAATAATAATAATATACTGCCTTCCTATTCGAGTGGGACAAACTATTAATTACCCCTCAAATATCGTTGATGTGATATGCAAATGTAAATGGATTTCATAAAAATAGATTTTGTTATTGGTTTTATTACGAAATAGTCGTTGACACAACTTTAATGTAATTAAAAGCAGTGAAATTGAAAAATTAAAACTTATTTACCCCATCTAGCGGTATTAATATAAAATTTAGTTTTGACATTTAAATATAACCACCAATTAAGTTTCTTCTTAAAATCTTATAAAAAACGGATAATTCAACCAAAAATACGTTTGTTGAGATGTAAAATATGTATTTAAAGTGAATTAAGGAAATTTTAACCCGAAATTTATCCGTGAACTTTTTGTGTTTTTCTTAAACACAATTTAATATCATTTCAATTTTATATGAAAAATTTTGTTTAATATTATGTTTCTTTCGTTACAACCTAACTTTTTGATGTAAAAGTGACATTTCTAACTCGAAATTGTTGGATTTACAGTTTTCTTTATTAACTTTAAACTATAATTTTAAATTTGACAACATCAAACGTCAGAATGAGAGGTTATATGTCAAAATGACGTTTCTTTCAATACAACCCAACTTTTTTGTTGATCGTGTTGGTCTGATATGTTATTGAATAAAAACCATATTCATTTTTTCTACTTATTTTATTATTAATTTAACTCTACTTTTTATTACAACTTTCTACCATCTTGTTTCTATCTAACCTATCGTTCTTACTTAACCCCTAAAATTCAAATGTCCCTATAGTTTGGATACGTTCCTTAATATTTTTAATATAAAAGTGACTTTTCTCATTATAAATTGTTGAATCTAAACTTGTTTTCTTTATTAACATTAAACTGTAATTTTAAATTTGACGTAAAAGCGACATTTCTAATTCGAAATTGTTTGATTTGAACTTGCTTTTTTTAGAAACTACAATTTTAAATTTGACAATATCAAACGTCAAAGTGACATTTCTTTAAAACGCAACGTGTCAATTTGTAATTTAAAATTTGATTGAAATTCCTTGCACTGATTCTGAATCACCTGTATACGTTAAAGTACACGTGTCTTGGGTGTTGTTTTAATTTTTCCTTATTAATCTTAAAAGGCAGTTGGTGTAAATTTAGAATGTAAGCCGGTGATGTTTACGTCAAGTAGAAAAATTTAATAACAAGTCTTTTCTTGGAAGCTGTGAAATAACTCAGGCACTGCTCGTTTTGTAACAACGCACTTTTACCTGTGTATCTAGGAATTAAAAAAAAAAATAAAATCCGTTGGATAACAATTTTATATAAAATCGATTTAATATGTAACAAAGAAAAAAATTACTACTAAGTTGATGTAATTACCTTATTTTGAGCAAAAAAAGATATGCTATATATAAATAGATAAATCCTTCGTTTTTTTTTAAAGCTTAGTTCACAATCGATTTAAATTTTGGTTATAAATTCTTTTTTATTTTAAACAATTTAAGTATAGTCGAATTCCTTTTGGTGTTGTTGTTATTTTTGGTGATTAGTTAAATTTTTTTGAAGGAAATTGCGGTTAAAATCGTTTAAATAATGTGCGCACGCATCTCAGTGGCCTCGTGTGACGTAGTAATTTGAAAACGCACACTTGCGGCCGAGCACGCCGAGATCCGGGTCGAATGACGGTCGCTGAACCGCGTCTTGACCTAGTGTGCCGTGTGGACTTGGGGGAGCGATCGTCGTTTATTTTTAAAACGTCACTTGTCAAAAATTTGACGTTTCCGATATTATTTTAAACGTCACAATCTTTATTCTAATTAACAAAATGGAGTTTAGTGACTATTTTTTTTTTATTGGATGCAAAAAAGTGTTTGTAAGGTTGATTTTTTTTTGTGGCAATTACCCATGTTAATAAATTAATAATGTAATAAGTTGAAAGAGACTTTGATTAACATAGCTCGACGCTTAGTAATCGACGAACGTTTTGTGTGTTCGGTGAAAGGTACCGGGGCCGTAGCCTGATGAAGGCTAAGATTTCATTAAAAAAAAGGTGCATCCTGGTCCACAACTAAACCGGCACCTTTTTTTTGTTTCAAAACGTACTTGACCAAGTAACGAAACGAAAAAAATCTTTTCAAATCCATCTAATTTGATTGTTATTATTAAATAATGTGGTACATCCGGTTAAAAATTTCTCTTTTTATTCCTCACGCTTTCATCATATAATAAACACCATTAATAACTCATTAACGAAATAATTTTTATAATTTTTGAAATTTATTAAGTTTCTCTTTTTGATATTGGGAGGAGTTTGTAATCTGGGGGGCCCCCCATTTTGCTTCGGGGGGAGGCTTCTCCGTGGTCCCGTGTGTATGTATATTCATTCGACGTCCGCAACGGACGAAGAATAACCGTTTTGTCGGAAACGAGAACATAAACCGGATGTTCTCTCGCTTGGTGGCTTTTTTAAAGTTTTTTTTTTAAGTAGTAGTAGTAGTGCGAACTTATTTTAAACAACAAACGGTCATGGACGTGATGTTAGATCCGGGTTCGGTCCTCAAGACATGATCGTTGGAGGCGAGGTGAGTGAGACGAAGTATAATAAACAGGAAAATTTACTTTCTCCGAAATGAAATTGTCTAGGTATCAACCCGGATCTAGGAAAAGAAATTCGATTTTAAACGAATTGGGATTTGTTTTGTTCTTTGTTGGAAATTATTTAAAACGTTAAATGAAATTTATTGAAAATAAAGTGAATCTGTTCTTGGGAATTTGTAAGTTAATTTAAAAGTGGGAAAATACGCAAGAATTCATTGAAAGAATTTTTTTATTAATTTGCTGTGGTTTGTCATGATAAAATGTGGCTTTGAAAGAATTCTTTGAAAAAAAAATCATATTTTGTATAACTACGATATTTTTAATTAAAAATTTTAAATTTGATAATATCAAACGTCAAAATGACGGGTGAAATGTCAAAATGACATTTAACCTGTCAATTTTAATGTTTGATTTTGTCAAACAACCTAACTTTTCAATGTAAAAAAAATTTGTAATTCGAAATTGTTGGATTTAAACTTATTTCTTTTATAAACATAACAATTTTAAATTTGACAATATCAAATGTCAGAATGACAGGTATAATGTCAAAATGACACCTTAATTAACACATTAACGTCGATTTGAATTAGATATTTAAAAAAAATTATATAAAAGGAATGGCTCATCCTGGAAACATTAAATTTTATATAAGGTAACCTCAAAGATTCCTGTATAACCTCAATGAGGTTCGTTCCTTAATTCCAAGCCGTTTAGGAAAAATTAATTTTTCTTTATAACCCCACTTTTAATAATCGTCAATTTAAATCAGATATTTTTGAAAAGTTATATAAAATGAATGGCTCGTCCTGGAAACTTTAAATTTGGTGTGAGATAACCTCAAACTTTCCTTTATAACCTCAAAAAGTTTCATTTCTTAATTCCAAGCCGTTTAAGAGAAATTTATTTTTCTGTATAATCTCACTTTCAATAAACGTCAATTTAAATTAGATATTTTTAAGAAATTATATAACATGAATGGGTGATCCTGGAAACTTTAAATTTGGTATGAGATAACCTCAAACATTCCTTTATAACCTCAAAAAGTTTCATTTCTTAATTCCAAGCCGTTTAGGAAAAATTAATTTTTCTGTATAACCTTACTTTCAATAAACGTCAATTTGAATTAGATATTTAAAAAAAAATATATAAAATGAATGGCTCATTCTGGAAACTCTAAATTTGGTATGAAACAACCTCAAACGTTCCTTTATAACCTCAATGAGGTTCGTTCCTTAATTCCAAGCCGTTTAGGAGAAATTAATTTTTTTGTGTAACCTCACTTTCAATAAACGTCAATTTAAATCAGATATTTTTGAAAAGTTATATAAAATGAATGGCTCATCCTGGAAACTTTAAATTTGGTATGAGATAACCTCAAACATTCCTTTATAACCTCAAAAAGTTTCATTTCATAATTTCAAGCCGTTTAGGAGAAATTTATTTTTCTGTATAACCTTACTTTCAATAAACGTCAATTTGAATTAGATATTTTAAAAAAATATATAAAATGAATGGCTCATTCTGGAAACTTTAAATTTGGTATGAAACAACCTCAAACGTTCCTTTATAACCTCAATGAGGTTCGTTCCTTAATTCCAAGCCGTTTAGGAGAAATTAATTTTTTTGTGTAACCTCACTTTCAATAAACGTCAATTTCAATCAGATATTTTTGAAAAGTTATATAAAATGAATGGCTCATTCTGGAAACTTTAAATTTGGTATGAAACAACCTCAAACGTTCCTTTATAACCTCAATGAGGTTCGTTCCTTAATTCCAAGCCGTTTAGGAGAAATTAATTTTTTTGTGTAACCTCACTTTCAATAAACGTCAATTTCAATCAGATATTTTTTAAAAGTTATATAAAATAAATGGCTCTTGTTGGAAACTTTAAATTTGGTATGAGGTAACCTCAAACATTCCTTTATAACCTCAAAAAGTTTCATTTCTTAATTCCAAGCCGTTTAGGAGAAATTTATTTTTCTGTATAACCTTACTTTCAATAAACGTCAATTTGAATTAGATATTTAAAAAAAATATATAAAATGAATGGCTCATTCTGGAAACTTTAAATTTGGTATGAGGTAACGTCAAACATTCCGTTATAACCTCAAAAAGTTTCATTTCTTAATTCCAAGCCGTTTAGGAAAAATTAATTTTTCTGTATAACCTCACTTTCAATATGATTTGTATACATAATGTTTTTAACTTGTTCTTTTATCCCTAACATCATTAAATTATTAATTTTAATTTTTTGTTACAGAAATATGTAGACGATATATGTAAAGAGGGTTGCGCCGGTGCCGTAGCTGGTGAAGATTCTAGTTACGATTCGGATTGCGACGCGGAACCGTCCTGTTTCAGTCATCAGGATGTCTCCAGGACGACCAGCGACACCCTCGCCGCCGAATACGCCGAGTACGTCCAAACGAGCCCCGATTTATCCAGAAGTTACACAGCCAGGCAAGTTTCTTTTGCATTTATTTCAAATTAAATAATCAATTCCACTTTTTTAATTCTATTTAGGGTAGAGTTCGCGTTAAAATTGGGCTACACCGAACGTTTAGTTCAATCGGCCCTTCAAAAATTGGGCCCATCTCCCGCCCAAAACGAATTATTAGCGGAATTAATTAAATTGGGGGCTCAAAGAGGGAGTTCTTGCGATAGTAGTCCTATTGAGGATAACCCCGAGGATCTTCAAGTTTTAGAACAACAACAACAAATTTCCGCGCAATCGTTACGACCAATTGTTATTGATGGTAGTAATGTAGCGATGAGTCATGGTAATAAGGAAATATTTTCTTGTCGCGGGATAAAGATTTGCGTCGATTGGTTTAAAGCGCGGGGACACATGGATGTAACGGTGTTCGTGCCGAAATGGAGAAAAGAAGCCCCTCGGCCGGATAATCAAATTCGGGACCAAGAAATCTTGGCCGATTTGGAACGCGAAAGACTTTTGGTCTTTACACCATCGCGATTTGTAGGCGGGAAAAGGATGGTTTGTTACGATGATAGGTATATATTAAAATTAGCGGCGGAAGTCGATGGAATAGTTGTAAGTAACGATAACTATCGGGATTTATGTCAAGAAAGTGCCGAATACCGTAAAGTCGTTGAAGAACGAATTTTGATGTATTCGTTTGTAAATGATCGTTTTATGCCTCCGGATGATCCTTTAGGACGATCTGGACCTACCCTCGATAATTTTTTACGAACACAACCGAAAAAAGCCGATCCCCCTCCACCTTGCCCATACGGAAAAAAATGCACCTACGGTAATAAATGTAAATATCATCACCCCGAAAGAGGTCCATTTCCGCATAAAAGCGTCACCGAACGTTTATCGGAACACGCTCAAAGACATTTATTAGCACGCGAAGGTGAAATAAGAAAAACCCCGGTTACAAGAACCCGATCGAATGTCCCACCGGTTAAAGAACAACCACAACATGTAATCGTTTCAAAAAGTTTAAGCGTTGATAATGTTGGGTCGCCATCCTATCAAGTAGTGCAAGCGGAAAATTTACATCGAAAATTACAAAGGCAATTAACACTAAATCCATCAACGGATCCCCGATTATCACGACGTTACACCCCCACTCCCATCGGTACGATACAAATTCAATCGGCGTATTTAACACCGCCGTCTTCTTGGGATGTTCATCCTCATGTTACAAGAATTGCTTCTGCGCCGGATTCTTATCGGCAATGGCCCCCACAACCGCATCTTCATCAACAAGGACACATGCATAGGGTGTCGAGTTGTTCTGATCCGCAATTAAATATGTGGCCGGGGCCGCAATGGGGTTCGCAAGGCGCTCAAAGTCAAAATCTTCAAGATGAAGCTCGAAGGAAGTTACATTATCATTTGGCCGCGATTTTTCCTGAGGAACAAGTTGCGAAAGCTATGCAAATGTATCCGGATGAAACTAATCCGCAAAAAATTTGCGCTGCCATCCTTGGGATGTTCCCAAAATAATTATAACTCAAAAAAAAAAATAAATAAATAAGATGTTTATAAAAAAAATGTTATATTTGTCGACAAATATTTAAAAAGATGGATAAAAACAATTTTATTTTAAAAATTCAAAAGTATCTAACTTGGTTAGCATTTACAGGGTGATTATCTGATAATTTTCGGAACATCCTGTATATAATTGTATATGTATACGGGTAGATTTTTGTTGGTTTTTCGTTTAATATAAAATTTATTTCACTTACTTATGCGAAAAGAAGTAAACAAGAAGTTAACCACCTTGTATTAATCGAAAAACCAACTTCATCGAACGTATTTCTTTATATGTATGTCTATATACGTTGATACTATGTATCTCTAGTAAAAATTGTTGCAATTTTTGTATTATAAAGTAGCGTGTTTTATTAATAATAACAACAAAAAAAATGTTAAAAAAATAATAAGGAACCGACCGTCTCTATCGTTTTTTCATACACTTTTACCCCCTAAATGTCTCTACTAAGAATAAGGTTTTATTTCATGGTTTCTTATTTTGTATATTCTAGCATTAAGTGTTTTCCATCTATTAGTGTAGTCAAATATTAATTAGATCGGCTATAATGTATTAAAAACGCTACTTTTCGTTCAATTTATATTTATGGAGCTTTGTAGATAGGAGTGTTCTAATTTTTTTTTATTTTATAACTTCTATACTGTTATTTATTTGCATTTGTAATTAAAAAACTAATAAAATTCGTTTTATAAGGATTTAATCTTATTATTTGTATTATTTAGCGCTATCTATTGCTTTTATAGCTGAAATTAAAACAACATAACCTCATTTCAATTTCATTGTGATTTTTATTAATTATTTCAAGTATTAACGATGAGTGTTTGTAAATTTCTTCTGCAAAGTAGTTGGAAATTTTATAATTCTTGTCGATTAGATCATCATTTAGATAATTACAACAAAAATTAGAGAATTGTTAAAATTTAATTATAACCTAACTTTTTTTAAGACAATACAGGACATAGAATAATAACCAAAATGTGGGTCGAATAACAATATCATAACATCTATGTTGTTAATTATTTCGATTTATAATTAAAGTTTAATAATATTAGTTTTTTTTTTAATGTTATTTGTTTAGCGCCATCTATCAGCGCTATAACTGAAACTAATCCAACATAACTTAATTTCAAATACATTGTTATTTTTATTAATAATTTAAAGTCTTAATGATGGCTATTTGTAAATTTCTTCTACAAGGTAGATTCAAATTTGGTAATTCTTGTAGATTTGATTATTAATTAGGTAATAATAACATAAATTAAAAAATTATTAAAATTTAATTATAACCTAACTTTTTTTAAGACAATACAGGATATAGAATAATAACCAAAATGTGGGTCGGATAACAATATCATAACATCTATGTTGTTATTTATTTCGATTTATAATTAAAAATTAATATTAGTTTTTTTTTAATGTTATTTGTTTAGCGCCATCTATCAGCGCTATAACTGAAACTAATCCAACATAACCTCATTTCAAATACATTGTTATTTTTATTAATAATTTAAAGTCTTAATGATGGTTATTTGTAAATTTCTTCTACAAGGTACATTCAAATTTGGTAATTCTTGTAGATTTGATCATCAATTAGGTAATAATAACAAAAATTAAAGAATTATTAAAATTTAATTATAACCTAACTTTATTTAAACTAATACAGGGGGACACAACAATAATCAAAATGTAGCTCGGGCAATAACAATGGATCCAAATGCCTTAATACAAACCTTATTGAATAACTTTTATACTGTTATTTATAATTAAAAGTTAATAAAATTAGTTTTATAAGAATTAAAATTTTATTTTTTGCACCATCTATTGACGTAATAACTGAAACAAAAGCAACATAACCTTATTTAATCTTTACTGCGATATTTATTAATTATTCTTAGCATTAACGATGGTTGTTTGTAAATTTTTTCTTCAAGGTACCTGCAAATTTGGCAATTCTTGTAGATTCGACCATCAGTTAGGTAATAATAAGAAAAATACAAGATTTATTAAAATTTAACTATAACCTAACTTTTTTTAAGACAATTCCGGAGGATCATCAATTTTAAAGCAGAATAATAATCAAAATGTGGCTCGGGCGACAACGATGGATCCAAATACCTTGATACAATCCGTAATTAACGATATGGTGGCTGCGGAACAAGGGAAGCAATGGATTTTTTCAAGTTATAGCCCTTTTAAGGATAAGCCGACTTTCCCTGGATTCGATGATAAAAGTTTTGAGGAGATCCGATTGGGGTTTTATGAAGCTAATAAAGCTGGAACTATAGAACATTATGTAAGATATGTTTAATGATTTAGATATATAATTGATTTATTTTTTGTTAAGAAACAAATGGTTCAAATGTGGTACCAAGAAGCGTTCGGAAGGATAAAAACATTACAAAATCCTAATCAGGAAATTGTGAAATTATTAACACAAATTTATAATACAAATCAACAACAACCGTTTCAAAATAATAATGGATTTGGTTCGAATAATATTCTTGGAGCTAATTCGCAAAATTCTATTTTTGGTGGTAATAAACAACAAAATCCACAAAATAATAACGTTTTTGGACAAAATACGATCTTTGCAAACGCAAATAATTCACCGTTTTCAACAAATCAATCTCCATTTGGAAATAATGCTAATAATCAATCAAAAACGTTTAACCAAAATCCAACAAATATGTTTAATCAAAATAATTTTAATCAAAACTCAATTTTTAGTAATAATAGTATATTTAGTAATAATCAACCCCCACAACAAATACAACAACAATTTAGCAACATTCAGCCATCAAATAATCCATTTGCTAATAACACAATTCCTCAACCGAGTCCATTTGCACCCCAAAACATTCAACAAAGCGCTCCATTTAATCCCCCTGCAACTCAAGCAACCCCATTTATGCCCCAACCTAATCCCAATCACACAAACTTATTTAATCCGCAAAATCAAAGCACAATCTTTCAAAATCCAGTTCAAAATAATCCAATATTTAATAACCCGGCACCTAATTATTATCAAAATCCCCAAAATGTATTTAATCAAAATTCGATTTTTGGAAATTCAATTTTGAATAAAAATCCTGGAGGTGATGCAGCAAAACCGAACGTTATTGATAACAATTCGTATTCGAAAATAGAGGATTTAACGCAAGAGGAAATTAAATCATTCGAATGTGACGAATTCGACTTTGGAAAGATTCCTGAACGACCTCCAACGTTAGAAATGTGCTTTTAATCATTTTTTGATCAAAAAACTCTTTCATAATTTGATATCTGTCAAATATCAATGATTTAAAAAAAATCGATTATTTTAGTTTTTTTTTAAATTTATTATTAAATTAAATTGTAATTAATCAATGGTTCCGATAATATTTATTATAAATGCCTTTGTTTAAATAATAACTATTTAAAAAAAAAAGTATTTTATCTAACTTCACACTTAACATTGCTAATCTGGGGATATTTTGTTAATAACAAATAGACGCCAGTGTTTACGTTTAATCGTTTGAATATGACGAATTCGATTTTGGAAAGATTCTCGAGGAGCGTCCTACAATGTTAGAAGTGTGCTTTTAATTATTTTTTAATCAAAAAATTCCATAATTCGATATCTGTCAAATATCAATGATTTAAGAAAAATCGATTCTTTTTGTTTTTTTTTTTTTATTTTTTATCAAATTAAATTGTAATTAATCAATGGTTTCGATAATATTTATTATAAATGCTTTGTTTAAACAATAATAATTTATTTAAAAAAAAAAGTGTTTATCTAACTTCACACTTGACATTTGTAATCTGGGGATATTTTGTGTTAAAAAAAAAATAGACGCCAGTCTTTGTTTACGTTTAGTCGCCATCAGATGTCAACGATACATGTTTTGTGTAACGTTCAAAAACCTCATTTCCATGCAATCTCTAACGGGTGACCGATACAAAACTCGATAATCCACATTTAAGTGTATAATAATGTAGCAAGAGTCGCACAATAACCGCTTCATACAGTACCCCATCGCCCTAACTAAAATAATGGATTCAAAACCACAGCATCAAACAACCGACACCGACGAAACCTCATCAGATTTAGGGGGTATCAGACCGTCGTTTAGATTTCCACCGGCCCCGCGTTTATGTAAATGTGCAAACAGCATCACCCCACGAAGTGTAAGCTATAATTCAGATAGTTCAGTTAGTGATGGAACCCTATTAAGGACGAGGAGACGCAACAGGCGAAGGTATCTAAAGCATCTCCCTCCAATCGGTGTCTTTTGGGACATTGAAAACTGTCAGGTACCGAAGAATAAAAGCGCTTCGTCCATTGTACAAAAAATCAGGGAATTATTCTTTGACGGTTACCGAGAAGCCGAGTTTATCGTTGTTTGTGATGTTAAAAAAGAAAACGCACAAATTATACAAGACTTACACGATGCTCAAGTTAATTTAATACACGTCTCGTCGACCAGCAAAAACGCGGCAGACGAAAAACTACGACAGAGTCTTCGTAGGTATGCGGAAACGTATTCGGCTCCGTCTGCCGTGGTTTTGATCTCAGGCGATATAAATTTTGCGGGTGATCTCTCCGATTTACGTTACCGGAAGAAAATTCAAGTCATTTTAATACATAATTGTAACGCTGCGGATGCCCTCATTTCGTGTGCTAATAAGTCGTATGCTTATGGAAGTCTTACAGAAAATTTACCGTTATTAAAAACAAAAATTTCAAGCCAGTATGAAATATTAATTGAAAATTTACCAATTAATTGTGGAATGAAGAAATTAAGGAATCGATTGAATCGACTTTCAGATAATTGTGGAGGAAAAGTTATTAATGTTGATATTAAATTGGGGGCGGCTGTTTTGGTTTTTAGTAATTATAATTTTGCTATTAGGTAAGTTTTTAACCTAAAAATTATTTTTGGTGATTTTAATTTTTTAATGTTTTTGAATCTAAAATTAAGTTGGTATGATTCGTTTCATATTAAATTGGAGCGACATTCATTATTAACAGAACTGTCACTGTTACATAGAAATGCGATATAAAATTAATTTCTTGAAAAATCCTTGTGGAAATATCACCAATTATTAATGAAAGTAACCTCTTTTTAATGCAAAACGCCGTTTTTAAATAACCTTTTTTTGAATTTTGCAATTTTCGCCGATTAAGTTTTAAAAATTCGTATAAAATCGATTTCTTGGAATATGAGTATGAAAATTTCCCAAAATGTTAATAAAAGTGCCCTCTTTCCAATGAACCAATACGTTTTGAAAAATAACTTCGTTTTTGAGAAAACAATGTTTGAAGTTTTGATAAAAATTTCATCGATAATTTTCAAAATTCGCTATAAAATAAATTTCTTGAAAGATCCTTGTGGAAATATCACCAATTATTAATTATAGTATCCTCTTTTTAATGCAAAAAGCCGTTTTGAAAAATAACTTCGTTTTTGAGAAAACAATGTTTGAAGTTTTGATAAAAATTTCATCGATAATTTTCAAAATTCGCTATAAAATAAATTTCTTGAAAGATCCTTGTGGAAATATCACCAATTATTAATTATAGTATCCTCTTTTTAATGCAAAAATCATTAGTTTTTATTAATAAAATTATAATTTAAAAATTATTTTTGGTGATTTTAATTTTTTAATGTTTTCGAATTAAAATTTAAGTTGGTATGATTTGTTTTGAAATGGTTGAATTGGAGCAAAAACTGGTTTCTTGTTCTTAGTTCCTAACTTGTTGGTGTAAGCGAAAACGGCGTGTTCTGTTAATTTATTTTATTTCGTTTAAATTAATCTTAAAAAGTGAACGTGAAGTTTTAAAAAAAATGTCCGAGTATAAACCTTACCCCAATAAGAGGTATTTCAAATAAACTTGTTTATTTTTAAATTATATTTTTTTGGTTAATTTGTGCAAATTACTTTTTTGTATAAAAAATGATGTTGTAATGAATTTTTATTTCTTTTTGTAGGGCCCAAAGGCGTCTCCGAGGGGAGGATGTTTATGGATACAAAATTCGATTGTCAAATCCAACGAACGTTGGAGATTTACCAGCAAGAAATTTTACCCGTAAATATTTCTGATATATTTTTTTTTATTTATATTAATTTGTTTAATAAATTAGCTCGTCCACCAAAGTCTGTGGAAGGCGCCGGACAATCCTCAGGTTATTGCAGCCAAGATGGCGGCAATTATTACCCTAATAGTCAAAATAATAGCTGGGATTCCAGGAAATATTTACAAGAACAGGTAATTTAAATTATTAATCATTTATTAAACACTCGAAACCTAATCTTTCCAAATTTCAAACGGTATTTATTGGAAAAAGTTACAACCATTTCTATTAAGGTTAATAATTACTTATAGTTCGTTTTACTAGAAATACTTTTCTATGTAAACAAATGGCAAATTTCGATGATTTAAGCATAAATTAATAAATTTTCATCAAAAAAAAAAAAAAAAAAAATTGACATTTAATTTTGACGAATTGTTGTGAAGTTGGTTACAGTTGCTAACATCGAATTTGTGTCACATTGAAGTTTAAACTTTATTCAAAAGTTTATTTAAAAAATAAATTTGTCTACAACTACCTTATAATATATACCTTATGAATGAGATTTCTAAACTAAAAGGGTAATCATTTTTCACGGAGCGAATAATAATCATTATTCACGGATAGTCGACTTGACAGACTAATAATAATTATTTGAAACGTCAAAATTTCAAAAAACGTCAATTTAATTCAATTTTTTACGAGTTTCTATAGGTTTGACATTAAAATTCCTTTTTTCGTATGATTTAAGCATAAATTAATAAATTTTCGTAAAAGAAAAATATGACGTTTCATAAAATTGACATTTAATTTTGACAACTTGTTGTGAAGTTGGTTACAGTTGCTAACATTGAATATGTGTCAAATTGACGTTTTAACTTTATCTAAAAATTTATCGAGATTTTTATTTATTTTATTAATATTTTCTTAAATGATGACAAAACATAAGGCCGAGTTTGAGTCTTTCTTCGTTGGAAGGTTAAATTTAATCTCCCGATTTAAGTTACAATGACAAAAAAGAAGCACTGAATTTTTATTTAACTCATTTATAACCTAACTTTTTTTTAAAATCATTCTATTATTATTTTTTTGTTATTTATTAGGACACCGCTAAAAATTTACCATACATACCTCAAGACAACTTCTTTGTCCCAATAAAATCATCAAATTCTTTGCAAATAACCCAACAACGTTCGTCGACGCCGATGGATGATTCGATGGGGGCTTGCGGAGTTTCTTACCCAAACCGATCAAGATCAAACAGTGCGTTCGCGTTGAAAGAGGAAGAAAACGCGACTTATCAAGCAAACATTGGCTACAAAACCATCGAATTGTTGATTACCAATTTGGACCCGAGTCTTAATTTAAAATCCGTCCTTCAAAATTTAATCAAAGACTATGTTATGGTGGTTGGTTTGAACATTACGTACATGAAGGACACTCCGATCGCAAGTGTTAAAGTTGCCTCGCATCAAGATGCTCAGTACCTGATCTCTAAATTACATCGTTACAAACTTGGAAATAGGAGGATTATCTTTTCGTATGTTCAAAGTGATAATATCGATCCTGCTTATTTAAGGGATAGAGTTATTTCTGTTTTAACTGTAAGTATTTTTTTATTATTTAAATCGGGATTATTTAAATATAAATATTGCCATTTAAAACAGCTACACAACAAAAGATGGCACCACCATGAAATTAGAATTTGAAGTTACACTATTTGACAGTTCAATTATTATTGACAGGTTAAGTTTTCATTGAGAGTTACTTTATATGGTTATTTATTGATATTAACTTTATTTGATTATATTTTCAAGATAAATCTATATAATAATAATAAATGTGGCTATATTTAAAAAAATTAAATCTATATCTAAATTAAATCCTTGATATCTTTGCAAATCATCTGAAGTTTTTTTAAATCGTTTGAAAGATTATTGACCATGTCTCACACGTTTTCTAAAAACGTCAAAATTATTTTTTTTTAATAATTTTATTCTTGATAAGCATCCTAGGGTTGTTATTTATTGATTAGAAAACATTCCTATTAATTTTTCTAAATTCTTTCGTTTTTGTTAAGTAATATAAAAAGACTTTTAATCGATTTAAACCATTTTGACACACACTAATCATCTTATTCTATTTTCTGGTATGTTTGAAACATTTCTGAAAACGTCAGAATTGTTTTTTTTTAATCATTTTATTCTCTATAGGTGTCTTAGGGTTGTTATTTATCGATTAAAGCTATTTTGATTCACACCAATGAACTTTTCATATACTCAAAAATGTTGGAATCTTCTGGAAAATCTTCCTATTCGTTTTTCTAACTACTTTCGTTTTTGTTAAATAATATAAAAAGACTTTTAATCGATTTATATCATTTTGACACACACAAATCAATTTTTTCTATTTTCTGGTATGTTTAAATCACTTTAAAAAACATCAAAATCATTTTTTTAAATCTCTTCGTGCTCATTAAGTATTCTAGAGATGATTTTAGTCAGTTAGAGCCATTTTGACACAAACCAATCAACGTATCCCATATTCATAAATATTTGAAACTTCTGGAAAGCACCATTATTCATTTTTTTGTCTTCCGGGGGTTTTGTCAACTCATCTATAAGTAGTACCAATCGATTTGACTCATTTTGAAGGCCACAAATCAACTTTTTCTGTTTCTTGGTACCTTTAAAAGTCTTTCAAAAAATATCTAAATCACTTTTGTTCTTAAAAAAAATGTCAAAATCATTTTTGTTAGTTCGTTCGTCCTTGTTAAGTATTTTAGAGATGGTTTTACTCAGTTTTAGATATTTTGACGCCCACCAATCAACTTTTTCTACTTCTTGATATCTTTAAAACTCTTTCAGAACATGTCAAAATCAGTTTTGTTTCATCGTTCATTCTTATTAAGTATTTTAGAGATGGTTTTAGTCAGTTTTAGCCGTTTTGACACACACCAATCAACTTTTTCTATTTCCTAGTATCTTTGAAATACCACCAAAACACATCAAAACAGATATTTTAGTCCTTTTAGCCTCACTAAGTATTTTTGAGGTGGTTTTAGTCATTTAGAACAATTTTTATTCACACCAATCAACATATTCCATATTAGTAAAGTTTTGAATCTTCTGGAAAGTACCCCAATTCAGTTTTTTAACTTTTTTCGGTTTTATCAAGTAATCTTAAAATGTTATCAAGTGATTTTAGCCATTTCTATTTGTTTTAGTATCTTTAAAACATTTTCAAACATCAATTTAATCAATTTTTTTCGTCTTGGCAGAAAAAATAGCAATTTCTTTACTTATCAATAAATGATGAAAATATAGGCCGATATTAACAACATTGATTGAGACCTCTTTTCGTTTAAGAAAAGGGACGATCTCTCAAAGTTTTGTGATGATAAAACTGTATTGAAGCTTGATCTGATTAAACATTCCTTTTTATTTTATTCATTTTAATTTATTTCTTTTTTAAACAACTTTCTTTTTGATTTTAGGAATTCCCTGGAAATCGACTTCCCTTATATCATTTAATCACGCTACTTCAAAGCAGATTTAACATAAAAGTATCAAAATACGAATTGAACAGACTGAAAGATACCGTTCGTATCGAAGACATCAACAGCGAACGAATAATTAGTTTAATTCCGGAAATGCGTTCTTCGCCAACCGTTGAAATCAATACATTATTATTAGCGTATTGTAACGTACATTGTCCCAACGGTTTTTTTAACGAACATTGGTATGGCTCCCAAAATTATACTTTACCCAACATAAACATGCCTCTACAAACTTTTTCCAACAAATTACACACTTTATTAACGTTACACATGGATATTTTACCACTTTTAAGGTAATTATTGAAAAAATTAAATTATTAATTAATTAAATTATCGTGTTTTGTAGTTTCCCAATTTGTTATGAATCAATTTTTGGAGAAGAAATCCCCACAGATGAAAACGGGGTCCCTTTAGAGCATTTAGTGACTTGCGTGGAGGGTGTAAGTCTCAATTTTGGAGGTCCAAGGCGAAACGTGAAATACCTAAAACGTTCGAATCAAAACATTGATAGTCATGTAGTTAAAAATGAGGATGAAACGATTGGATCAGACACGATGTCTGAAGAGAGTAACGCCAATTTTCGAATACTTAGTCGAGAAATCTTTGAAATCTTAAGCATGACTAAGAACTATCAGTTGAATCTTTCGAAATTTATCCCGTTGTATCACAATCATTATCGACGACAATGTAAACTTGCTTATTATGGGTTTACAAAGTTAATTGATTTATTACAATGCCCATATTTATCTAAAGTTATACAGGTAGGTGATTTTTTCTCTTAAATTACTTATTACAAAGTTATTAGTACTTATTAAAGTACTGTTTGTAATGAGATCTAAGTAACATTTTATGGATCCAGTTCAAGTTGGTAACATTGGGTCATTAATTTTTTTAGTTGTCAATGTGACAATTTGAATACATTTTGTGTTTTGACAATTTCTGATTGTCAATTCAAATTTCTATTTTCAAGTGTTACCAACTGCTAAATACCTATTACCCTACGTTCTGTAGAAAGCATTTTGAACTTTAATTTCCCCATTTTCAACAAGCTTTAATTTGAATCGTCGATTTAAAAAAAAATCTCAAAATAAAATGGGGTTAGCTTACAAAATGTATATAACCTAACCTCAAAAATTTTTCGTTTTTTAAACGAGCCCTTTAGGAGAGAATTTTTTTCTTTAACCTCACTTTTAACATTTAACAGACGTCAAATTAAATCATCTATTTTCTAAAGCTTCTATAAATAGGATTTTTGACTCGAAAATCTTAAAACTTCAAACGGTCCTATATAACCTCAAAATAAATACTCGACTGGTGCACATAAGGGTATCAATCATCTAGGTATATCGAAACTATCTCCATTCATCCATGGCAGTCATCTATTTACTCTTAAAATCAGATTTAATATATGCTTCAGGATATGACGCAGTGTTCACACGAAGTCACAGATGCCTAAATTGTGTCATAAGTCATAAGCTACTGTATAAAGGTAATAATAGACTAAATCCTTTCACTTTCAAAATCCATTTCGAATCAAATCTTCTTCTCAACAAAAGTATCACTAGAATAAAGCTAAAAATAATTTTTTTCTTTAGTGTCGTCGAAAAAATTAAATTTACAGTTTCCTGTAAATTACGGTACTATAACTAAAAATTAAAAAAACATATTTCTCAAAACAATGCAATCCATTAAATATTTCCGTATGAAGAGTTGGTGTAATAAACATAATTATTTGTTTTTAAATACCAGAAAAATAAAATCCTTTGATTTAAGTATCGCCCCGTAATTTACAGGAAACTGTAAATTTCATTTCTTCGACGACACTAGATTTATTCTAGTAATATTCTAGAACCATATTCTAGATGGTCTTGTTGACTGGATTATGTCGTGAGATTTTCCATTTCAAGCTTGTTAATGGCATGCTAGATATCCCCTATCTTCTGCCTGAGTTGAGCTTCAAGGTACCACAACGACTTAACACGTTACAACGCCACATTTCGTCTTAACGTATCTAACACCAACCTTTATCGAAACTCACCATTAGTTCGAATTCTTAATTCCTATAACCAGAGCTTCAATCATGTATCTGTCTTTGACGTTTCTTTATGCTCTTTTATAGAATGTGTACCGTGTTTAACCCTTTGTGTATCGACGGTACTTTAAAGTACCAGTAGTTTCAAACACTCATTTTAAAAAGAAAGCTTTGAGCTTTAATTTAGAACAAGTCTCATTCCTTAATTTCAATAAATACGGCTTCCAGGAATTTTTAAATTAGCATCTTTTTTGACACTTTTAGGTTATACGAAAATGTAAGTTTTATTTCAACTTTTTTTTTCTCTATATTTTTCCAATCCAACCCAACAATTATTATACATCATTTTAAAGAGAAAGCTTTGAGCTTTAATTTAAAATAAGTTTCATTCCTTAATTTCAATAAATACGGCTTCCAGGAATTTTTAAATTAGCATCTTTTTTGACACTTTTAGGTTATACGAAAATGTAAGCTTTGTTTCAACATTTTTTTCTCAATATTTTTCCAATCCAACCCAACAATTATTATACATCATTTTAAAGAGAAAGCTTTGAGCTTTAATTTAGAATAAGTCTCATTCCTTAATTTCAATAAATACGGCTTCCAGGAATTTTTAAATTAGCATCTTTTTTGACACTTTTAGGTTATACGAAAATGTAAGTTTTGTTTCAACATTTTTTTTCTCAATATTTTTCCAATCCAACCCAACAATTATTATACATCATTTTAAAGAGAAAGCTTTGAGCTTTAATTTAGAATAAGTCTCATTCCTTAATTTCAATAAATACGGCTTCCAGGAATTTTTAAATTAGCATCTTTTTTGACACTTTTAGGTTATACGAAAATGTAAGTTTTGTTTCAACATTTTTTTTCTCAATATTTTTCCAATCCAACCCAACAATTATTATACATCATTTTAAAGAGAAAGCTTTGAGCTTTAATTTAGAATAAGTCTCATTCCTTAATTTCAATAAATACGGCTTCCAGGAATTTTTAAATTAGCATCTTTTTTGACACTTTTAGGTTATACGAAAATGTAAGTTTTGTTTCAACATTTTTTTTCTCAATATTTTTCCAATCCAACCCAACAATTATTATACATCATTTTAAAGAGAAAGCTTTGAGCTTTAATTTAGAATAAGTCTCATTCCTTAATTTCAATAAATACGGCTTCCAGGAATTTTTAAATTAGCATCTTTTTTGACACTTTTAGGTTATACGAAAATGTAAGTTTTGTTTCAACATTTTTTTTCTCAATATTTTTCCAATCCAACCCAACAATTATTATACATCATTTTAAAGAGAAAGCTTTGAGCTTTAATTTAGAATAAGTCTCATTCCTTAATTTCAATAAATACGGCTTCCAGGAATTTTTAAATTAGCATCTTTTTTGACACTTTTAGGTTATACGAAAATGTAAGTTTTGTTTCAACATTTTTTTTCTCAATATTTTTCCAATCCAACCCAACAATTATTATACATCATTTTAAAGAGAAAGCTTTGAGCTTTAATTTAGAATAAGTCTCATTCCTTAATTTCAATAAATACGGCTTCCAGGAATTTTTAAATTAGCATCTTTTTTGACACTTTTAGGTTATACGAAAATGTAAGTTTTATTTCAACATTTTTTTTCTCAATATTTTTCCAATCCAACCCAACAATTATCATACATCATTTTAAAGAGAAAGCTTTGAGCTTTAATTTAAAATAAGTCTCATTCCTTAATTTCAATAAATACGGCTTCCAGGAATTTGTAAATTAGCATCTTTTTTGACATTTTTAGGTTATACGAAAATGTCAGTTTTATTTCAACATTTTTTTTCTCAAATTAAATCATCTATTTTCAAAAGCTTACATATATAAATTGGATTTTTGACCCGAAAATCTTAAATTTTAGTTATAGTGCAAGAAAACATAACATCAAAAAGTTTTTTAATACTATATTTTTTTTTAGATAATGGGCGATGGTGATAATCGAGTTATAACATTAACACATTCAGCTCAAATTCGTCGATTCACTCGCGATTTATTTAAAGTACTAAAAGCACATCAACGAAAACCGATAACTTTAAACGAATTTCCATCGATTTACGAACGGGCGATTAAACGTCCGTTCAACGTTTTCGAATACGGTTTATGCGAGTTGGAGGATTTATTAAACGAAGTTCCGAAAGGAGTTATAGTCGTTTCGAAAGAAAATCCCGACGAAACCGTAACAATTTCGATCCCAAAACCGATTCAAACCGCCGAACAAGTTATTCGTACAAAACAATTCGCCGAAAATGTCATCAAATTGTTGTATCACACACCTCAAGGTTCGATGATGTTCAATAAATTCGTTCCAGCATATCATTGGCATTTCGGGCATCAGTGTCGAATAAGCGATTATGGGTTTACAAAATTGATTGATTTATTTGATGCGATTCCGGAAACGGTTCGAATTGAAGATCTTCCGAATGATGAAAGAAAAATTTCTTTAACAGCGCCGGTTGCGTTGAGAATTTTAGGTTTAAAAATACGGAATATAATACAAACCTCTAAATTAGCTACTGTACCTTTAGTGGATTTACCAACGACTTATTTGAAACAATACGGTTATCCACTTCTTCCTCAAACGTACGATTGCGAAACAATCCTAGAAGTTCTTCAAAAATTAACAGATTATGTTGATGTTTCTATAAGCAGCGCTGGTCCGATGCTTATTTTAGCCTCAGCCGAATTAAACGCAACCGCAATAATGCGAATTTGGTCGATATTATTGCAACCTCCCCATCAATTAACCGCCAATGAATTTATTAATCGGTATCAAGAAAATTTTCATACCTACACTTATTTGGCGCAACTCGAAGATTTAAAAGAAATCGTTTCAATTCAAGGGGATGATAATAATGATAATAAAACGGTCCAATTAAACGCTTTTTATGAATTGGCTGCGGAATTTTATCATTTATTGTATAAAGCTGGAGGAAAGATTCGATTGGGACAATTGGAAGTAAGGCATAAACAAGTTTATAACAAAACGATTTGTTATGAAACCTTCGATTCTGATGGTTTGGAAGATTTACTGGGAAAAATGGATTTTGCCTTTGTTGTTCAATGGCCGGCTGGAAGGACTTATGTTTCTTTAAAACTTTCTCTTAGCGGTAAGTGGCTTAATTATAACAAATTTTGGTTTAATAAATAAATATTTTTACTACCTTATAAATGAGTTTTCTAAAACGAAAGGGTAGTCATTCTAACATTAATCATTAACAATCAAAAACATGACGTTTCATAAAATTGACATTTAATTTTGACAAACTGTTGTGAAGTTGGTTACAGTTGGTAATATTGAATTTGTGTCACATTGACGTTTAAACTTATTCAAAAATGTATTTAAAGAATAAATTTATGGAATCAATTTCAATTGTAGTCGTGGACAAAGTATACTATTCCACTCACATATAATAATGTAATATTAATAGCTTATGGAATTCCACTCCCGGTGCATTGCGATACAATCACGGAAACGTCTGAAAATCAAGGAGGGATCGTTTGGCCTCCCGTACCCCCCTTATCGATGTGGAACCATGGACTGAGTCTATGTGAACCTGCAAAGCCCGATACTCCCCCCGCAAACGTAAGATTTTTATTGCTAAAAGAACGGTTTTTTAATTAAAGGTAGATATTAAACAAATTTTTTGCAGCCCGGAAATGTGTACAGTCCGAAAACATCACCCGTTAGTATTGTTTATTTGTCGTTTTCGCTTTCAGTTTTGTTTCTAATTGAGTTTAAGCTTTTTTTTCGATTTATTTTTATTTTTCAAGATGTTTTCAATACATCTGCCCATTTTTAACACTCCATCAAAGGCGATCACCACGTGGAGATCTATATTATCACCGATGCCAAATTTACAACCGGTTTATACATATCCTGGGATATCGTCTCCACATCCGGCGGAAGTTCCTATGCCAAATAAACTTTTAGAGAAAGGTAAATTAAATTTAAAATAAATTGAGGTTATGTTCTTAATTTTTAATTATTGCGAGGTTGGCTACGAAGTTTTAAAAGAAATCGTTTCAATTCAAAGGGATGCTAATCATAATATTGATAATAAAACAGTTCAATTAAGTGCTTTTTATGAATTAGCGGTAGAATTTTATTATTTATTATAATATAAAAGATTATGTTTAAAAGTAAATTGAGGTTATTTTTGTAATTTTTAATTATTACGAGGTTGGCTACGAATTCTTAAAAGAAATCGTTTCAGTTCAAGGGAATGATAATAATGATAATTGATAATAAAACAGTTTAATTAAGTGCTTTTTATGAATTAGCAGTTACAATTTTATTATTTATTATATAAACGTTGTTTAAAAGTAAACTGAGGTTATGTTTATAATTTTTAATTATTACGAGGTTGGTTGCCCTTTTTTTTTTAATTTTTCCATTTGACAGATTAGTAACATAACCTAAAAAATTAAATTTCGTTAATTTTAGATGATTCAAACGATTCCGGCGTAATTAATCAATCAAAATCAAATTCAGAAACGGATTCTTCGACGGAGAAGGAAAAACAAACCGGTAAGTGAGATAAATTTCGAAAATAATTAAGATTAAAACGTTGAAATTGTTGAAGGTACAAAACCAAAGATACTTTCTACTGGTAAGAAGTCACAATTAAAGTTCGAATAAAAAAAAAAGTAATTTTTAATGTGTTCCTTTCAATTTTAATCACGTAATTAAAATAAATTTAAGTAAATAGCGTTTCCGCTCCTGCTCTATATGCGTTTTCATTATAAAACTTTTTATCGAAAAGGCATATCGTAACACTACCGGAAATCGTTATAAAATCACTTATATTTAAGCATTCCAATAATGTTTCTGTGATTGTACGTAGTAATTTTTTACCAACTGTGGTTAATTTTTTATTGTTAAAAATTTACTTAATCTTCGAGTCAAAGTATGATCTCTTTGTACCGCCGACAAGGTATTAAGTCTTTCTCTTTATTAGTGTTTTGATCAATTTGTTTTTGTTCTGATGAATGCATTTAAATGGTTACAAGTTAATATCAACAAATTATGTGTGTTGAGAATAATAAATGAAAACGGTAGATTTTATGTACGTCGCCCTGATTCACAAATCTTATCTAGCCAAGTCATATTAATTATATATATTTTTATATTTCACGTGACTATTAAGGCGATTAGTGTGTAAGAAATTAAATGTATAGTTTCGATGGAATGCAAAAGAAATTTATGTTATATGTGATTTTTCCCAATAAATTTTTACGTCTTTTCAAAAAATAATAAATATCCATTTTTCGTATCTTAACCGGATCCTTTGACCCGTTTCACACAAATCGGTTGCCGGATAAACGGTATTAGTGTGTTAAGCATATATATACTATCTTCTATATCGCTGACTAAGGCAGCAAAAGAGTGTAAACACTAGAGTGCAGATATATATATATCTGTCTTTGTCGTACCCCCGTCGACTCAAGAGACATGTGTGAACACGTGATGAGTACGCTTTTATCTTATTGGACGGTGAATTAAAAATTAATAGCAGCTGATGACCTTGATGTTTATAAATCAACAAATAAATGTTTGACATAAACATAACCTAAAATCTAAATATTTAGTTATGTATATTATAGGTTTCATGTGTATAATAACATAATTATTAACATATTTTAGGACTAAGCAATTTAAAATGTAATTGTTATTTGTTAAGAAAGTGAAGCAAATGTGTTAAAAGTAAAATAAAAAAGAAAAAGAGTAGTGGAGATATTTTTGGGTCCTAAAAATTGGTTGAGCAGGTAGAAGGAAAGGTCTCAGTGTAATAAAAAAGAATTCAAAGTCCTCCTTTTCTTGAAACATTTTTCTTTATAAACATTTAGAGTACATATACTCTAATTTATTTGATGCATCAGTGATAATTTATAGTTAAAGTAAACCATCTATAATAATAATTGCATTTTAAAGCTGCATAAAATACGCGCGAAACACTTCAAACTCTTTAAAATTTACGATTCGCGCTAGCGCTTTCGCGACACGGGGGTACGACAAAGACAAAACATATATCATTCCGTCTTCTTTTGATGGAAACGCTCGCCACTCATTGCTTAGATAGGGAGTCAGCGATATAGAAGATAGTATATATATGGTGTTAAGGTAAGTTTCCACATGCATGGATTCCAGTCAGCTGGTACCAGTTCAGTTTAAGTTCAGTCTTTTAAGATTGATTTTTTTATTTTAATCGCGAGGGTTATAAAAATTAAAGAGTTCGATAAAAGGAAATTAAGTTCACTTAACTTGTTTCCGGAGGCGTGACATGTCAGTTAAAAATGGTTGGTTGACCTTGGTCTTGCGGGAAGGATGTTCTTCGGTGTTAGAAGTTTAGGATTCTCGGGAACAGGATGGAACATTGGACTCGATCTCAGGTATGGTTTCGATTTCTTCGCAAATAATTTAGAAACACTTGTTTACTTTTACTTGATAAAGAAAATTGAGTTGTCAAAAAAAAAATTCTAAGTTCAAACTTAGGTTAGAAATTTTTAGGTTAAATTGACGTAGATTCGACAACGCTTCGCTCTAGCCAAAATTGAACTCTCTAGGTGTCAAATTTGCGCGGCCTTATATACCCTTTTTGGACAAAGGCTTCTTGGATATCCGAATTTGGTCGCCTCAGTTTGAATCTGGGCTCTCTGATTGGTTGATAAAATGGCGGGAATTATAAATTACACAGGTTGGCCAAAATGATTGATTTTTTTAAAGAAAATAACTATCAACTTTGAAAATATTCGAAATTATTAATAAACTTTAAATTTGATTAAGATTTTGTAGCTAATTTTTCGTTCTTTTAGATAATCGCGCTTTCGGGTGTCAAATTCCTTCGAGGAATTCGTAATTTGATGTTAAAGTTTGGAAAGAAAAAAATGAAATTTAGATATATAAAATGATTCAGAAATAGATGAAATTGCGGCCTAAGGGCTAAATCGACACGATCTATCGATCTCGCATGGTTTTAGAATCGAAAATCGTCTGAAAAGTCGCCAAAATCAATACCTGTCAAAATGTAAATGTCAAAATTTGAAGGTCATAGACTTCAATGAATTATCCTTTTCTTGCACATCGTAATAATTTTTCTTAAAACTAAACGAAAATCATAACAAAACTAACTACTTATAGTCTAATCCAAAATTGTAAAGTTCTTAAATTTAATTAGGTTTTTTTCTGTTTCTTCGGAAACAGGGATTTTATTACAATACCTTATAAATAAGTTTTCTAACAATATTCTAAAGGTTTGACATTAAAAAAACTTAAACAAATTCCTTTTTTCGTAAAAGGTTAAAAAAAACATGACATTCATAAAATTGACATTTAATTTTGGCAAATTGTTGTGTAGTTAGTTACAGTTGGTAACATTGAATTTGTGTCAAATTGACGTTTAAACTTTATTCAAAAACTTATTTAAAAAAATAAATTTATGGAATCAATTTCAATAGTAATCATGGACACAGTATGGTATTCTAATAATATACTATTATCAACAACATCTTTGACATAAACACCACATAATTATTAACTTTCTACATTCCATTATGATATCACTAATGTTGTTGCTAATTAATTATACAATATTGAATTTACAAACTTATCAAAAATAAGCCTTTTGGCTTCAAGTCCCACTTCTTAATAAAACAAAATTTGTTTAAACAATTTTATTTATTTCGAAAAAGAATACAACTAACCTCAATACTATACAATATCATCCTTATTTTCGTTTTATTCCTCCTCCTCTTGCTTTTTCATCCCAGATCCAACCGGTCCATGGCGTCTCTCCCAAATCATACGATGTTTTTGCTTCATATAAGCAGAACGAACATTATGGTAAGCCCCAAGATCACCGTACTTAGTGAACCAATTCGTAGAAGCCTCCTCGTAATCTTTACGAATCGGGGCGCATCTCTCGATATGATCCGGCTGTTCGTACATGTTGCATTCTTCAAAACGTTGACGCAAAATGTTTATTATTTCAGTATCGACTAACCTTTAAAAATTTGTTACATAACACTTTTTTTAATTTACTAAAAACATTTTTTGATTAGTCTTAAAAGAAAGTTACCTGTCTCGTTTATACTGGCAATTAGCTTCGAAATAACAAGCTACATCATCGGTGTAGCACTCATCGACAGTTGGAACTCTACGCATTTTTTCGTGGTACCATGGGTATTGTTTTTGGTTGGGTTCAACGATGTTTTCTGTGCATAAATACGTATTAATATAATTTTAAAAAAGGGAAATTTTATTGTTTAAATAAAAAAAAAATTTTGAAGGGTTATTTTTAGGTTAAAAAAGTGAGGTTATGTTTACCTCTAACCCAAACTGTTGGTCCTTCTAATACTTTATAAACGTTGTTAAAGAATCGTTCGATTATGTTTCTGGGTTGCGCTTCGGGCATTTTAATACGATTTTCTTAATAATTCTTTGATTTATGTCACCTTTAAGCGACGACGATAATAAATTTAGTGACTTTTGTTAAGTTTACCAACCTGATTCGATTCGTTTTTAGGGTTATGTCATTTTTCTCATTATTATTAAAACACAATTTATTGATAAATAATTTTTAATTATTTTTTTCTAAGTTTTTCTATTTCTAGTTGTTGCAAATTACTTTCAGCGGTCGTTTCCGATAACTAAAATCGAAATTTTATTCATTAATTAATCGTGGAATTAAAATCTTAGTTACCATGTCTAAAACTATTTGATAACGTAACCTCAACATATTATTTTCTTCTTCTAATTCTTCGATTTTCTTTTCTAATTTTTGAATAACTTTGTTGTTGTGCGATCCACTACCTAATTAATTCGATCGAAATTAAATTCTTCGTGTTTTATTACGTAAAATTTAGTGACTTACTTGGTATCCATTGGCCGTTATCGAAGGTGCATTCTTGGTGTCCTAGTAATAACCGAACCGATCTATTTTCGTTGAGTAATCGTTCTTGTATCTCTTCGGCGTTCCCATTTATTGAAGTTTTGCGAGGGGGAGGTTTTTTCGGCGAAAATTTGTTACCGAAAAAGGGCATTATTTTTATGACAGTTATTACAATACAAACAAATTAATTATGTTTTGAATTAATTATTTAATTAACATTTTGTTCGTAAGTTATTATTAGAGCATCTTTTACACGATTCATTTCAACCTTAATTAATTAAACTAGAAATTTGGTTAAATTTTTATTAAATAAATTAAGTTGTTACACCTTACTTGAACATTTTGACATTGACGTTTTTTATAAATGTCAAAAAGTGGTGATCAAGATTATAACAAAACGTTATTTTAACTAAACGTTTAAGTTAACAACATGGGTATTTTAGAGAAAATATCGGAAATTGAGCGAGAAATATCCCGGACACAAAAAAATAAAGGTTAGATTATTATAAAAAAATTTTTTTGAGGTTATGTCAATTTAATTTTTAGCTACCGAGTACCATTTGGGTTTATTAAAAGCAAAACTAGCTAAATATCGGTCCCAATTACTAGAACCATCCAAGAAAAGCGAGAAAGGTGAAGGATTCGACGTTTTAAAAAGTGGAGATGCTCGAGTTGCTTTAATTGGATTCCCTTCAGTTGGAAAAGTACTCTTTACAACAACATAAAATAACAACGAACTATTTTTATCACTATTTTAGTCCACCTTATTATCAACATTAACAAAAACGGAAAGTGAAGCTGCCTCGTACGAATTCACAACTTTAACCTGTATTCCTGGAGTTATCGACTACAATGGGGCTAATATTCAACTTTTAGACTTACCAGGGATTATAGAAGGGGCTGCTCAAGGTAAAGGTAGAGGAAGACAAGTAATTGCAGTAGCTAGAACTGCCGATTTAGTCCTAATGATGTTGGATGCTACAAAAAAGGACGTTCATCGCGATTTGTTGGAAAGAGAATTAGAAAGTGTTGGGATTCGATTAAACAAAGCAAAACCAAACATTTATTTTAAAATTAAAAAGGGTGGCGGGATTTCGTTCAATTCGACTTGTCCCTTAACGAAAATTGATGAAAAATTAGTTCAGTTAATTCTTCATGAATATAAAATTTTTAATGCTGAAGTTTTATTTCGTGAAGATTGTAATGCTGACGAATTAATTGACGTGATTTGCGCAAATAGGGTTTATTTGCCTTGTCTTTATGTTTATAACAAAATAGATCAAATTTCTATCGAAGAAGTGGATAGAATTGCGCGCCAACCTCACAGTGTAGTTGTAAGGTATATTTTTAATTATCTTAATTATATAACTTATAATTTATAAATTTAAAATGATTCTAGTTGCAACATGAAACTAAATCTGGATTTTTTGTTGGAAATATTATGGGAATATTTACAATTAATTCGGGTTTATACAAAAAAACCGGGTCAACCCCCAGATTTTGCTGATGGTTTAATTCTAAGAAAAGGAGTTAGTGTTGAACATGTTTGTCATGGTATTCATCGCACTTTAGCGCAAGCGTTTAAGTATGCTTTGGTTTGGGGTACTAGTACCAAATATTCACCGCAACGCGTTGGGGCGAACCATATCATGCATGATGAAGATGTTATACAGATTGTTAAGAAATAATTTGTTTATTACTCGATTTAATTGTAAAATTGTAATGCAATATTGAAAAGAAAAACGAAAAAGATCAATATTATACAAAAACATGATTTATTTTAATTTTTATTTATACTTTAATTCCTATTGTAATAGTTATTAACAATTTAAGAAACTGACATACCGAGGACATTTACAGATTTTTTTTTTTCTTAGACTTTGTTCAACCACTCATCAACAGATTGCGCCACTTTATTTAAATTTTCGCCGTTATAACTAAATTAATTGGATTTGAGTTAAAAATCACTGAATATATAAATATCATTATTGAATGTAGGTATTTATCTCTTTAAAATAAAACTTTTTGATTATTTTGTTTTTTTGAAAATTAATAGAAAAATTTTACCTAATTTTACCTCCTCGAAAATGAACATTTTTGTATTAAACCAAAACTTTGTTCGTTGGGACTCTGCACGACATGGTACTCGTATGATGTAAAGAATATTAATAATAAATAAATAAAAATTAATTATTTTCCTAATATCAGGAATTTTTCGGTTAATGCGACATCTATTATCCAATTTTAAAACTATTCATATCCAACAATTTTTACCGATTATGTGATTTGAATGCAAAATAAAGCTTCCCATCGTTTAGGAGATTTTTTCAGTGACATGGGATAATAAATAATTGGTTATATTTGGAACTTACCTGTACTTATAGATAAAATCATAATTAAGAATTTGATCTGATGTTGACATATTCACGTTTAATTTTCGTACCAACCTAAATTTCAATAAACATGAATTATTTTTAAAAGTATGCAACCCAATATACACTTGATTATTAGAAATACAAAAATAAATAGAATTTTCAAAAGATTTTATTTAAATTTATGCGGTATACAATAACCTGTAACATATACACAATATCAATAAATACAATAAATACAATTCGTACCTTGTAGCCGCTTAGTTAGTGTCGGAATGTGGTGTGTTTCTTTAAAAATTAATATTTCCTTTCGTTTAAATATAATACTATTTAGTAATCGTCCTAACAGTCACTGCCAAAGGTTTTTCTTTTTTTTTGAGATCGAAAAAGTAGATAACAAACAAAAATTAAAAAAAATTGAAACAAAAAATAAATTTGACTATTATTTAAAAGTTTAATATTATTCATTATTATTAATTATATATAGTATATATATTTATAATAGAATTTTTTCCTTATTTTTTGGGTTTCCACAAATTTACTTATTTTTAAGAATATTATTTTTTCTCGTTTTCTTCAAGAGATAAAGAGATAGGGTTTTTATTTATTATTATTTTTTCTTTTTTTGTTTTTGGGGTAAAGAATGCTGCTATTCTTGGGGTTAATGCTAAAAACGCGGGGAAAATTCGTGAAAACATCTTTCTTTTTTCGATAATTAATCAAATTTAACACAAACGACCACTGCAACTATAAAAATAAACATGTAAAAGTACAACAAGCTCCTACAATAGTATAAGTTAAGTTACTTTTTTGTATTCTTTTCACGATCGTTATTTTATTTCATCATTTAATTTTTTTTTTCGTCTTAATTTTGGTCCTTAATCATTTTTTTTATCGTCTCATCAAGTATTTTTTATTATTCTTTTCGTCTTTGTTTGATTTTTTTTTAATACAACTTCGAACTCTTTATTTTATCTTTATTTCATCTTAATTTCGTTTTCGTCAATAAATTTTGTAGTCATCTTAGCACCTACTTATTTGTTAACACATTTTAAACTAATTTTTTTTGTTTAATTAATTAAATCTAAGATATATAGCGACCGTGTTTGTATTTTTTTTAATTTTTTTTAAGTAGCAATTAACACCAATTATGTTTTTTTAAGTAAAACTTGATTATATGAGCTAAGATTTTTCTTTTTTATCAAAGAGATGATTTCTTTTTCGCTTCTTTGAGGAACTTTAATCAATCTTTTTTTCCTATCTTGAGAGGTATCTTTGGTTGTTGTTGTTGTTGTTATTTTTTTTGCAATTTCTTTTTTTTGTGCGTTTTTGTCTTTGACAGTTAAGCATTTAACTTCACTTTATATTAATGAAAAAATCCACCTTTTTAAACAATTAAACTTTTTTTCTCCTCAAAAAGCAAAAAAGAAATCCCCCCTTGAAAAAATTCTTTTTATTTACACCAAATTACAACATTTTGTTCCTTAATACGGTTACACAAACATTGATATTGATTTTTTTTAAATTTTTTTAATCTGTATAAAACTATTTTTTAAAGGAGACAATTATTACATTTTTATCTTGCTTATTTTGCCGGTTAAATACTTTTAAACATTATTAAATATATTAAAATCTACTTCTCTTAAGTTAAACACACATAGATCGCTAATTATGGTACATTCAGATGGTTTTAAAACGCCAGAAATTACAAAGTTTTACGACATTACGCTAAAGGCTGTTGTCCTTTCTTTATTTATAACAATCGCAAACAAATAAAGCGATTAGGGCTAACTAAAAAGACATTTTTTATTAATTTATATTCTTTTTTTTCAATTTTTGATTGCTAATAATTTGCTCAGAACGTTTACCGTGCAGCGAATTTCAGTTTTTAAACATTTTTCAAATTCAAAAATTCGATTTGAACCCCATCTATTGAATAATTTTCATATCAAATTTCTAATTCAACTTAATTTTCATTATATTTATAACATTATTAACATCATTAGTGTATTTTGAACAATTTTCTTTTTTATTTCACATTTTTAAACGTTATTATTGTTTTTTCAAATTTTATTAAATCATTTAAATGACAAATTAGATGTAGCGCCATCTATCGGAAAATCTCGCAAATTTTAACTGTCACTTCCTTGTAGTATTTAAATATAATTTTATACCCTTTTTATTGCTTTTCATATCTTAAGAACCAAAATAACTTTATTCGTTTTCATTTCTCTCACTTTATTACAACTGAGATATATTTTTTACGCGTAAAATTAAATTATTTGTCGCCAAGATCAAAACGTTTTTAGGAACTTTATCGAGCATTATTCGCTCTAATTTATAGCAACGCAACAAAATAAATAAATTTAGTACCTTAATAACTCATCCTTACACCATTATTTACTTCACAATTAAAAAAAAAACACGTTTTAATCACTTGAGATTGACAGCCACAAATCGAGGTTAAATTTAGCGCCATCTATCGGATTATCGCAAAAAAAACATTAAATTTTTAATTAATTATTTCTCACCTATTATTAAACATGAACTTTAAAAATTAATATGAATCATGTTTTCCCTTTGGTGCTTTTATCCAATTTAACATCTTAATTGTTTCTATTTTATTAACATACTATTAATGACAACAAAAACCGCCATCTATTGGTCACCTCAAAAACTAGATTAATATTTCGTTAAAAAAAATCGATTATTACCTTTCTGCGTATTTGTTAATAAGATAACAAAGATTTATCGATTTTGATTGAGAAATAATAATTAGTAATTAATAGAAGTAATTATTGATTTATTTCGACGAAAATCTCTTCTAAAATGACAACTATAAATTGTTAGATTTAGCGCCATCTATTAACTAATTGCTTAAAAATTAAATTTAATTAACAAAAACAATAAATAATTTTATAAATAATAATAATTTATCGTTAAATTATAATAATATTCGTATTTTTAAAATTTGTACACGAAAAAATCAAATTAAACAAAAAAAATCATCAATAAATTTTTTTTTTTAAATACTCACCACAATCGATAAATAAACCATAAATATATCATAACGACAAATTCTTAATCACGCATTTCGCTCAAAATATTAATTTTACGATGTTTTTGATCAACAATTTTATTTCTAAAATGACAGATATCTTTGAAATGACAGCAATATAGGTTAGATTGAGCGCCATCTATTAAATAACGTTGTTATATCAAATAATTTAAATTAAAATTAAATGTTAATGTTAATACGTTTCTACAATCCATAAAAAAGCTCAAAATATAAATATTACGATGAGATTTCATTAATTTTATTTCGTATTATTTTTCGTGATATTAAAAAATTGATATTAATACTAAATTAAATTCTTTTTGTTGTTAACTTTGTAAGTTATCTTAATAATTTTTGATCGATTTAAATTGTTATGTTTCAGTTTGAGTGTATTTTTTTGATTAAAATAACACCACGCAAATTATTAATTATTTATTACGCCATCTATTGAGTTACCTTGAAACAAATTATTAAAAATTCAAATTTAATTGTAATTATTAACATTTTAAAGATGAACTTTCAAAATTTACTTATTTCTATGATTTCTTTGATCAATTTTCTATTATTTGTCTTTGGCTTTATTCGTTTTTTCTTTGAATTAGATTTAGCGCCATCTATTAAGTGATTTCGAAACTTTTCCTATATTATTGATTTGTTTTTGCAAATTTATTTAAAAAAAATACAACATTAAAAGAATTTGGATTTAATTAAAAACCGAGGTAAGATCTATGGTTTCACTTTAAATCTTTATTTTTTTGTGTTTTAGCAGCGTTTAATTGTTCAATTTATTTTTAAACTTTGAAGCTAACATTTTCTCCCATTGATCTGCATATTTTTAAGAGTACAATGAAAAAACTTTGAATTATTGGAACCGTTTAGTTAAATCCGAACACTTTTAAGCCGATTTTTCGTTTTTGAGTTGATTAATCTCAGTTTTTGATGGATTTGTCATATTTTGGTACATTTTTGGATAATTTAATCGAATTTTATTATCTCCTATAAGTTATTGCTGTTATTTTTCGTGCCATAAAGATATAATTTTTATTATATTAAAACTGATATTCACCTTTATCTTTTTGTTAACCTTAAAACTAACAGTTTTGCCTTTTAATTTAGCCACAATCGCCTTATTTATTTATTTCGTCACTTTTAATTTACAAATTCTTTGAAACAAGTCCCCAAATTTTTCTTTTTTAATCTAAAATAGCTTTTAATCTTAAAGAGTCGAGTGTACTTGTCATGAATCTCTATCTTTGTAGAAGTATTTTGACTACATAAATTTGTTTTAAGTGATTTTATTTTGTGTTGTGACTCAATCGATTTATTTACGCTAAAAGTAACCTAAATAATTCTCTTTTGTAACCTTATTTCTTATTGTTAATTTCATTAAGTTTTTCTTTGGTTATTTTATGTCTTTGGAATTGGAGTCAGCTTTATTTTTAATGTTTTTTGAGCGAATTAATCATTAATTTTGAGTGCTTTTTTGTTGTTCTTTTTGAAATTCTTTTTATAATCATTTTTGAAAATCGTTTTTGAAAGTCATAATATTTTCTTAATAAAAACTACTAAATTCTGCGAAAACAAACGAAATGGTCCCGTTTGAAGTATTAACGTTATTTTTCTTTCTCATTTTTTGATATTTATTCGCAAATTGATTTCATAATTTTAAACCTATTTCAAAAAAAAAATTCATTTTTGTGTCCCATCTATTGGATAATCTTGAAAATAAAAAATTCAAATTTAATCATATTTTCTTACATCTTAAACCCAAATTTTTATAATTTTCATTATTTTTATTTTTGTTAATGTGTTTTGAACAATTTTCCTTTTTATTTCTTAAGTTTCTTTTCGTGTATTTAATTAAAATGTCATTTCGTTTATCTTTTTAGATGGCTTTTTCGTGGCATCAATTGAATAATCCTGCAAATAAAATATTAAAAATTCAAATTTAATTCTAATTTTTACCCTTTAAACGTGAATTTTCAAATTTTTAATTATTTTTTACGTTCTCTTAATTTTCCAAGTATTTTCTCTTTAAACTATTTTTTTGTGTGTTTCATTAAAATGACAACTAAACAGTTTAGATTCAGCGCCATCTATCGTAATATATCGAAAATAAGTATTTTTTTTATTAAACTTATTAAAATATTTAAACAAATTAATTTTTATTATCAATTTGTAACGAATTTTGAAATATTTTTGTTATTTTTACGTTGTTTCTCAATACTCCAAGTATTTTCTCTTTTTAATTATATTTTTTGAGTGCTTCATTATAATGACAACTAAACATTTAAGATTCCGCGCCATCTATTGGATTATTTCGCAAATAAATATTTTTTATTAAAATATTTAAACAATTTAATTTGCACCTCCAATTTTTAATAATTTTTTGTTATTTTTACGTTGTTTCTCAACATTCCAAGTATTTTCTCCTTTTATTTTTTTTTTTGCGTATTCATTATAACAAATAAATATTAAAGATTCCGCGCCATCTATTGATTATTTCAAAAATAAACATTTTTTTGTTAAAATATTTAAACAATTTAATTTTCATTATCAATTTTTAATAATATTTTGTGATTTTTACGTTGTTTCTCAACATACCTAGTAGTATTTTATCTTTTTAATTATTTTTTTGCGTTTTTCATTAAAATGACAACTAAACACTTAAGATTCAGCTCCATCTATTGGGTTATCTCGAAAATAAACTTATTGTTTAAACAAACTAACTTTTATTATTAATTCTTATTCTTTTTTGCAGATAATTTCCTAGTTATACTTACACTGTTATTGTTTTTAATAATTCCTTGAGTATTTCGGATCAAATTCTCAATAATTATTCGATTTCTCCAAATTTAAATAAATAATTCACAAGTCCTTGTTTTTAATGTAATAATTTAACATGAACAGTAAAGTTATTCCTTCAGTTCGTTTAAGTTCATTATCAACATTTCTCATGAGATTTATTAAAACCATTCTGTGATGTACATCGTTGTAACTAAAACTTAATCGTAATAAAATTTGTGGTTGTGTAAACCAATAAAATCACAAGGTTTCATCATTTTGTTCATCAACTTTTAAGAAACACAATTTTCTTTGTTACATAACCTAAAATAAAATAATTAACCACAAATATTTCATCCCTGTTTACGTTATCATCAAAATGTTGCAAATTTTATGTAATTTTCTTTTTACTTCACATTATTAACTTAGTTTCGCATTATTATTAATTTTTCTTCGCATAATTATTAATTATTTTCTGACGTGACAGCTATTATTCTTTCAATGACAGCTAAAACAAGTTAGGTTGAGATTTAGCGCCATCTATTGAGTTATCTCGAAAATAAAAATTTAAAAATTCAAATTTAATTGTAACATTTTAAACGTGAACTTTCAAAATTTATTTTATTTTATCGTTTAAACGTTTTAATCTAATTTTTGTTTCTTTCGACGTATTTATTAATACTATTTCGATATTCCATTGAAACGATAGCGGCGAAATGAGCGCCATCTATCGGGCTATTTTTACATAATAATAAATTTTTTTTAATTTTAAACTTAATTCTAATCATTAATTAATTGTCAAAATTTAATTATTTCTAAGACGTCTTTATGTGTTTTAATTAAATTTGTTTCTTTTAACATATATATTTATTAATACTTTTTCGATATTTGATTGAAACGACAGCGACGAAATCAGCGCCATCTATTGGGTTATTCTTTACATAATAAATAAATTTTTAATTTCATTTAATTCTAATTATTAATTAATTAATTTTCAAAATTTAATTATTTCTAAGACGTCTTTATGTGTTTAAATTAAATTTGTTTCTTTTGACATAATTATTAATACTTTTTCGATATTTCATTGAAACGACAGCGACGAAATCAGCGCCATCTATTGGGCTATTCTTTACATAATAAATAAATTTTTAATTTCATTTAATTCTAATTATTAATTAATTAATATTTGCAAAATATCTTCAAAACTTAATTATTAATGACGTCTTTGTGTTTTAATTAAATTCTTGTTCCTTTTGACGCGTTTATTAAAACTTTTTCATTGAAATGACAGCGGCGCCATCTATAGGGCTATTTTTTATATAACAATAAACATTTTTAATTTCAAAGTTAATTCTAATTCGAAAGATATTTTCAAAATTTAATTATTTCTGTGACGTCTTTATGTGTTTTAATTAAATTTTTGTTTCTCTTGACGTATTTATTAATACTTTTTCGATATTTCATTGAAATGACAGCGACGAAATCAGCGCCATCTATCGGGCTATTTTTTATATAAGAATGAAAATTTTTAATTCCAAATTTAATTCTAATTAATAATTAATATTCAAAAAATATTTTCAAATGACGTCGTTATGTATTTCAATTAAATTCTTGTTTCTTTTGACACATTTATCAATTATTTTTCGATATTTTATTGAAATAACAGCGGAATCAGCGCCATCTATCGGGCTATTTTTAATATAATAAAAATTTTTAATTATTTTTAATTCTAATTATTAATTAATAAATATTTGAAAGATATTTTCAAAATTGAATTATTAGCGACGTCTTTACGTGTTTTGATTATTTTTTAAGATTATTTTTGTGTATTCTGATAATAAAATTTTCCATTTAGCGCCACCTATTGATTTTTTTGTAAAAAAAATGTTTGACGTTTCTCGTTAATGTTGTCTTTTAGTGTTTTTTCGCATAATTTTTCCATTTAGTGTTGTGTTGAATGTTTTATTCGAGTATTTAAAGGTAGTTTGTTGTAACAATTCCATTCATTAATTTGAAACTAATTAAAATCGGTTAAATAAAATTGTTAATCATGAAGCAATCATCCAAGTTTTAAACACTTTTCTTAACTTAAACGTTTTAAAAATTGTTTTAAAAGTAACAAATATTTATTTATAACAATGTGAAAGAAATGTTCTTTAGTAATTCGCTTTTAAATAATTTATTGCTTAAAAAAGTGGAATCTTGTTCGAGATTTTCTTCAATTATTTTACAGTTTTCTGTAATTATTGCTAATAATGACCAAAAATTCATTTTGTTATAAATACTTATTTATTAAAAAAAAATGTCATTATTATTGTTGTTTGTCTTTGTAGCAATAATTTCTTTTTAAAAATAAATTTTTTTCTTGTTATTATTATTATAATTATTATTTCCTGAAGTCGAATTTTATTGTTTCAATTTAAAAAAATTTCCCGCTTATTTATTAATATTAAAAAATGAGTATAAACGATTCAATTGTTAATGTAATTCAATAATTTAATAAAAAAATAATTTGTTTAAGTAATAAATAAGCGAAAAATTGAAAATTGCCTCCAGAAAAATAACTCTTAGACCATTATCGTTTTTAAATTTGTTTAAAAAAAAATGTTTCGAGAAAAATTTGTGCGTTTTTTCAAATATACCAACGACCGACTTAAAATTTGTGCGTTATTCAAAACTTTCGTTCCCAAAAAAATAATCAAAAATAAACGATCAAACGGAATCCGTCCCAATCTAATATCTCCCCCCAAAAAATCCCGATATTAATTAATTAATCAATTCAAAAGAAAAATCAAATAAAGAAAAACATTTTTTTTGTCTTTTTTTATAATATTTATGCATTTTTTCTTCATTATGTCTCAATTATGTCCATCAAGTTCATCATGTTAGTTTATTTATAATATTTTTTGTTGTCATCATCATTTTTTTTTATCATAAAATAAACCCCATTTAAAATATTTTTAACAATTAATACTCCGGAAACATTTTTATTATTATCTTTATATCCTTATTTCTTCCGGTTTTAGAAATACAAAAAAAATCAACTCAAATCCCCGAGATTAATCTCAAATTGTATATAAAAACGTGTATTATTTCATGTGTTGTGTATTTTTATGTTTTAAAAGGAAGAAAAAATGAAAACCCACCCCTAAAAGCATTTCGAGATTTCATTAACCGATTTTAAGTCGCTTATTTTGTATTATTTTCGTTTAAAGTTTTAGCAGGGACCAACGTAAAAACAAAGCTTTAATGAAAACGACTCAATCGCGGTTGATTAAAACCCCGAAATTATTTTCTTACATATCGTCACACTGTAAACGGACAAATTCCTTTTTTAATTTATTAATTTTTAGAAGAGAAAGGATTATTCGTCCTGAATGTAACGATTTATAAGAACCCACCCCCTAAACGTTTTCATTTTTTCTTCCAAACGTTAATACTTCAATTTGGACCCAAATCGCGTTTAAAAAAAGAATTAATTAATCCTACCCTGTATTATATATATCAATATATTATTATTTTAATTTAATAAACAAGCACTGACTCCATATTAATTAATTCTCATTTACTTACTTGTGATGTTGCTAAATCGGCGCTTAACCCACCTTGATTTAGGGTGTTAAGAGTTCTCCTCGCCGATTTTGATCGGATTTGACCAGCTAATAAGGGATTGATGGCGTACAACCAGTCGTGAACCTCTTTTTCGTGAAGCGTTTGGAGTAAATAGCCGCGGTGTTTGCTGACTACGCTGAATGTGTTCGGGAGGCGGACCATCGCTTGCTGATCTTCGGAGTATTCGACCTGAGCCGTTGCCAAATTGATTAAGGCGCGCTCAACTGGATCTTTTTCGTCGCGGAATATGAAAACGTACGGTCTTCGAACGGACTAAATTAAAAGAAAAAGTATTATTAGAAATTAATCTTAAAAAAAAATTATTTATGTTACTTTTTGATCACCTATATAATTTAGTTTTATTTTTCCTGATCAATGGATTAAAATAACTTATTGGATATGTTTTATGGGTTAATTCTAAACTTTTTTTGTATTAAAAGTTTTTTTCCATCAGATATAATTAATGAGTTATAAAAGAAAATTGATGGAAACGTCAAGATTTCTGTTTTTATAAGTTGGGTTGGTAATGCTGATCGAGGGATTAAATATCTTTATTCAATACGTTTTATGGGTTAATTCTAAACATTTGTTGTTTAAAAAGTAATTGTCCACCAAGCACAATTAATAAGTTATAACGGAAAATGATCAAAAACATAAAAATTTGGTTTTATTTTTGGGCTGTGTTGGTACTACTGATTGATGGATTAAAATAACTTATTGGATATGTTTTATGGGTTAATTCTAAACTTTTTTTGTATTAAAAGTTCTTTTCCATCAGATATAATTAATGAGTTATAAAAGAAAATTGATGAAAACGTCAAGATTTCTGTTTTTATAAGTTGGGTTGGTAATCCTGATCGATGGATTAAATATCTTTATTCAATACGTTTTATGGGTTAATTCTAAACATTTTTTGTATAAAAAGTAATTCTCCACCATGCACAATTAATAAGTTATAACCGAAAATGATCAAAAACATCAAAATTTGGTTTTATTTTTGGGCTGTGTTGGTACTACTGATCGATGGATTAAAATAACTTATTGGATATGTTTTATGGGTTAATTCTAAACATTTTTTGTTTAAAAAGTAATTCTCCATCATGAACAATTAATAACTTGATAACAAAAACACAGGTACTTGTTCAATAACTAATGGGAGAGAGCTCCCAAAGCATATTTCAAGCAAATACTCAAAAATAGGAGAAATTAAACAAGTATACTTACCACCCATCTTTTTTTCCACCCATGAGTTTTATGTTCGAGTATATTTAAATATCCTTTCCGTGCAACAACCGGAGAAATTCTAATTTCCTCCATATCAGGCACATAAAGTACCAATTCGGGATCCCTAGGTCCAGTTTGAGGGGACGCCGGATGACTAGCCGGAAATGCGGTCAATTCCCCAGGAAGTATCGTATTATGTTCTGGCGAGCACAACTCAATCGATCCAGAAATCAAACTCGAAATCATCGAAGTCGACATTTCCGTTAAATCCTCCGAAGGACTCGCAACATCCGTCTCCTTATTATTCGTCGTTTCTTTTCCACGGCCCTGAATCAACCTTACACATTTATTCAATAAATCGCGTTCTCTTTCCGAATACTCGTGATCACCCGCATTCGTGATTGCATTTGCACTATTATTTTTTGCGACCATATTGCAAACTTCTTTTTCGCTCTTCGTGTATTCCAAGTAAGATTTGTTACTGATTCGATCTAAACCTAACCGTTCGCGCAGTAATAACGTGTGACGAACTCTTTCCACTTCCTCTAATCGAGTTAATTTTTCTAATTCCCATTGGTGATCGAAAATTAGGGAGTCCCCGCGGGGTCTCCAACCGTGTAAATTCTCTTCACCCCGGACGTAAGTTGAACTTGTATCGAGAACGCGGCGTTGTCTCCTTTGAACACCTTAAATTTAAATAAATACTTTAATATTTACTAATTTTAAATATGAATTAAAAAAAAAGGAACATACAAGAAAATCTGTTATGTCAAAAGAGTGAAAACTTTAAAAGATCACCTCAACCGCGTTTTTAAGAGCTAGAAAATGATTTATGTTTTAAATTTAAGCTAAAAGACTCTATTTTAAGATGTGATATAAAAATAATGGGGTTTGATAAAGAAAGTATTTCAAAAAAGAACATACAAGAAAATCTGTCAAGTTATGTCAAAAGAGTGAAAACTAGCGCCATCTATTGGCAATTTCAATCATTTCGCGCTTTTTGATACTAATGTGAAGTTAGCAGATTTCACACAACTCAATTACTTCTTCAAGTGACAGTTAAAAACGTCATATTTTTCTAACCTACAAAAAATGTTATAAATAATAAGTTATTTTCGTTTTGTTTAATAATTTTCCACTGAATATAAATAAGAAGAAATATAAACTAATAGAAAAGTAAATATTAAGTTTTAAAAGATCACCTCAACCTCGTTTTTAAGAGTTAGAAAATGATTTAAGTTAAAAAATTCGGTATTTTGGAACGCTTTTGAGGTTATAAATTAGTTGTCACCTGTCAATATACGCGGAAACTTCAATTTAAAAATTTTAATTTATAGCGCCATCTCTTGTTGGATAGGTTAAATGGAAATAAATTCCACATTATTGACTAATAAATATCAAAATTTACATATTTGCGTGTACTAAAAGGTTAAGGAGGGAGAATATTAGTTAATAAAGAATGATGGGATTCTAATGGGGGCTCTACCTGGACTACCTGCTTCGTTGGCCCTCCTTAACAGCAATTCATAGACTCCCGAAAGTCGATTGGCTTCAGCATTCTTGTAATTTCCACTAAATAAATGTTTTAAAGATCTCGGGGCGGTTCGTGCATCTCTTCCATAAATAACCATGCTCAAATCTTTGGTTATAATCGCCGGGCGTCCACAATTTTCTAGCTAAATTGATTTTTTTTATTAATTACTTAATTAATTTAATTTTTTAATTAAATTTACCTCAAGATAAGCCGAAATCGTCATAAAAATTTGTTCCCCTTGCGATGTAACCCGATTAAGTAACCCAGAATTATGTAAAGAACTATCCCAAGCAGCCTCAAATCGAAACATAACCCTATCATCTCCAGGCACCTCCAAATACTCCCCAGGGAACAACCCCAACGATAAAACCGAATTATCATTATCTTCGTCATCTTCAGATTCCGGGGAATTTCTAATTCTTCCAACAACCAATTCCCGAACATCTTTCCAACGGATTTCCGCAGCTTGATCATGTACGATTGTAATCCGTATTCGTCTCTGAATCCCTTGATGGAGCAAAAACAACCCTCTACACGGTAAATCATCGCTGTGTTCCACAACCGCTGGGACGTATTCTCCATTTGGGGCTAATTCGCATATTTCGAACCAAACCAAAACGTCGACTTTTGCGTGAATATGCGCGGTACAAGGTGAAGGTAAAGCGCCGAATTTGCTCGAACGAACCGGTTGGGAGATTGGAATCGATGGGGGGAGCATTCTTCGGGGTGGTTGTCGAATGGATCCTTCTAATTTCGCGTCTTTATGTAATGGGTGTTGTTGATAGTGACCGAAAACTTCGAAAACGATCGGTTGCGTTTTGATGTAATCGAGAAAAGATTTTGTTGTTGATACGGTTATCTAAAAAAATTAATTAATTATATTTAATGAGATAAAAAATGAAGATTTGTTACGTTTTGAACGTGGTAAAATCCTAAAGGAGTTCCTTTTCCGGTGTTTTTAACGGGTTCCGTTGAGAACGCTTCATCGTGACGATGTAAAAAGCTGGATTTAAAATTAAAAGTGATGGGAAGTTAAAACGACTCATTTTAAACTTACTTAAATTGACAAAAAATATCCGCATATTCAGTTGAAATTCCAACTGCTTGAAGAACTGTCACCCTAAAAGTGAATTCGCGACTCAATGATAAATGATCAGGGATATCCTCTTCTTTCATATCGGACGAAACGGAGCTATCGCCCCTTCCGGAATCAGTTTCGCACTCAATGAGTTCGTCTAATTTAATTGGATCGATGTGGCCATCAATAATCCGTCTTTCGTCTATGTTGTATGCGTTTCTATCGATTATTTCTACAATAAGATTTATTTTTAATTAAATTGAAATGATGTATTTAAGTTAAAAAAGATTAAAAATTATCTCTATAATACTTAGGGAAGTTCCCAGACTTAAAAAAATTGATTTTGACGTTTTTTGAATGATTTCAAAGATAACAATAAAGAGATAAAGTTGATTGGTGCGTATTAAAATGCTTCAAATTGATTGGAAACGTTTTAAAATTACTTGGCAAAGACAAAATAAGTTAAAAAAGTGAATGGGGATGCTTTCAAATAGATTTGAAAGAATTTTGAATATGAGAAAAGGTGATTGGTGTGATTCAAAATGGATCTAATCGTTTCTAACCATCTTTATAACACTTAGGGAAGTTGTCAGAATTAAAGAAATTGATTTTAACGTTTTTTGAATGGCTTTAAAGATAACAACAAATAGGTAAAGTTAATTGTTGTGTATCAAAATGCTTCAAATTGATTGAAAACGTTGTAAAATTACTTGCCAAAGACAAAATAAGTTAAAAAAGTGAATGGGGATGCTTTCAAAAAGATTTAAAAGAATTTTGAATATCAGAAAAGGTGATTGGTGTGAATCAAAACGATCGGATGTTGTCAAAATGCTTCAAATTGATTAGAAACGTTGTAAAAAGACAAAATAAGTTAGAAAAGTGAATATCAAAGGAAAAGTTTTTATCACACAAAATGGCAAATAACTCGATTAAGTTTAATAATGATTATCTCAAAAACAAAATGAGATTTTCAAAAACTGTTTGCGACATTTAAAAGAAGACATTTTCGTTTATAAATTGTGACAATTTCAAAATGATTGGTGAAGAAATCGATTTTTCACGATTTTTTTAATCAATCGGGAAAAAGTGTCTATCACAACAAATGGCAAATAACTCGATTAAGTTTAATAATGATTATCTCAAAAACGAAATGAGATTTTCAAAAACGGTTTGCTGCGTTTAAAAGAAGACATTTTCATTTATAAATGGTGATAATTTCAAAATGATTGGTGAAGAAATCGATTTTTCACGATTTTTTTAAACAATCTTAGATTTTATAGTCATTAAATTTTATAGTCATACATTAAGAGCATAATTACCTTTAGGTGATTCAAAAGCAATTCGAGCACTTTGCCTCACCCCAACCTGATCTGAATTATCTTCGTCTAAAACAGCTTGGACCGCGACCCTTAAATAACCTCGAACGTCACCTTTTTCGCTCACAATCGCAACTTTGTGGATTAAAGTAACGGGGTAAAGGAGATTGCTTAAATATACAAAGCCTCTTCCCACCATTCGAAACCACGGGAATCGATCATAAAATGGATCACCACCAGTTAAAGACTCAACGTTGTAATCAGGGGAAGTTGGGCTCATTTCCGCTTCGTTATGGTACATTTCTCGCATCAGTTCTAAACGTTGTCTATAAAAGATACTTTTAATATATATAAAGAATTAAAATTAAATTCAATTATTGCCTTAATTTATCTAAAGACCAATAATGAGTAGCACCATTTTTGGTGTCTTGAACTTCGACGGCGACGATCGTTTTTTGTGGGACTTCTTCTTCTTGGTCGAATTCAACGACGGGTCTTAAATCGGCCGGAAGTGGAGAGTACAAAGTGTCGGTTAAAAGAGTAAATTGGAATTGAACCTAAAAAAATTATAAAAAAAAAGTCACAAATTAAAGAGGATATATGTTATTTACTTTTTTCTTTAATTCAACAGAAATAGCGTTGGCTTCTTTTAAGAAAATTGCGTTCCCCCATAAATCGTCACGCAACGAAGTGAATTGATGGTGTTTCCATTTCCGCCAAGCGGCTGCTGCTAATTCATATTCGCGTTCGGTCCAATTGCACTCTGCATCAAATAGTGGGTTGACTGAAAGATCACCTTCAATCTTTTAAGGGCTATTACTTAGGGATTATAAAGGGTTTGACCACCATTTTATTATTTTTTAAACATTTTGATTAATTAAATAAAATTACTTATGGTGATCTACCCTTAAAATTTTATAAGTAAATAACCAACTCAAAAAAGTGAACTCACCAAAAATATCTTCTTCGTTATTAAAATCTTCGGGTGTAAACGAACTGTACATAGACATGGTCATACTTTGCTCCTCAACTTGTTTTTGTAGTGCGTCAATCCTCGCCTCGTAAGATTTCCTTTGTTCCTCGAATAATTGGTCGGCCTCCTCTTTCTCCTTCCGATATTGTTCCTCTAAATTCAACAATCTCTTCTCCATTTCCGCTTTTAAATCGATACCTTGCTTCTCCAACAGCTCAACTTGCGCAAAGTTCCAATCGACGGATGTCTCGCAAACGCTTTCCGTCATCGAATCGGCTTCGACGTTACTTTTTTCCACTTTATCTCCTCGACTTTCGTTCGGATTGTTAAACCGGAAGACGTGGTTTTTACCCAAAATAACTCTAGATCCGGTTTTTAAAACGACAGGTTCCGACGCCTCGCGGCCGTTCACGTAAACTAAGGCGCCGTGCATCGGAATCAAAGCGATAACGCCATCTTTGTTTTCAAATATGCAATGTTCGGATTTTATGTGAGAACCGCAAAGTTGGACGTCTTGAGGAACGTTGGCTTCGGCTGAACCGATCCGTGTTAATCCGTCTTTAATGTAGTAGATGAGACATTCGGACATTGAAGGATCTTCGTTTAGATTTACGAGATGGGGTGTTTTTTTCGGAGAAAATACGCCGACGGTGTTGCCATCTTCTTTAACGGCGACCCCCATTTCCGCGAATATCGCTTCGCGTTGTAATCGGATTGCTTCTGTACGTTTTAATTTTTCCTCCCATGTCTCATTTAGTTCTGCAAAAAATAATTCATTAATCATTACAGTTGATGTTTTACAAAGATATTTTAGGTTGGCAATAATGCAACTAACTTCAACACAGTTGATAACATGACAAGTACAAACTAGGTTAAAAATGAAGTCTGAAAATGTGTTATTCATAACTTTATAGTTAATTACAAAATAATAAAAGTTTTAATAATCTTTTGTGAGTTTCGTTTAATTCGTGTAATCGTTAATGTTATGAAGAGCCTTTTTCTACGTAATTTGACATTTAAATGTCAAAAAAATAGTTGTCGCTTTTAATGTACTTTTGGGGAACAAAAATCAAGATTTTCATCATTTCCTATGAACAATTCATAGAAAAGTTTGTACTAACATTGCTTTCAATCATGAATTAGCATTTTTCTATTTCAAACTGACGTAAAAAAAATGTAAGTTGGCACTCCTGTTTTTTTTCTTTTTTCGCTTATTTACACTCAAATGTCATTTGTCAAGATTGTTTGACGTTTAGAATTATTGTCTTTGAGGGAAAAGTGAAATATTAATATTTTAAGAATAAACTTCTTGCATTTTTCGCTTGTGATGAATCACTTAGGTTAAAAGCAACCTCAGTCATGTCAAAGTCTTTTACCACAAAAATTGTATTCACGAGGTGAAGGTCAGATGACTGTATTGACTCCTTAAATAGTTCAGCAACTTTTCTATTAGTCGATAACTCTTCTAGGTTCATATAATCGATTACACAATGCATGCGCAAAACTTTTTGAGATAAATTCGAGGAAAAAGACGATAATTAACTCCACTAAAGGGAGCGGAAGTCTATCGGTGATCACGCAGATGAGGGAAGCATCAAGAGGAATGTCCAACTGAATAAGATATGGCAGTGCTCTACGCATTGCAACACAGAAGGGCACAAGATAGATTTCGATAAGACCAAGGTTGTAGTCAGAGCCGAAATTACTACCAAAAGATGACAAAAAAAGCCATAGATATCCATCGACATATGAACAACATGATTAAAGACGACGGCTGGAAGATTCAGAATATTGCCATAATGATAAAATAATTTCTAGACTTGGAGAAGATTTTCAAAGCTTTGACAGAACACATTGTCAAGATTAATTATATGAACGTAGCCTATATTATAAATTTTGTAATTTTGATTTCTTTTTAATATACACTCAATGCAATAGAATAAAATTCTTTTTGGATGAGAAATTAGTTTCTTATCTGCATTTAATTTCAAATAGTAGTTGTTAAAAATGTTATTGAAATAACCAAATGTCAAGTTGAGAAAGTTGACAGCATACATTGTCAAGATTAATTATATGAACGTAGCCTATATATAAATTTTGTAATTTTGATTTCTTTTTAATATACACTCAATGCAATAGAATAAAATTCTTTTGGATGAGAAATTAGTTCCTTATCTGCATTTAATTTCAAATAGTAGCTGTTAAAAATGTTATTGAAATAACCAAATGTCAAGTTGAGAAAGTTGACAGCACACATTGTTAAGATTAATTATATGAACGTAGCCTATACATAAATTTTGTAATTTTGATTCTTTTTGGATTAAAAATTAGTTTCTTACCTGCAATTAATTTTTCACTAGCTTGAAGTTGATCGACTGCTTCTTCGGCCGTCGTCGTAGATGGCGTTCGTATTCGGACTTGTTCCTTTTCGGTAGGAGATTTAACAGCGACCTCTTCACCTCCTTTAATCCAAAAATACAACAAAATTAATTAAAAACTCCTCAAATTCAAAATAAATAAACATATAAAGTGTTCTTTTATTACGAAAAATTGCGTAAGCTTAAAGCTATCATAATTGTTATACGACATATTTTTTTTTTTTTATAAAAAACATCGCTTAAGCAAATAAGCTCTTAATAAAATAAAAGTGATTCAACGTTAATTATTTTGAGTAATTTTCTGGCTGACTCCATGCAAATACTCGATTAAAAATATGATTTTGTCAAACAATTAAAAAATTAAAAAGTGCAAAATTATTTTTTGCTTTGAGAATCGTTTTTCTTGATCTTGTAAGCTCAGTACTTACTTTGCTCGCGCTTTTCGTAAATTATTTTGCCATCAGGCCCTACCCAGCGATGCATATAACAAAAAAAATGTAAGAAAAAACGTTGGGGATTTTTAATTTTTAAATGAGGTTATGATTAACGGTTGATTATAGTTATACTAACCAGGTTTATTATTTTTTTTAACTGTTTCTTGTTTCAAGTCTTATTGATTGATTGGGAAAAAATAAATTAAAAAACGATAATAAATGTGTAATAAAATCGGTTACCTTCTGTGACTTCAATTCCTTCAGCTTTTAACAATTCCCTAAGCTTTTGAATCTCCTCTTTAAGTTCTCGAATAAGTTTCGCATTCGCATCTTCGTTAACGACAGCTTTACAAACGATTTGTTTCGCTCTATCTGCATATCTAATTAATAATAAATTAATGAATGCCTATATACATATAAATTTTGTAATTTTGATTTCTTTTTAACATATATTTGATATAATAGAATAAAATTCTTTTTGGATGAGAAACTAGTTTCTTATCCGCAATTAATTTCAAATAGTACCTAGTTAAAAATGTTGTAGGAATAACCAAATGTCAAGTTGAGAAAGTTGACAGCACACATTGTCAAGATTAATTATATGAATGTAGCCTATATATTAATTTTGATTTCTTTTTAAGATATACTCAATACAATAGAATAAAATTCTTTTTGGATGAGAAATTAGTTCCTTATCTGCATTTAATTTCAAATAGTAGCTGTTAAAAATGTTATTGAAATAACCAAATGTCAAGTTGAGAAAGTTGACAGAACACATTGTCAAGATTAATTATATGAACGTAGCCTATATATAAATTTTGTAATTTTGATTTCTTTTTAATATACACTCAATGCAATAGAATAAAATTCTTTTGGATGAGAAATTAGTTTTTTATCTGCAATTAATTTCAAATAGCCATTTCAATTGAGTAATTACCTCAAAGTTGATAAAGTTTCATCATAATTAATATCAGCGGGAGAAATTGCTGCAACCATCGCAGTTTTGCTGTTTCCACCCAAATTCTCTCTTAAAAGCCAAGTTAAAACCGAATCCCGGTATGGAATAAAATCGGCTTTCTTCGATTTTTTATTTTTCGAAGCCTAAAAAATTGTTTTTTTTTTTTAATGAATTAGTTCAAAAAATGATGTTACAAAAAGATAAACTTGAAATGGATGACTTACCGACTAAAGAAATCCATTTAAAATTAGTTACAAAAAAAATTTCAAAAAAAAATCATATTAAAAATCATCCCTAATCAAATAATAACAACTTACAATTTCGGCTAACGCTGAAATAACTTTCCCCAAAGTAGTTAAACTCTTATTAATATTAGCCCCTTCTTTAAGCCTAGTTCCTTTAGCCCCGGTCGAATCGGCTCTTTCCGATCCGGCTAAATCAACCAAAGAAATCTTCGAAACCTTCTCCGTGCACAATTGGGTCGTTTCATCGCACCGCTGTTGCGTGAAAAATATCGTAAAAACCGCGTGAGATCTCGAACTCGTCTCGTTCATATTCGTGGCGGCCACGGTCCGAGCTTTATTCCCCTCGTCGATTAAATCGTGGATGTCTTGGTAACTCGTCACGGCGAGCTTACTTAAATCCTCGACGTACGGCCCCAAAAGCGGGTGTTCCCGCACCCGTAAATTCCCCTTGTTCTTCGGGTTGAGAAGATCGCGAACGCGTTCGCAATAAATTTCCATATAACTGACTTCAACCGAATATTTAACGTCGGTGTCGTTCTCTTTGATACGTTTAAAAAGATCCTTGCAAATTTGGGGGATGATTCCTTCCTGTCCTTCTTCTTGTTTGCCCATCATCGTGTAAGATTTTCCAGCCCCTGTTTGACCGTACGCGAAAATACAAACGTTGTAGCCGTTGAACGAGTGTTGAAGCATTTCTTCGCCGATGTCTTCGTAGACGACTTGTTGTGATGAAAATGTTGAATCTGATTCCTGTTGAATCATTTTTATAAATTTGAATAAAAATATAAAAGATTTTAATGCTTACGTTATGTGACCAGTAGGAGTAATCGAAATTGAAACTTTTTATGGCGTCTTTAGTACCAGGTGGAGCTTTTGGATTTGCTATAGCTATAAAAAAAGGAAATACAAAATTAACTTTTTTCGTTTTGATTTTTAAATTAATCGAGGACGAAAAAGTAGCGTGTACTCCTCGTCACGTTCGAAATCACACTAAAATCTACCAGTCTCGTTTGTTTATTGCAAGAACGTTTTAAATAACGTTTTCTGATTGGTTAAATTCTTCAACTTGAAATTCGTAATTTAAATTTCTCCGGTACTGCCAACTTCGAAATGTCAAATGTCACTAATTAAATTTTAACAAAAATTATTAAAATTTCTATTTTAACAATATTTATGCATAAAATGTTGTAGTTTTATTGGTTTAACTTTGTTTGTGCTGATTTCGAAACATTTTCTTTTAGATATCAACGTGAAGCTTCAAAAATATATTCAAATATTTAATCCACGGATTTTCATCCAATTCTTCATCAACACTCCTATATGATTGATGGTTTTCGTTCTTGACATGCTAAGATTATCGTTTTCAATAGTTTCAACCAGACTAACATGAATTACAATAAGAAATGAATGAAAAATGAAATTTCAGGTTATGTTAAAGTTCGGAAAAGTAACTAACACTACATTAACTTCAGTTATAAAACGTCTATTATATGATAACTAACTTCAGGTTTAAAATGTCAACCTCAATTTTGACATATTTGTAATCTTCATTAAAAACCCTTTAAAAATACTAGCTGGAATAATGAAATTTTGTGCGTTCATGGAATTGCCACGACCGATATTTCAGATTTTTAATGACAAAATTTTCTCATGGGACCGTTGCGATGACATCTATATCAATGCTGTGATCAGGCAACTAACTCAATTGAGCCATTAATTCTTATACAATTTCTTCTGGAATATTGTTCCAGAGCATTGTACACCTTCTCAGCGACTACTTGTTGTAGAGAATCTAATGAGTCTGGACAGAATCATTAAACGCCTAATTGAAGCTAACTTCACAACGATTATCCAGATGAATTATTGTTTAGGAAGAATTAATTAATAAAATATTTGCGGTAAAAGTGAATAAACAAAGAAGAGGATGGGAGAGGGAAATGTTAAAGTTTACTTTTTTATTAATTATATCATAATTAAGCCCATTTTATAGCTAATTCTCCACTCCATACGTTTCTTAATTATTTTTACAGCATTTAATTTAATTCAAAAACTTAACTAAATAGAAATAAATAATCTTACTTGTTGTGTTGCCTCCCATTTGAATAATGCATTGACATTCTCGTGATATTTCGCGGTTGTTGAAGGGCCTCACCCTAACTGCCACTTTAACCGAAGACATTTCCTGGTCAGGTGAAAACCTAAACACAAAAGAACCAAATTTTATTATTATTTATTAATAGATTTTGTTTAAAAAGAAATTTTTTATCTTTATGGATAACAAAGAAATTAAAGATGGGGGAGACTCTTTCTTGCAGCATCATCAATGGGGAAAAATCAATATTGTGCAACTGCAACTCCACTACACATGCGTTTTAACGTAGCAACAAGTGTGTAATGTTAAAAATAAAAAATTATTAATTTTTGTTGTTTTACCACGATTATTATTTGATATTATCTTAATTAATTAATGTGGTAACAAAAGTAATTAGAATTTTGTTATCGTTTTGTTTAACATATGGTTAATTTTTTGTGATAAATCGATTAAAAGTGTTGAAATGAATCAAATTTGATCAATAAATTTAGTTAAAAAGGAATCTACTTCAACACAAAAGGAAACACAATGTAGATACGAGACGTAGTTAAGTATTGATCCATCATAATAAAACACAAAAAACTTTAAATATTCAAGCTTTTTATTTTTGAATCAATCAAATTAACTCACCTTTTTAAAACTACACCAAACCCCAATTAATTCTTTCTATTTATTACGTTTAAGAGGGAATAAACGAACCACAACGATTTATACAAAATTAAAACTAAATTTTTCGACGAAATCAATTCAAAGCAACACACAATTTCGGGAAGTCGCAGCAGCCACGACGACTACCAAGTGGATAACACTTTCGAGAGTCGACATTTCCGCCGCCAGTCAAAACCCGAAACGAGCTTGTAGCCGTTCTAGGACTTTCCACCTAGTAGGACAAGTAAGAGCGTGCGCGTTTTCCAGAAAACCCAAGATAATCAATACCGAACCGGACCAATCGCGAGTTAAGTTAACGAATCAATACTAAAACGGTATCTACGCAAGTTAGGTTTTTTTGGAACACCCTGTAGTTTGACTCGTGGATGACCCTTTAAGAACTAATCGATTTATAACAAAATTTTTATTTAAATTTATGAAGATGAAATTGTTTATTATTTATAAATAAATAAATTAAAAAAAAAATTTATTGGGGTTGCTTAAAATATGGGGCGAAACGAATAAAAACCATAAAAAAGCAAGATTATAAAGGGTGATATCATATTGAGGCTCCAGCCAGTCTGGCCGAGTGAGTCATCGTCGAGGTTTAAGGCCATAAACCGCCCCCGAAATGCGCAGGGTTAGTTAGAAAAATCAATGAACATGACCTAACGTACGTAGAGGCGCCTCCGCCATGTTTTATGCAATATTTTTCAATTTCAATATTAATAAATCAAAATTTAATACGTATTATTTAAAAAAAAGCCCAATAAATCACTTCTTTATGTTATCCAACACACATTAAAACATAAATAATTAAAATAAATTAAAATTATAAATGAATAAACAAAACCTAACCTCGCTTTTTTTCTCATTAATTTAGTGGGCGTTAAAATTAATGACGCGAATTTTTTTAATGTGTAATGATCAACCGGGCGATGCTTTAGTTAATTAATGTTGTTATAATTATTACTTACCTAGTTTTTAAGGAGGAAATTGACTAAAATCGACGTCGGACGTACATCAAAACACCACACTTTGACATTTCTGCTTTGTATTGATTTGACGTGCGCAGTGGTACCAATATAAAATTTCTCACTAAATTATTTAACATAAAAATGAATTTAAATTATATTAATAAAATTTATTATTAATAATTATTATTAGTTTTAATTTAAAGTAATTAAAACGTTTATTGATTTAAAAATCTGTAAATAAGTGATACCAACCTTTTTTTTAATCACCATTATTAAGTAAATTGAGGTTATGTTAATAACAACAATCAAAAAGATGTTTTTTTTTAAAACATTTTAACAAAATTTATTGTACTTACAAAAATAAAAAAGAAAGGATACAATAAATAAGGAAGTATACGGGAATACATAACGATTGTAAATGTGGAGTTGGCAGTGAATTGCTCTGCGAGCGTTTCTTTGAGCCTTTTTTAATATCTTTTCAAAAGTCTCTTCTTAATTCCTCTTCCTGAAATAAACAGTATAAAAAAAATGGCATTTAAAAACATTTCTAGGATGTTGTTGCGATGAGCGGTTGAATCACATCAGACACTATAGGTTTCACAATACTCTCTTCCGTCTTCTTGTTGGACAGAGGAGCAGGGGTCGAACTCTGCGAGTCCTAAAAATACAACGAAATTATTAATGATAAATTAAATCCATAAACTAATTTCTAAAAAAAACTAACACTTAAACAACGCAAGCTATTAAGTAGCTTGGATTTTCTATGAAGATGCAGAGAAAAGAAGAATTCGTTACATTTTTCTGATTACAAAAATATGGGGTTAGATAGGTCTATTTCTTATTGTTTTAGAATAAAGATAAACTATTTTTAGTGTAGTCAAAGAATTAAAATTTACAGTTTCCTGTACTCCATTTTTTGTTTTTTTATGGTTGGCAATAAATAATTTGACGTTTACTGAAAAAATAAGTCAATAAATATAAAAACAAAACGTTGCGTTAAAATAGCGGATAATAACGAATAAAAATAATTTGACGTTTACAAAGTGAGGTTAGGTTTTATCTTTGTGCATAATCACGTGGGAAATTAAAAATCCTTTAATTTGAGTCCAAACACGAGACAATTATCTTAAAAAACTCCCGAGATATCCCACATTTAATTTTGACATAACCTCAAAAAAGTGACAACCGGAAGTTGGTGGTGTATGTTGTTTTTTAAGATAACTCGACCGAGTTTAAGCTCATTTTAAAGGGAATTCAACGTAGATTACGAATACGATGTTAGATTAATCAAATTTGATAGTAATAAAAACAAAATGGAAGATGATTTAAGAAAAATGATTCGATTTCAACGAAATTAAATTCGCCGGGTATTTTTAGATCTAGAAATAAAGAATTTTATTATTATTTAATTAAAATTATTAATCAAGATGGCGAAAAATATCAAACAATATCAATTTGACGTTTACAAAGTGAGGTTAGGTTTTTTTTATTCATAATCGGGTGGGAAATTAATAATCCCTTAAATCGAGTCCAAACATGACCCAATTATTTTAAAAAACACCCGAGATATCCCACATTTAATTTTGACATAACCTCAAAAAAGTGACAATCGGAAGTTTGTTATCTTTTAAGATAACCCCATCGAGTTTGGGCTCGTTTTAAAGAGAATTTAATGTAGATCACGAATACAATGTTGGATTTATCAAATTCGATAATAATAAGAACATAAAAATATTTTTTCGTTATTATTTATAAGATATCACTATGTTGCATATTTTTATTGAATTAAAACTAGAAACTAGTTTTCAGCGTTAGCAATTTCTCGAAAAACGAGATCATGACATGTCAGCTACTTTTTTTCTAACTCTTATAGTTTCCGAGTTAGCCTATTCGGACATCGAATTTGAACCACCCTGTACAAACTGACCTCAGATTCCTGTTATTTACATACTTCTGTCTTAAATTTCTTGTCTCACGTAAATGTCTTTCGATATTTAGAAATGTTTTTCTATTAGGTCGTCATAAAAGTTTTAAAGAAAAAAACCTTTGTGAACAGCCTGTATAGCATTGATCCCGTGGTTCGATATTTCCAATAGTGATCTCAAATGATTTCTTATGATAACATTGCACTGTTTGCCAAATTTAGCCTTTCTAAGACAAACCATTTTGAAAATATTTAAGGTAATGTTTGAAAACTTCTTAACTAGGAAGGCCCATATCTTAGTCATTTATGGGTTTACATCAAAAATTTTTGTCAAAAATATTAAAATCAGTTGAATGGTCCAGGAGATATTAAAATGTAAACATTTAAAACTAGAGACTATGAACGACCTGAAAGATTCTAGGTCTAGTGTTAGTTCTAGTGATAGTGCTACTATTATTTCTAGTTTTAGTTTAAACTAACACTTATTTTAAAAATTATTTTCTAAAAATGTTTACTACAATTTCTAAAAGAAGACTTTTCTAAATCGTATCTAAAATGTTTACCTTCCCCTATTCATCTATTACTTTAATAAATTAACCACAAAACACAAATTTTTAAAGTTCACAAACTTACGTCGATATTGAGAGTAAACTGTGTGGAAAACATCCACAACAAACTTTTTCGCCTTACAATTAAAATTTTGGTTAATTTTGTACCGATTAATAAAACAATAATTTTCCTTTTCACTTTGTACAGAGGGTGGCCAAATAAGCATACAAACTACAACCAAAGTAAGTGCTGGACAACCGTCCAGTTGTAAGAACAAGAATTACTCAACTGATCAAAACCATTAAATCTTCTTTCATCAATATTTTAGGTTAGGAACAAGATATCAAAGCTTTCACTATCTTGTTAGGCTTCATTTTGCTATTTTTTCATATAAAAAAAGTAATGCCAATAGATTTAACCTTTACAAAAAAAAACTCACAATTTCAAATTCATTAAATTCTTGACATGTCAAAATGACGTTTCATTAAACAAAAAGTCACTAGGTGTGTTATAATTATTTTTGCGTTTCGTGTTGGTAACCATTTTTTTTGACGTTTAATTAAATTGTCAATAGAAACGATCGTCGGGCAAAAGATGGCGATAGTTAACTTTCTAGTTGTAGTGTTAGTTCCAACTTTAGGTTTAGAAGTGACACCAAACGTAGAGCTAGAAACATTCGAGTTTCTAAAATGTAATAATTCCAAATACCTGTCACAACTGTTGCTCTGTTCCTAGTGATATATAGCATAAATCCCGAAAATGTCAAAATAGGATGGGGTTTCTTAATAAAATCAGTTATAACCTAAGTACTAAAACTGATGGAGAAAGACGTTATGAATAAAAAATGTTCCAATGTTACCATAATTTATAAAATATCAAGATTGGACCATTTTTTTTAATAAAATCAACTCCAACCTAAGTACTAAAACTGATGGAGAAAGACGTTATGAATAAAAAATATTCCTAATGCATCAATAAATCATGATCCACACTTATTTCATATTTATCTATCACCAATTTCTAGTGATATAACAGAAATTCCCAAAATGCATCAATATATACTTTTTTGTTATGTTAATACAGCGGAATTCCGATAAAAGCCACATTTTCAAACTCAATACGGCGGTTACGCCACCTAGTGATCATCTTAGAAACTTGCAAATAATTTCCAAGATTTTCTCTTAGTTACTTTAGTGGTTACATTTTTTACCGCTAGTCTCTATAAAGCAGTTTCTGAAATACAGTACTTTGCACACTTATTTGGCCACCTGTACCTAAAAACACAAAAATTACTCACCTTTGACACATTACATTGAGAACCGACTTTCAAATGGATTTTTTGCGAACATAGCCTCTTTAAAACCGCAATTCCTAAAAAAAAAACATCAAAATGATTCACTTTAAAAAATTAATTTAGAAAAAATTAACCTTTTCCCCTTTTACTCTCGTACTTAGATTCCCAAGCATCGAATAATCGATTATAATATCTCGGCTCCATAAATTTGAAATAACAATGTGTTTTCGACGTTGGAAAAATCCTATCGAACGACCCTTTCACCGTCAATTCATCCTCAGCTTGTATTAATAATCGCACGTCATCCCCGGTTAACGTATCCAAAATCGTTCTAAGATACTCTCTATCTTCACATTGGACATAAAAGTTATGTTTTTGGATTTCACGTTTTGTAAGCGACCACGAGTATAATTTCGGTTCGAAACAACCGATCGGTTTGTTCGGGTCAACTGGGAATCTATTCACTTTCGGTGGTAAATGAAATTGGGCCAAATCTAATAACGCTTTAACCAACGGTCCTTTTACGTAAGCGTCCAAAGGGGAAGCGCTGTGAAGACTCGGCGAAATGTTAACCTCTAATAACCAACACTTTAATTTGTCGTCTAATAAAATATCAACACCAAATAGTTCGTAACAATTATAACGATTATTCATGTACTCCTTGGCAAGTTGGGTGATTGGAGATTCACCACAAATCATCGTTTTAATAACTAAATCTTCCATTTTTTTCCATAAAACTTTTGTGTCGACTCCGTCCTTTTCCATAAACTCCCACAGTTTCGATAAGGTCCATTTGTGTCCTTGACATGAAAACGCGTCTTCATTTGCTGTGTACTCACTTGAATATTTGTTAATGCTGTAATTTGTTAGGTGTTTATAACGATCTTGTAAGTCTTCGACTCTATGACTATATTTGGCTTAAAACAAATTAAATTAATTTTAAAAAAATAAATAAGATTTAAAATATACCACTTGCGAATCTTGCTAAACCTTCTGGGTAAAGATAAATTCGTAACGGGTTGAAACTTGTTACTAAAACGTATAAACGGAGATCAAATTTGCTGCCATTGATTAGGTAAGGGTTTGAAATGTAGCGTTGAACGACGAGGGATTGTTTTTTAGGTAATTGGGACCATTTGTTTATCACTTTAATTCCGGTACCTCTTGCGGAAGCAGGCTAAAAATGTATTTTTTTAAATAAAGTTTAAACGTCAATGTGACACAAATTGAATGTCACCAACTGTAACCAACTTCACAACAATTCGTCAAAATTAAATGTCAATTTTATGAAACGTCATGTTTTTTTGTACGAAAATTAATTAATTTATACTTTGTCCACGACTACTATTGAATTTGATTCCATAAATAAATATTTTTAAATAAATTTTTGAATAAAGCTTAAACGTCAGTGTGACACATATTCAATGTCACCAACTGTAACCAACTTCACAACAATTCGTCAAAATTAAATGTCAATCACGAAGTAGTATAATAAATAATAAGGATATAAAACGGCAATAGGCGACTGTGTTCCAGAATAGGGCGAATCTAATTCAGATTTTTACCTTGTGGCTCTGACGACAGCGCCCCGGTGGCAAAATTGTAAACTAACAAAAATTAATCTGTTTAGGTTAGGTCGGTTAGTTTTTCTTTTGCGGTACATTACATTAATCATTTTTACAACTCAATTTTAGATAATAATTAATTATTAAAATATTAATCAATATTACTATAATTTTTGTTACTCCTATAATATAGAATTGGTCCAGCTAACATCAGCTGATCTGTCAGAACTAAAAATCTGTCAACTATAACCTAAAAAGTCAAGATCCGTTGGGTATTGGTTATAAACTTATAAGGATATCCAACTCGAACAACTTGACGTTGGCGGGGTGAGGTGGGAAACGTGACGTCATTGGAGGAAAAATATACGTTCATAACAACAGCGTTCATAGGGAGTTGGATAACCTTATACAGTATGTTTACTCAACGGACCTTGCTAAAAATATTCATTTTTATATCAGTATATAGCGCCACCTGGTGGAGATATCAAAATTTTTTAATAAAAACTCGATCTTAAATTTTATTTTAAACAAATATTACTTGAAACAAATTTCGATAAAGATTATATTTTGGTTAAAAATTACTTTGATATACCATACTGTTCAGAGGGAAATTAAAATTGTTATTTTAAAAAATGTTATTAATAAAAGTTGTGTGTAATTTAATTCTAAACAACTATTGTAAACAAAAAAATTTGATATCGTCAATAATTATTGAGATAACCTCAAAAATATTCATTTTTATATCAGTATATAGCGCCACCTGGTGGAGATATCAAAAATTTTTAATAAAAAATCGATCTTAAATTTTATTTTAAACAAATATTACTTGAAACATATTTCGATAAAGATTATAATTTGGTTAAAAATTACTTTGATATACCATACTGTTCAGAGGGAAATTAAAATTGTTATTTTAAAAAATGTTATTAATAAAAGTTGTGTGTAATTTAATTCTAAACAACTATTGTAAACAAAAAAAATTGATATCGTCAATAATTATTGAGATAACCTCAAAAATATTCATTTTTATATCAGTATATAGCGCCACCTGGTGGAGATATCAACATTTTTTAATAAAAAATCGATCTTAAATTTTATTTTAAACAAATATTACTTGAAACATTTTTCGATAAAAATTATAATTTGGTTAAAAATTACTTTGATATACCATACTATTCAGAGGGAAATTAAATTTAGTATGTTATTTTAAAAAAAATTGTTAATAAAAGTTGTGTGTAATTTGATTCTAAACAAATATTGTTAACAAAAAAATTTGATATCATAAATAATGATTGAGATAACCTCAAAAACGTTCATTTTTTTACCAGAATATAGCGCCACCTGGTGAATTTATCAAAAATGTTCTAGTTTTGCAGCTTTCTAGTTCCAGGTCTAGTGTTAGTTCTAGTTTTATTTGTTATTCAGCGCTAGATTGTTGTATATTTTTATTAAACTAAAACCAAAATTAACAGTAAACATAGAACTAAACCCGAATGATTCTAGATCTAGGTTTAATGTTAGTTCTAGTGCAAAGAAGTAAATAATAAATTTAAAATTTAATAACTTCTAACAAACGCCATCTTTTGCCCGACAAAAGTGACTGTGTAAGCGCGTATACTGAAAGATTAAATTAATTAATTAAAATTAACAACTACGATCAATTAATGAGATCCCTACACAAAGAAAAATTTGTACTTTCTACTTCTTTCCTTATTTTTAACCTTTTTCATTTCGGTGGTATACAAAAAAGTAATAAAAATGTCATCCTCAACATATCGTTATTATTATTATTGTACACCTTTATCTTAATCGGTTTTAATTGGTTTTGATATGATGGCGATGATGGTATGATACAAAAAAAGCATGCTCTTAGAGAATATTATATTTAAAAATAGTATTAGTTTGCAGTTTTAACACAAGGGGCGCTGTCGTCAGAGCCACAAGGTATAACTCTGAATTAAGTTCAGTTACTTCGTGATGTCAACTTTATGAAACGTCATGTTTTTTCAATGTCATTTTCAAAAATGAAAAAATTAAATTTTTATTGAAATAAACAAATATTACTTACCGGTTTGATGATAAATATTTCATTTCCGATTCCGCTTTTTTCCTCCCAACATTGTTTCAACATTCGTAAGTCTTGTGGGATCACAAATGATTGCGGCATGAATTCGAACTCTTTGTATCCGTGTATATACATCAATCGTTGGAGGTTCCGCCACAAGCGGTCTTTTCTGCCAATTTGGAACGTTCCGGGAAAATGATTAAGCTTTTGCGTTTCTTTTAACGTTTGAAATTGCGGCGATCTCATGTGTTTTCCCCAACAACCCAACCAATCGTTTGATTCTGAAAAAGTAAAATCATCGAAAATAAAATTTAATCAAATCTACTTCAAGAAACTTCAGTATAAACATTAATTTATAACAAATAAATCTTAAATCATCAAGTTTTAACCAAGAAATGAATAATGAAACCAAACTCTCTTCCTGAAACTTCATTGGTACCAAAAAGTTTAATTAAAAATTAATTTGTAGAGAAACAGTAATTGAGAATATGGAGAAACAGTAATTCAATTTTTGACCAGCCTGTATAAGATACTCCGATACAACAAATGACAATCTATTTGACAACATCTGAAGAGTAATCGTGCCAACGTAGATCTTTTTTGAATGAACGTTGGCTGAGAAATGGGGTTTTAAAGAGCATGTTAGTAGATAATAAATGCCGGTTCTGGACCAGAAGTGCTCCTCCGCTCCCCCTGATCCTGCGCATGCGCGCCGGAAGTGACGTCACGACATCCTTAAGGATCAGTCGACGGTGGCGCCACCTAAGCATCCTTAAGGATCGGTCGACGGTGGCGCCATCGTCGACCGATTTATCTACTCATGTTAAAATTTACCAAAAAAAGCTTAAAACCAAAATAACTCGAAAACGAAAAACGCTAGGTACCAATAACTTTTATCAAAGTCAACCTATTTTTTTACGTACAATAAAACGGTGTAATAAAAACTATAGCACTCCATTTAAAATAGCAAAGTTATGGTCTACTTCCGGTAGACCAGAAGTGGCCAAAATTTCAAATCTCTGCGAATAGTGGAACCTGAAAAAGTTTTAACGAACCAGTTACGTGAGACACCCGGTATAATAAGATATCCAACTATGGCAAAATTGAAGGCATAAGAATTTCAATTTACAGATGACAAATATCTAAGATAGTAAATTTCGAAATTAATTGAGCTGAATTTTTATTGAATCCAACTCATGGAAAAACGAAAGTCAACAAACAAGTCGCGAATACACTAAAACACTAAATATAACGAAAAGAACATCAAACTTCCACTGCTTCCTGCAACAAAAGCATAGAGATGATAGAAACTTTAAACACTCCACACCTAACATATACATTTCGTTGAAAATTGCGCTATAGATGCAACTATTATTCCTAAATTAACAAAAAAATTAATTATTACATATTCATACACAAATACATTACCTCATTATGTTTTAAGTTAAGTTCTTAAAGATATGAGGTTGCTCTAATACATACAAAGAGAGAATAATAAAGGTTAAAAATAATTAATAATAAAAGGTAGAAATATTAAATTAAGGATAAGGATAAAAAGGAAAATCATGCACACCTCGACTAAACTCACTTCTTACAAGGACGAAACCAGTGTTGGTTAAAGTTTTTCGAATCAAAACGGGGGTGATCGTGCTCAATTTCCATTTCAAAATTCTCTTCCCCGTCGGAATAATAAACGGTTGAGTGGCATCGTAAGTATTAAAATTAATATACGGTGGAACATGAGGAAATAAGCTCTCTCGTAGCGGCCAATTACCACTATCAGAACAAATCGGACGAGGCCCAATCAACATAGAACTCTCAATATTATCCAAGTTCTTCACCGGTTCGTCGATTTTAATAACTTCCTCAACAATTCTCATATTGTTTTCATCGTTTTTAACGGATTCGTCATCACTCGAAGATGATTCGCAAGTTTCTTCGTTAACCACTTTGGTTTTTGAGGAAATTGGACGCCAAAGTTTAGTTCCGATCGGTTTTGAATGCGTTTTCAAAAGAATTTTCGCTTTATCCGATTTTAATTTATCCGATTTAACGCGACGAACAGCAATTTTTTTTGGAACGGCTCCGTTGTGCTCGAAATGTTTTATTTTATCTTTCATTTCGTATTTAATCGGCTTTACGATTTCAACGGTGTTCTCTTTTTCGATGTTTTTAACCTCTATTATTTCTTTATCACAAAATTGCTTTTTAAGTTGCGCCGCGAGCATTCTAGTTTTTTGTATCTCCTGTAATTTTATTTTTAAAGCTTCAACTTCGCGGTGGTATCGTTCCCTAATCAAGTTCACGTCGTAAGTTCGTTTATCGAAGAAAGTACAAGTTTCCGGTCGCGACGGGTTTTTTTGTTGCTCTTGGGGGCTAAATCCGATTGATTTTGCGTTCATGTAGATTGAACTAATTTGAGGGGGGTGATGATCGGATGAAGGTGATATTGTTTTTTCTTGCGCTTTTAATACTTGCATCTTTATGTCGCGAATTCTTTTTTCTGTCGCGGATAATGAATGGAGATTGTCAGGGGTGCTACTGCGAGATGGAACCCGACTATATCTTGGTGGGTTGGACATATTCGCGTTGTAACCGTCGATGTAAGTTGTTGGTAATTCAAACGGTTCGACGTTTGGAGTCGCGAAAGAGTTCGCGCGCGTTTTACGCGCGTTTTGACACGAACCCTCAAATCTATCGCACGCTGTATCAAAACGATGACAATCATCAAAAATTTGACAGTTTTCATATCCTTGCCAATCGTAAGGTTGACAACAATCCATGGTTAAATTGAAACGATCATATTTTAATTGACAACAATCTTGGAAAGTTTCGTTATCGCGGTGGCATCTTGAATGCTTTTTTGGAGTGAACGTTTTCATATCTTTACCTGGATAAAACCAAAAATTAAATCAAATTTATTTGTTGATGTAAATTAATTAGTACCTTTTCGACGGCAAAATTCGTTCGTTTCACTTTTAGTTCTTCTCCGCGGCGAATCTCGATCACACGTTGGACACCAAGTCGCATACGAATATTTACAAATTCTTCCATCTCTTATTGGGGGGAATGAAAATGCTACATTACACTCGGCCATAATTCTTTATCTATAAAAAGATATGTATTAATACATAAGTGTGAAGCAACAATTAGTAACATTATACATGTAATAGATGGAGTTAGAGTTAGTTAAAAAGTTGTAGAGATAGCGTCGATAGTTTTGTTATAGCAACTAAAAATAAAGTAAACAAAATTGTTTTCAATATAAATAATAATAATACTCACTAAGGTTAAGTTTAATTCAACTTGACAGACTTGAATAATTATTCGAAACGTCAAAATTTTAAAAAACGTCAAGTTAATTTAATTTTTTAGGACTTTCTAAAGGTTTGATATTAAAAAACGTAAACAAATTCCATTTTTCGTATGATTTAAGGATAAATTAATTAATTTTCGTAAAAAAGATGACGTTTCATAAAATTGACATTTAATTTTGACAAATTGTTGTGAAGTTGGTTACAGTTGGTGACATTGAATTGTGTCACACTGACGTTTATGCTTTATTCAAAAATTTATTTAAAAAAAAAGCTGTTTAAGTTAATACGATAATTGGAGTTTGTAGAAGTACCAAACAATAATTCAGTTAAAAACGAAGGATGTTTTTGATGTGGTAAGAAGAGAAGAAAGGAAGCCAGTTCAAGGTACATAGAAATACGAAGAAAATTTAAAAAAATTGATAATCATAGATGTAAAAGCACAAGGAATACTAGAAAGGATGGAGACACATTAAATGTGGGAAAAACTACTCTCAATTTATGAACATAAATCTGAAGTGAGGTTACATTTAGTAGAATAGATAATGAAGATTTTCTAGCGAAGTTGGAGGAAATTGGTAGCCAATTAAAGCAGATAGGGGAATGAATTTCAGACCAAATGTTTATGACGATTTATTTAAATGCTAATTTAAAAATTCCTGGAAGCCATATTTATTGAAATTAAGGAATGAGACTTAGTTTAAATTAAAGCTCAATGCTTTCTTTTTAAAATGATCTGTAATATTCACACCTAATAACCATTTATGAAGGAGATACCAGTTTAAACAACAAAATTCAACAACACCACTTTTCACTAAACTTCTAACCTCACACCTGGATGAATTTTCATTTTTTATACAGATTCTTGTATAGTAGAAAGTAGGGATAGCTCTAAATGAGCTGATTACAGTTTAAAATGAATATTTAAAACTACCAGTACTTTAAAGTACCATCGGCACACAAAGGGTTAAGTCAAAATCAACATTGTGCGAATAATGAGCTCTGGATTGCTTTAAAACGTGTTTTAAGATACATCAAGGGAACATTGAATATGAAACTGATCTACAAAAGAGAACAAGGGAATGTTAAACTTATTATAAAGTTGATATGTAAAAATAAAGTAAACAGAATTGTTTTGAATATAAATAATAATAAAAGCTGTTTCACTTACACCACTGGTTTTTAATTAAAAGATTACAACCACCACCTCTGACAATAAGAAATTCTTTTAAAAAATTATTGAGGTTATGTTATATTATTTAACTTAACCTCAAAAATAAAAACAAATGCAATCTTAAGCCAAATAAGAAGTAAAAAAAATCGAAAATATTCCCAATTTTAGCTAAATCTAACTCAAAATGGGACTCCATTTCCATTTTGAAGAGTAATTTTTATCGTATTCACTAAAACAAATAAAAATTGGAAATAAATTCGAAACTATACTTCTCGGATTAAATTAAAAAAACGATATTTACTCACATCATGAATAATTGACGATGATTTTAGGCCAATCTAAGTTTCCGGTTTGATTTTTTTTCTTTGATTTAAAACGAGTCGTGAACGTGAACGGGACACAATGCGATGATGATGAAAAGAAAGCAAAGTCTATGTTATCACGGACGTACGTCACCGATTTTGCGTTCACGTTGTTATGAAAACGAAAAGGAAGTTGATCTCACTTCACGTCGGTTGTGCCACCATTGAGATTTAAAAAAATATGGTTCTTCCCGCCGAGTTTTTCAAATTATTAATTAATTAATTTAAGGAAAACTTTACACTTAATTCTAATAATAATTAATAAATAAAATCATTATATATGAGATGATTATTTAAATTAATTCTTATTCATTTACGTCACCATATTTTAGCGCCATCTACAATCATTTTTAATAATTAAGAAAATCATAACATAACCTCAATAATGAATTTAATTTCACCAAAAAAAAAATTTAACAAAAACCTGGTTAAAACTGATTCTATTTTACCTTTTCGAGAAAAAAACGATTTATTTGAAGGTTATTTTAACGGCTTTTCAGTTATCATCACCAATAAAAACGATGTGAAAGAATTGGTCGAAAAGGGTTGTTTTGGAAAGCCGGAATTTTCGAGGGCCGTTTCAAATCATGACCCAGAATGTGTAATTTTAAGAAAAAGGCAGTTTGAGTATCGTAAAAAGTACCCAATAGGAAAAGATTTAAAAAAGATAATTATAGTTCCTGACAGTGAGAGTGACGATGATTATTTCACCGATTTAAAACCATTTTATGATTTTGATAAAAGCTTATTTAACAATAACTCGTTAATACTCTCATTACATGAAGCTTATTTCTTAGCTGTTGAGTTAAAATGTCTTAAAATCGCCAACGTTGAGAATCCTTGGGATGAATTTAAAAACATAAATCAATATTTTATTATCGATTACGCAGTTTATTTACATTTTCGTTTAAAAAATTGGGTTATCAAATCCGGTTTGAAATTTGGATGTGATTTTTGTAAGTTTATAATCAATGTTGTAATAAAAATCCACATAAATCTTATTTTTAGTACTTTACAAGCAAGGCCCTGCGTTTTATCACGCTTCTTATGTTGTAATAATAGATGTTATCAATGAAAAGTTAGATCGCATTTTGAATTTGCAAAGAAGATCAATGGAATATAAAAATTTAATTGGTTTATATCGTTTAGCAGAAACAACAGGAAAAGAACTTTTAATTTGTCAAGTTATTCTCCCAGAAAATGTAAATTTAACATCTTGTGATTGTTTAAATCGTTTATGTGTAAATGAAGTGGTATTTCGGCGATTTATTCCATCAAATTAACAGATTAAACAATATAATCTAATTTATTTCAAACTAATTTTACATAAAAACCGTTTTTGTTACATACTAACAGGTAATCTTTGTTTTTGTTGATTAACAGGGACTCCTGTACGTCTGTACTGGCTTCTATCTTTTAAATATTCCTCTCGACACCTCATTTTAAAATCATCATCGTTATACCACTTTGTAAGGCAATCTTTTAACTGTCCATTTTGTTTTTGGCAGTTAATAACCATTAGAACATTATGATTTTTGCAACATTCACTGAATTGTTTTACTTCTTCCGTGCATTTTTCTGTTTTTGCTATCTCACGCATTTTTTTTGGTATCATAACCTCGATTTCTACCTTTCTCAAGGATCTATCATCCGGATCACCTAAACCGTGGGGACCTCCACTGTATTTTGAGGGTAAAACCGTATATTCAGACATTATTTTAAACGATTTCGTTGATTTACGACTCAACTAACGAATTTGTCAACAAGTAAGGTTAAGAAGTTTCAACGTCAAATGGGTTGCCTACATTAATTTTAAAAAAATGAGGTTATGTTATAAAAATCAATAAAAATAAAGTGATTCTGTAAATAATGCGTACAAATTTAATAAAATATCCACAATATTTAAGAAATTTTAAACGTTATCAATCGACCACCGTTAATTTATTAAAAGATGATAAAGAAATGCATCAAAAAGAGAAAAATAAACGAAAATAAACCGTTTTGTTACATACTAACGGGTAATCTTTGTTTTTGTTGATTAACAGGGACTCCTGTACGTCTATACTCTCTTCTATCTTTTAAATATTCCTCTCGACACCTCATTTTAAAATCATCATCGTTATACCACTTTGTAAGGCAATCTTTTGCTATTTCACGCATTTTCTTGGGTATCATAAGCTCGATTTCCACCTTTCTCAATAATCTATCATCCGGATCGCCTCAACCGTGGGGTCCTCCACCGTATTTTGAGGGTAAAACCGTATTTTAAACGATTTAGTTGATTTAAATGAATTTGTCAATAATAATAATGTGAGGTTAAGACGTTTCAACGTCAAATGGGTTGCCTACATTAATAAAAAAGATAGGTTATGTTATAAAAATAAAGTGATTTTATAAATAATGCGTTCAAATTTAATAAAATATCCACAATTTTTAAGGAATTTTAAACGTTATCAATCAACCTCGGTTAATTTATTGAAAGATGATAAAGAAACGCATCAAAAAGAGAAAAATAAACGAAAATTACCAGATGGACCTAACCTCAATCATTTTTTGGTTAATAACCTAAATTCAAAGAAAATCTTTTCAAAACCAAAAGAAAACGTACCGTACGTAAAAGACGTCGATTTTGGGTCAAATCGAAAAGTATTTTTCGACGTTTACGGGTGCCAAATGAACGTGAATGATACCGAAATCGTTTGGTCGATTTTAAAATCAAATAATTTCGTAAAAACGGATGTTCTTGAAGAGGCTGATGTTGTTTTAATTATGACGTGTTCGATAAGAGATAGTGCAGAAGAAAGAATATGGGGTCGATTGGATTATTTAAGAGGGATTAGAAATAAGCGGATTAAGATAGGTAATCGCGATATGAAAGTGGGGATTTTAGGTTGTATGGCTGAGCGACTAAAAGAAAAAGTCTTAGAGAAAGATAAAACTGTTGATATCATAGCAGGACCCGATAGCTACAAAGATTTACCTAGAATGTTGGCTTTAACAGAAAATAATCAAACTGCTGTTAATGTTTTATTATCATTAGAAGAGACTTACGCGGATATCACCCCTGTGAGGCTTAATGAAGATTCCGTAACAGCTTTTGTGTAAGAAAATTAATTTTTTAATGTTGATTGATTTTAATTTGAATTAATTTTTAGTTCCATAATGCGTGGTTGCGATAATATGTGTACATATTGTATAGTACCTTTTACGAGGGGGCGAGAACGTTCCCGGCCTGTTAAATCAATCTTAAATGAGGTTAAATATCTCTCAGATAGAGGAGTTAAAGAAATAACCTTGTTAGGGCAAAATGTGAATAGTTATAGAGATGTTTCAAACGCTTCAGAGATTTTTATCCCAAATACAACCCCTACACATTTAGCGAAAGGTTTTAAAACAGTTTATAAATCAAAAATTGGTGGGTTAAGATTCGCTGATTTACTCGAAAGAGTTTCTTCTGTTAATCCCGAGCTACGAATTCGCTTTACTTCGCCACATCCGAAAGATTTTCCCGACGAAGTACTCCATGTAAGTAAAAAATTAAATCTTAATCTTTTTTAAATAACATTTTAAGTTTAGATGATACGAGAAAAGTCCAATATTTGTAAAAACCTCCATTTACCAGCTCAATCGGGCAACACTAACGTTTTAGAACGAATGAGGAGAGGATATACTCGAGAAATTTATTTGGAATTGGTTGAACATATTCGAGAAATCCTTCCGGATGTTGCGTTAAGTTCCGATTTTATTTGTGGGTTTTGTGGCGAAACCGACGAAGAATTCGAAGATACTTTGAGTTTAATCGAAAGAGTTCGCTACAACAACGCCTATTTATTTCCGTATAGTATGAGAGAAAAAACTACAGCTCATCGCCGTTATGAAGATAACGTCCCGGAAAAAATCAAATTAAATCGTCTCCAAAAAATGGTCTCGTTATATAGAAACATCGCGGAGACTTTAAATAGACAAAAAGTTGGGGAATTGCAATTAATTTTAATTGAAGGGCATAGTAAACGATCTAAAAATCAATTTCAAGGGAGAAATGACTCGAATGTTAAGGTTATAATTCCTGCAGGAGAAATCCCTGTGGGTGATAGTAATTATTTAACAGATATTAAGCCGGGGGATTATGTTGTTGTTCAAATTAATGATTCTTCATCACAAACTTTGAAGGGAATCCCTTTGTATCATACTACATTACAAGATTTTCATTTAAAATATAAATATGTTTATCCCAAATGTCATGATGATTATATTAAATGGCATGGTGGATATTTGAATTAAATTTGAACGAAAAAAACTTTTTAATAAAGATGTGTGTAATTTATTGGTGAAGTTGTTTAAAACCTTTCCTCTATTCTTTATTATTTAAATGAAATTGTAAATAATAATATTAAAGTGAGGTTAAGTTATGACATGACGTTTAATTTAAAAAAAAAGTTAGGTTATGTTGTTAAAGTGATTTTTTATAAATAATGCGCTCAAATTTAATAAAATATCCACAATTTTTAAGCAATTTTAAGCGTTATCAATCAATGATAGTTAATTTATTGAAAGGTGATTAAAAAAGAAATGGACCTAACCTCAATCATTTTTTGGTTACTAATTTAAATTCAAAGAAAATCTTTCTTAAACCCTTCCTGTATAATTATGATACACATTCAGATATAAGATTTTAAGAAAATTACATAAATACTTTACCTAGAAGTTTTGACTGCATTTTGACTAGTTTCCACTTAAAAGTTATTAATTATTATCCACCGATGGAAGTCGTTTAAACAAACAGTGTTGGTCTATCAGTGCCACATAAACACACGAAAAAGCTAAATATAAGCCACTTCATTTAATTATTGTTAAAGTTAAAAACTTTATCACTTTAATATCAACTTTGAAATTTAATTTAATTACAACGCCATCTAAGCAGCGTGAATCGACCGTTGTTTAAAATTACTTGTAATTTAAGATCTAATATAAAATTTAATTTAAATATTAAATCTAATTTAACATATTCATAAATTAAATTTAAAATTGTTAATATTGTAGAAAACCATATAATCAACATTGACGATTATAAGATGGCGCCACTTAACGTTTTAAAAATCAAAAATTATTTTAACGATTTTTTTTATATATACTTCAAAATAATACTGTTTGAAATATCTCTATGCGATAATAATAACGTTAAAAATGTTGGTAACATTAACTAGGACGGTTTTAGAGTGGTACTTTTTTTATTTTATTTTTTTTTATAGGTTATGTGTCAACTGTCAAGTTTAGTTGGTTATAAATCGCGAGTAAAGTAAAAAACCGACCAGTTCTTTCACTGTGGCATTCCGTAATGGCTGCCACCGCGTCCAGAGAAAGCGTTCGTCGCGAGGAGTCGAAAAACGGCGGCAGTCGTTCCGAAAGCGTCGTCGGCGTCGGTTTATTTCGAGAATAGAGCGCGTAAAAAACCGAAGGATCTTCACAAGATTCGTCTTCTCTTCAAGGTGTAGTTGTAAGTTTTTCTGGTGGTTTGGCGGTTACAACTGAGTTTCGCCATCACCGTGCTTTTCGAGTGCCATGTAACACCTGGACCTGTTGAATGCCCCGTTACGAGGACCCCGGAGGGCGGAGCGTGGACACGTAGCGAAAAGGTACGTTATTTTTTAGTTTCACCATTCCCGAAGGTCTCTCTCTCTCGGTGAGGTGAAGATAAATCTTCCCCGAACGCCTATTTAAATATTTATCGGAGTTGTGTGTTCTTCTTTCGTCCCAGACCCCGATTTGCTTTTTTAGAAGTAAACTCTATTTATTTTTATTTTCAACGTCTGAGTATTTAACAAAAATAATAGCGTATTTGATTGTAAATAACTAAATATCGTAACGAGATCGTAGACGATTGTTTATTTTCGATGGAAGGTCATTTTGAAATATTTACCTTTATCGCTGTTTTTTAACGCCGTCTTTTAAAAATTCCGGAAATTACAACCTTTAAACGGATTGTACGTCATCGTTTATGACGTTATCGCTTAAACAATCCTGAAAAGTTATAAATAAACATTTTCAGGACCTCCTCTAACTTTGCCAAGTTCCTCACAATCGGTCTTTTTACCAAGAAATTCATAAAAAACACCTTTGCAAACTGAATTAAAATATGATTCATTTTCATCTTCTAGAAATAAAATTGTTTAATTTAAATTTAAATAATTTTATTATAAATAATTATAAAATTTTGCTTCCTACTTTATCGGCATGATTGATTGTCATTTTGAAATTGCCAAAGTGACACTTTCTTCTACAAGTTTTTAATTTTTAACGTCCTTTTAATCTAGTTTAATCTAAGATATAATGTAATATCTTCTAAAAAAAAATGTTTAATTTAAATTTATTTAAATTTTTATAAATAATTAATGAAAAACTGATTTTGTTCCCTACTTTATCGGCATCATTGATTGTCAAAGTTGAAATTGTCAAAGTGACAGTTTTTAATTTTCAAATCGATTTTAATCTAGTTTAATCTAATATAATCGTTAAATACGATATTTTTATTATCCGAAAAATGATACGTAAGTGATCTTTAATTGATTTTGGTTGAATAAACAAATTATGATAACATAACCTTACTTAAAAAAAAAAAAATAATCGTAATTTTTTAATCATTATTTTAATTCTAGAACAATTGTTTGATCCGAAAGAAACTGTTGAATCCATTTAACCTGTTCTGGTATGCGAAACTGCTTTTCAAGTTTTTTACAATGATTAACGGTCGTAACGGAAGTTGAGCTAAACGCACTCGAAACAGTGTCAACTCTATTGTGGTTTGAATCTCATCCAGAAATAATCCGAATAAATCTAAAATGTATTTGTCATCGGAAACAATAAGTACATTTTCGAAGCCAAGTGCTATTTGTTATAATCTATATTAAGAAAACAATTTTCGAATTTAGAACGGAGTTAATAAAAATCGATTTTTTATGTACTTAAAAGTTTATTGAACGGAATGATTTTCAATGGACAGAGAGATCATTTTTACTATGCGACCTTCGCGTCCGAAAGCGTTCCAGTAAACTAAAAATAGTTCTTGTTGGGGAACTCCGCCGTTCTACGCCGCGCTCATTTTGTTTTATAAACAATCGGCGTGCGGGCTAAGTTCTTTTGTCATCGGCACGACTCGAAATTAACTAACGATTTACGAACAGAACCCTTTTAATTCTTATAAATAGATATTTCAGGGACGAAATTCGATTAAATCGCGTTTGGTACCATTAAAATTGATTGATCGTCGAAGGGTTTGCTTAAAAAAGCTTTGTTTAAACCGAATGGAATTAATATAATGATTATAAATAAAGACATCATCAATATGTGTACTAAAAATGAACGTAAAGAAATCGTAAAAACAACTTGGAGCCTTCTCAAGATCATTTTCAATCGTTTTTTTGTGTAAACTTTCTATTTAGAAACATATAGGGTGGTTTCAAAGTAAATAAAAGAATGTAAAAGATGTTAAAAATGCTTCACGCTTGGTGTTTAGTCACCTGTTTATGATGAAGTTTTAAGAAGTACCAAAGAAGATCAAAGAAAAGGAAGCGATACTTTAATTCCAAAACGTCAGTGAGAGGTGAGGGCAGTTTTACTGTGTATAATCATTGCGGTGACTCAATAGAACCCGAAAACTTAAAGTGATTATTATTGCTGTTAGAAAACGTTTGTGGATAATTCAAGTCGTATTTTGTATACTGCTGCAACCGATCGTCGTTTTGGACAATCCAAAAATAAGTTCTGCATCATCTTATATAACTAGATAGTGCTTGCAGAAGACTGGATATTGCTCATAGAAGCTTAGACACTGCTTACAGGAGATTATATTTTGTTTGCAAAGGACTGAGTGCAGAAAATAGACGATTAGAGAATGGTTGCAGAGTGCTAAATATTGAAATGTAAGGTTAGCTAGTGATGAAACTGAAAGTGATTTTTCAAAACGGCTTTTTGCATTAAAAAGAGGACACTTTAATTAATAATTGGTAATATTTCCAGAAGGATCCTTCAAGAAATTAATTTTATAGCGAATTTTGAAAGTTATCGATGAAAATTGCAACATCGAAAATTTTATCAAAACTTCAAACATTGTTTTTTCAAAAACGAAAAGTTATTTTTCAAAACGTGTTTGTTCATTGGAAAGAGGACACTTTTATTAACATTTTGGGAAATTTTCATACTCATATTCCAAAAAATCGATTTTACACGAATTTTTAAAACTTAATCGGCGAAAATTGCAAAAAGGGAAAAAAATTATCGATCATTTCAAAAATTTATTTCTCAAGAATTAAAAGTGATTTTTCAAAACGGCTTTTTGCATTTAAAAGAGGATATTTTAATTAATAATTGGTGATATTTCCATAAAGATCCTTCAAGAAATAAATTTTATAGCGAATTTTTAAAATTATCGAAAATTTTTTCAAAACTTCAAATATTGTTTTCTCAAAAACTAAAAGTTATTTTTCAAAATGGGTTGGTTCATTTGAAAGAGGACACTTTTATTAATAGCTTTTATTATCCAAGAATTGAAAATGTAAAACATAAAACATGGAAGACTGGATACTCTTGGTATAGGATTAAATACTGAAACTGATAATGGACGCCTATATACTGTTTGCTGAAGACTAAATACTGTTGGAAAAGACTAAATGTAGTTGGCAGGAGTCTAACTATTAGTAATGGGATTCTATACTCACCTAAGACCACCTATTGCTTGCAGAATATTAGATACTGTTGATAAAAACACAAAATGTTATTAATTCGTCTTTACATAAAATCCTCGGTTCTATGGAAAATCATAAAATCGAATAGATAGTTTTATTAGTAACAAAAAAAAAAATCATAATGAAATACGGCCCTGTATATAAATGAACACATCCTACGCAAAATTGATTTTATTGCTTTATTTAAAATTCGAAGGTCTCTCTGACATAACCACAATCAACTTTTAAATAATAGTATCAACCGCTCCCGTAAGGAAGGGCTAATACAATATCGAAAAAAAATTACAATGATTTTGACGAGTTCAGTTCAGTTCAACGTCGCCGCGTCCCAAGAATAGTTTGGTTTTGAAACTTTGTCTCCTCCCATACATAGTTAGCGAAGGTGTTTTAGTACTATTTATACGGATATTCCTCAATATACTTTTTTTCTACGCTCCTTGTTGAAGTTGGTTTTTGGGTCAAGGTTATTACCGATGCGGTTGTTGGAAATCGTTTTTAAGTAAGCTTTCTCGCGAAAGTAAACGGCCCCGATAAAACATTAGACGACTGACAGACGCCGTCTAGATGTTACTGCGAGAAGCTGAAAAAAAATTACTTCTAAGAAGGTCAATTTCTGTTTAACATCAACTGTGGTGAAACTGTTATAGAAACTCGAATAACTATTAAAAAGTACTTCTATATAATAGAAACTTAATTGAATGATTTTTGAAATTAATTTAATTTTTTTTTGTAGTTGTAAGATGCATGACACCGGATGATAGGGGGCGTGTCGGCCGCGGGTGGAGCTGCTCTAAGGGCGGCGGCCGGCGTCGGCGATGCCCCCGCGTGCTCCCGTCTCCTCGGCCACGCTCGTTGCGTGCGTTTCAGCAGGGACGAACTCGGGAGGTCGGCATTGCATTTATCAGCAAGCGGGGGTCACGTGGCGGTCGTGCGATTGCTTTTGGCGGCAGCCGCCCCCCGTGAAATCGACAGCCCCGATGGTGCCGGATGTACAGCCCTTCAACGGGCCGCCGCTGATGGTCACGAGGACGTAGTAAAGCTCTTAATTTCACGAGGAGCTGATGTTAATAAACAGGATAGTGTGGTAAGCTGAAATAAATACTTTTCATGCTCTTTACTACGAGTAACGCGGATTTATATAGGCAACCAAATATGCGTAGCGTGTTTGTGTGTAGCATAAAAATGTTGAAAAATGTTTGTTTTTGAGATGACACCTCCTCTATTTCATGGTTTCCTCCTCCAACTCAACGACACATTTTATTCAATCTTCAGCTGTCACTTTACACAATACCTTCACTTTGTCTATTCGCCTTAGCCAGTTCAATGGGATTGAATTGACAATGATATTGGATGATTTTTGAGGCCCCACTCATTGGTTCACCAAGAGTCCACATAGAGAAATATTTTTTTTGTTTATTGACTCCACAAAGAAGTTGACATGATGAAGATAAAAACCTATTAGAAATAAACCCATAGGATAAGGAAAGACTATGCACGAAAATACGATGTTTTAATTTAAACTTGAATAATATAGGTACATAATTTTTGTATGACGGCAATAGTTATGGATTTATAAAGGTAAGCCGTGTATTGTAGCGTTAGTATTCCAAAATTAGCTGACGCGGGCGACCAAAATGTGTATTTATCCTTGGAGAAACACGAAGAAACGCTTTATTTTTATAAATCTATTACAAAACGTATAGGCATGGAAACTTCATTCGCAAATTTATTGATTTGTACACAAATGTACTTTAGAGAAGCAAGAAAGGCAATAAAACTGGTTGCATTGTATGCATTTAATTCAATTAGTTTTTATTTTCGTCGAAAATGATACTTTCTCCATAAATTATTTTCTTGTTTGTTAGGTGCCAAAGTCGTATCATTATGCAGGTGTCAGCATTTGAGTCAAATTTCTTCCTTAATTGCTTTGCTTTTAAGTTGTGCGCAATACATCCAAATACTTTTATTTTTTTGAAGTTAATTTTCTTTTGATAAAACATTTCTGCTGGTAGCTTATTTTCTTTTAACGCCGTTGTTGGAGATCTGTTTACTAGATAAGCATCACAATTTTGATAATAAGCCTTATTGAAAACCTAAGATACCTCAAGAAAAATCGCTGCTTTTTGCGAAATCTAAACATGCCTTTGTCATGATAGGAAGCAATTATACAGGGTGTCTCAGCGAGACCGGTCATTAGACGTTTCTGAGGTTCTGAGAATTCAGACTAAAGTATTATCAATTACGATCTCTTCGTCTAAAATATTTTCAGATTTCTAGCACTTCCGGTTATACTGCAAGTAGCCACCTACTTTATTTTTTTTGAATGGAACACCTGTATATTTTTACATATTTGGAATTTGTCTGTTTTCAAGGTTTATAAATAACTTTACTTTTTGCAATTTGATTCGGCCGTTCTCGAGTTTTCTAGAAAAATCTGCTCCAGCGGACATTTGTTCAAAAAATCATAGAACACTGGTTTTTTGAGATATCAATTTAAGATTCAGAACATGCTTAAACAATATTATGGAGTATGTTTTGGTGCCGAGAACGGCTGTCTAGATCGTTTGTTCACTTTACTATGAGACGTTAACTTTTCGAAATTTCGAAGCACCATAACTTCATTTTTTTAAATAGCACCCCCTATATTTTATTACTTAGTCGTCTTCGGCGTCTCATTTTACATCTTTTATATCCCATATGTCCCATACCTAACATTAATAGTTTGAGAAATAATTACAGTTTTTTGAAAAATGCTCACATATCATATCGATATTAACCTAGTGTGCCATTGTGTGTCTCGCTGAGACACCCTGTATTGGCGTGAACAACTTCATATTGCAATTGATTGTGATTTTGGCTTCCTGCGTTACAGACGTTTTAGATTTTAATATCGATTAAGTTATTCGCGTTACTCGTGGTATAGTATAATTTATTTATTTATTTTTTTTTAATATAGAATATTTTTATTTTTTTTAGCATGGAAATAGTGCTTTACATGAAGCTTCATGGAAAGGTTACAGCCGAACTGTATCAATTTTAGTGAATTCCTCTTGTAATTTATCTCAAATGAACGCGGGCGGATTTACCGCGTTACATCTTTGTTGTCAAAACGGTCATAATCAATCGTGTAGAGAATTATTATTGGGCGGATGCGATCCGGACATTCAAAACAATTACGGTGACACCTCTTTGCATACGGCCGCTCGTTACGGTCACGCTGGGGTTACCCGAATTTTAATTTCCGCCCAGTGTCGAGTTTCCGAACAGAACAAAAACGGCGACACCGCGTTGCACATAGCGGCGGCGATGGGCAGACGAAAATTAACTAGAATTCTTTTGGAAGCCGGTTGCGATAAATCGGTGCGAAACAAACAACACGAAACCGCCGAAGATATAGCGTTAAGAAAGGATTTACACGAAATCGTCAACATTTTGGATCAACAGCAATTAGCGTCGGAAAAGATGAAGAAAGATCGGAAAAAAATCAAAAAGCGGTCCAAGAGTAAAGTTCGATTTGATTCGACGAAAAAAAACGAGTCGAAAGATGACGTCGATTTAGAAAAATCGAAACATTGGTCGCCGTACGGTTGTCATTATTACCCGGATCCGGAAGCGTTTCCGGCGCCGCGATTAGATTCGCTTCCTTCGGAACCGTTAAAACGGGGGGAGCAGTATTATTTGGATTTGGCGGGAAATATTCGGAAAGGGCCCGTGGGGGTTGGGTACACGTGTTATTGTGCCCCGCTTTTCCGACATTTGGAGGCGCGCATGGAGAAGGATAAGCGAGAGCTCCAAAAGGCACAAATGCGTTTGGGGCAACGCGTTGCCGGATTGGAACAAAAAATTAGCCGGGGGATGCATGGAAGGAGATCGGAAAGAATTCACAGTATGCGAGAGCAGCAACAAACGAGTCTTCCGCGATCGAGAAGTCTTGAAATGTTGGATGGAAATTGTAAAATACCGTTACACACTGCAAGGTGAGTTAAATTATTTTATTTTAACCTTTTGTGTTCCGATGGTACTTTAGGTAGTTTTAAACACTCATTTTAAACTGTAGTCATCTATTCGGCGCATTTGAGCATTTTATTATGGATTTAATATGAGATCTTACTAATTATTTTTTTAAATGTAATTAGAAGTATGGATGAACTAGAAAATCAACAACAACAACAACAACAACAAGAACCCAGGAAAACCGTAAAAGAATTAATCGCCCAAATCCAAAAGAAAGAAGCAGCCTCTTCGAAAACAGCAGAAAATTCAGAAAGTAGCGACGACGAAGAAGATCCACCACTACAACAACACCCAACGCAACCTTCTTATCAATGCGGCACATCGCTCAATCAATCTTCCAACCACCACCACCACCCTCAACATCATTCGATTGCAACAAATCCGCCGAGTTATGAGAATGTGCCCTCCATGGACGCACCACCCCGCAGTCGTTCCGGTTTATATAGTCCAACAACAATGGCATCACTGGTCGATTCAAAAATGCGTTACATCGAACCTGTGGTGCGTGTTCAAGAATACGACGTGCGTCGTTATAATGAAGTTAGTGCTCGGTTTGCGAAGTTGCGCACCTTAGACAATAACAATACGAAAAGTAATGCGTTGGAGGGTTCTTCGAGGCTCTTGGATTCGAATAAGATGTTTGAAAGTACGACGAGAATGTTGGATAATCCGCAGGATAATGTCGATCGGGATACAAATAATGATTCCGGGTATAGTACAAAAGTGTATGGGAGCTCGAAAGGAAATTCGCCGAGTTTATCCGGATTGGATAATGATTGTTTAGGTGCGTCAAGTTTAGTTTAATATATTTTTGTATTACCAAGGATGAACAATTTTTTATTAAGTTTACGAATAATTTATTTTATATTTTATATAGGTAATTGTTTTTTAGGTGTGTACAGGGTGGTGTTTAAAAAGATTATTTAATATAAATTAATCTATTTTAATTTACGATTTAAGAACCACCCTGTATGTATTATTTATATTGACAGAAGTAATAAAAAATTGTATTTGCAACGGTTAATTTTGTACACTTTAAAAATTAGATAATGTGCCTTATTAATTAAGATGTAATTGTTCACGGACGTTTACTCGTTATATTTGTTGTTTTAGAGAGATTATTTTTTTATAGAAAATGCCTAAAAACAAAAAAAGGAAAAGTGTATACGTACTATTTTATCATTACAAAAGAGAAATTTTTAATAATCGAATCACTCCTAATAAAATTACACACATCTTTATTTAATACATTTTTGGTATCTCTTCCTTTTCCAGAATTTGACTTTTCATCCCTAATCCAACTTTCCTTTAAGAAGAATGATACCCGTTTTGTTTCGAGATGGTGAAAGCTGATTTTTTACAGAAAATAACAATTATAAAGGTAAGGATTTAACACACTTCTTTAATTTCTAAGATACCATTTCTTGGAGTCGATTTAGCTGAGGGCAGCTCGCCTGTAAGATCTATTGTAACAAGCCCCAAAGGTTTAGGTTTAATTTTGCAAATTTTAAAAATTCTTATAAAATCCAATCTTCACTTTTAGTAAGTTTGAACTTATTAAAAAGATTTTCTTTATTAAACATGCAATAATTTGGATCAATAATACAAATTGACAGCTCTATCTCCTGTCTAAATCATTTCTGACATCTGTCAAAGTATTATCAAAAAATCTTCATTTTTGGTAAGTTTGAACTTATTTTAAAACATTTTTTAATTAAATATCCAATAATTTGGATCAATTTGAATTAATTTATCAATTTTAATTAATTTTAATCGTCTTTAATTATCGTCAATATCGTCCGTGACATCTGTCAAGTTAATCCCTAACAGCATCACTCACAATCAATTTTGATATCTTTTAACATCGCTCTTAATCATTCTCTAAATCGTTTTGGACAACTTCGACTCATTTCTCATTTTAACATTACCTCTAACTACAACTCTCTCAATATCGCCCTGACATCTATTAACGTCATCTCTAACTGCTGTCAAAATCATTTCTGACATCTGTCAAAGTAATATCAAAGAATCTTCATTTTTGGTAAGTTTGAACTTATTTTTAAAGATTTTTTATTAAATATCTACTAATTTGGATCAATTTTAATCGTTCTTAACTACTTCATTGTACAATCTTGTAGTTAGCACTGGTTTGGAACATGATGAAAAACTTTAATCTGTATAATTGAAAATAGAATAATTTGTATTTAAGCAAAACCTTTAATAATATAACATAACGTCATTTATTAATAGTAACTTCAACAAGCTAATTTTGAAAATTAATGATTAATTCAAGGCACAAATCTTTTTTTACGGTTAAGTATCTACATTTTTAATACTATCTCAAAAAGAAACCGCTATTTACAAACAAAAATTAAATATGTTTTGTACGATATAAAAAAAATTAACACGACTCGAGGCTAACATTACTCATACTAGTAGCCCGACTTCCCATTTCTTCCTTTTTAAACACCGCGTATCCATGTCTGACCAATTCCTCCCCAATATTTCTATCCTGATCGTTACTGACGTCGAATAACTCGACTCCAGGGACAGGAGAACCTTCGCGTTTTGCCCTTACTTTCTCGCGAACAGTGTACCCATTAATTTTCGCCGATAATTTTTTCCATTGAGCCACGTGAGTCCATTCTTCAAATTTATCGACCGCTTCTTCCGACCAAGAACCCTCCGTAGGTTCCACCCTACCCAAATAACATTCAATCGCTTGAAAATGAAGTTGAAGAAAATCAGTGCGAAGTTCGTAAGCGTCTGAACATTCTGTAGTGTCTGTATCGCCGTAATCAACGTAATAAAGCTCTACTTGGGAGTTATGAATTTTTAAAACCTCAGCTCTATACCTAAATTAAAAAAAAAATAATTTTAAACAAAATCTTTTGTGGTAGAATTATTTTTTACCATTTATTATCATATTTAAAAAGTGCAGCAACTAAATCACCAGGTTGGAGATTATCAAGGATGTGAAAATCGCGATTATCTTTTTTTGAATAATACTCAGTCATATCTTCAACTAATTGATCGAGTTCAGTGGCTTTAGGGCTTACTAATTGTACCCAAAAATGAGAAGGATCAATCATTGCTGATACATACACATCAAATTGAGAATCAGGTTGTCCTAAAACCACAAAAAATTAATTAATTATTAAATGAATTTGTTAAATTGAAAATCTAACCAGGTAAAGGTGAAATTCTTTCAACTTTAGGACTCTCGACTGAATTAATAACGCCCCCATTTTTAGCAGGAGCCCTAGGTTCTCTTTTTGCTAAGCTATTTTCCATTTTTTTATGTACACTATCAAACTTATTAATGATATCTTCAATATAAGCTTTGGCCAAATTGATTTGTTCCTTAGTTCCCCTAATAAATAATCTCCTCATTGCTGCTGATTTATCATCATTAGCAAAATTGATTTTTGCTCCTGAGAGGCTAGAAATCTCTTGAATTTGTTCCCCACATCTTCCAATTATTTTCCCAACACATCTATGTGGAACCTCCATATCAAAACATTCCACCATCGGTTGATTTCGAACAAAATCCCTAATAAGGTTCTCTGCCATAATACATCCTTCAGCTGAGCCACTAATCACAAAAATTTTCTCTGGGTTATTCTCAAGATCCTTGGTGTTAATCCGCGTGTTTGATTCATCTTGAATCTTTTTAATATTGCTTCCATTTCGACCAATTAACGCTCCAACAACACCTTTTGGCACTCCAACATGTACTATCTTGTGTTTACCCGCTCTCGGGATTGTGTTATTGTAATCATCATCTTCGTCGGATTTAAAAAGAAGATAAATCAAATATCCAGCTATTCCTACAACGGTAATCCCTAGGGTTGTTGTTAATGCTTTTGTGGGCAAGCTAAAAGATAAGATAAAAATAAAAATGTAATTGTGAGTTCCAGGAAGCTGTCACAAATTGATGTCAGTCGTTTTTAAGGTTAGAATATTCTTGTTTTTGTGTATTGGTGCTGAATTAATTAGGTCTTACCTCATTATGATGAAAATTAATTGTTTCGTGCGCAAAAACCCGTTTGTAAAGTGCGATTAAGTAATTTTTATTCGATTTTAAGTGCCTGAGTTCACATAACCAATAATTTTGTATGACGATTTAGCGCCATCTATGTATAATCAAAACGAGAAAAAATTTTTAAATTTCATTTTTTAGATTATTTATTTATTATTAATTGTTTTTTTTGTTTATTTTAAATGATTTAATTAATTAAACAATTTCTAATCATTAATTTATGATAATTCTTTTTTGATTTGTTAATAATTACTTAATCGGTTCTAATTGAGATGGCGCCACTCGTAAATAAAATATAATCAAAAACATTTTAATTTTTAGATTATTTATTTATTATTAATTGTTTTTTTTGTTTATTTTAAACGATTCAATTAACTAAATAGCTTCTAGTCAATAATTTATGTTAATTCTTTTTTGATTTGTTAATGTTAATTTAATCGATTCTAATTGAGATGGCGCCACACGTAAATAAAGCTGTCAAAAAAAAAATTTAGAAATGTCTTCGGCAGCCATTGTTGTTGTTGTTGTTAACATTCGGTGCCCTCTCTCGGCGATTAGTCGTTTCAAGACGTGATAACGGGGGCCCACAAACCATAATCCGTAATCAACGCAGCGTTTCGGCCGCTGCTACGACGGTGCGAGAGTACGATGATGGCAGTAGTGCCTTAACCCGCGCGGAACCGTGTGTGTTGCGAACGCGATGCAACGCGAACATCGAAACCCGTAAACCGTAAGTAGTGCCGCCGAAAAGGGCCCCCCACGGCCACCGCCGAAGTGTTAACCTTACACGCACCTAAGTAGTGCTTTGTTGAGCCCCCTTTTTCAACGAACGCGACCATGTGTAGTGTACCGCCAAAGTTCCATCAGGTGTGCCGTCTTTGTTTATCCTGTGATAGGGATTGTGCGAGCGTCTTCGCCGAGGAGAACACCGAAAGGAGGATACGCGACAAGATCGTGACGTGTTTGTCTATTACGGTAGGTGATTCATAGGGATTCCATCATTTTATTATTAACCTCAACATCCTACATTTTATTCAATTATCCTTATTAATCTTGTCTCCTTTTTAGGTTAATCCCGAAAAAGATCCTTTTTTTTTTAAACCAACTCTTTGTTTTCGTTTTAATATCTTTTTTTAACATCCGGATGACATCTGGTGTATATACAGCGTGGGACGTAAGAGACGTGTGCTATTATTATTGTCGATCTCGGCGAGGAGCCCCCTTCTAACACCTGGCCCGGGACCGGGTTTTTCATCCGTCTCCTTTCTTCTTCAGACATCGAGAGTTAGAATATAGTCGGAGAGAAAGTTTGGCGCTCGCTCAAAGAGAGGATAAAGAGATGAGGTGCGAGCGATAAGAAGGCCTCTTTGTGTGCTGCCCCGAGACGTTCACCGGATTCTGACGGGGCCCCCCTCCGCCCCGCCGTTTACACGTCCCGGATCCCCGCGTTCGTGTTGAGATTTTCCCCGTCTCTTTGCGTATTACGTGTCTTTCTTGACTTGTTACTTAATCTACAATAAATAACATCACTCACTTGGTAACTTCTTATACGATGGCTATAAGACGACTATAAGTTATAAGAAATGAAACATTCTTGTAACAATTGCGATTTCGAGGTTAATATGGAACTTTTTTTTAATTTATTATGTAAAATAGCTGGATGGATCGAGATTTGTTGTTGCATCATTTAAAAAGGAACGATTCTATTAAGATGAAAGTGTTTTTACCGGGGCGATAGGTAAATAGATAGTCTCGCAATTAAAAAGAGAAACCGACCGACGGTTCTTATGTTGCGCAATAATTCGAGTTACTTTGAGAGGAGGAGAGCATAGCAGAGCACCATGGCAGAGTTACTAATCCTTTCTTAGGAAAATTTACGACTCATTTTGAATCAAAAAATATTATTTCTCTTTCGTTGTTGATTAAAACGTTGGTGATATTGTGATTTGTGTGGTTGGTGTTGATTTCGAAATGATAGTAAGTATAATTGTAAAATAATGAGTTTACTAAAACATCCAATACGTATAAAGAACAAAGAATTAAATACTATACGGTAAGTATACAATAAATATAAAGTTATAAGTGAAATATTTGGAAGCTGTCGATCCTTAACTGCCAAGAGATGGTGTTACTGAAAACAGTTCCTGTTTTTGAAGACTCGAAAATCTGGGAGACAGCTGCAGAACGAAACTTTAAAATTAGATATAGGAATTAATTAAATTAAAATAGAATAGTTTTAATATTTTGTGAACACACCAAATTTAGGCCAAACGTGCTGTTGACTGTGATGATCGTTCAAACTAATACTCAACAACTGACATTACGACAATATCAAGCGAAAAATAAATCTTGTTTATTAATGACCAAGGAGCCAAAAAATTTCTTTCAAAAATGCTGAGATGATCTGCTTAGATAATCAGCCCTATTCAATAGTAGAAGATTAAGACATATATCATATCATTAAATATATGTCATTAACTTCTGATATTTGGACATGTTCTAAAAATAATAGTTTAATAAGTATGGCAGGAACACTGGATATCAAATGATAGAATTTGGATTCAAATTATAGAACATACAAATTAATTAAATTACTATAACATTAGGTGATAACGGCACAACATAGTTAAAAGCTGCAAAGATGCTAAAATAGATAGCAAAGGTTTTTTTATTCATACACTACAACTTATGAAAACCAATTCCATTTCTTCACAAATTTAGATATGATAGCTTACGTTTTTTTTTCTTTAGCATGTGATATTTTAAAAACTATTCAGAATGATTTAAACATAACACAAAGAAAAGTTGTACAAGATGTACCAACCAGATGTGATTTCACCTTCTACAGGTGTCCCACAACGATTGTACAATACTTCATAGCGTATTCTCTGGTCGAAAATAGGCAAAAAAGCCGAATAACCATCCATATGTCGATTTAGATGTAATAATTGTAACTGGTGTGAAGTTATCCATAAATCCCAGCAATAAACTTAAAACATTAATAATTCCGTAACTAATACGATTTGGGTAACCAAATTTCACACAGAGGTCACTCTTACCCTCAAGAACAGCTTACCACCCCCATTTGGTAAAAAAAATTTGTTTCAACCCCCACCCCCGAAAAAGGGATGTTTTCGCCCTGATGGGCACCTTCGAATTAAACCAAATTCTACCACATAATAGAACACAGTTCTAAGTATTTTTATCAATTTTCAAAACACCGTAAGCCCTAACGGTTTTCGAGAAANATTTTTTTTTTACCAAATGGGGGTGGTTAGCTGTTCTTGAGGGTAAGAGTGACCTGTGTGTGAAATTTGGTTACCCAAATCGTATTGGTTACGGAATTATTAATGTTTTAAGTTTATTGCTGGGATTTATGGATAACTTCACACCAGTATAATTGTATGATTACGATGGTTAAGAAACAAGTTAAATAAATAATAAGTTAATATTGAGAAGATTAATACAGTTCATTAATAATTTAACAAAATAAAGTAACAAAGATTGTTGAAGAATGTTTCAGCCAGCATAAAAAGAACGAATATTTAACAAATTGGAAAAGAATGATGTAATAATAAATGTTCAATATGCACACCATTTACTCCTAAACACAAACGGGTATGTTTTTTAAATGAACTTCTAATGCGTTCAAAGACCAGGTTATTTAACTATGCTCAAGTAGCGCATGCATAAGGTGCTGGTGCTTCATCGTGCACAAAGTAACAGTCTTGTTCTTAATTATTTCTATTCAACTGTCAATATAATTAAGGTTTTTACTATCATTTTCTTATTATTATGTAATTTTTATTGTAAAAATGTTTATTAATACTTTTCAATATATTGGCTTGATTGGGGGGAATTAAATTGTTTTATTATTATTTCCGGAATATTCCTAAATTCCTGCGAATTTCAAATTTCCCGGGCTGATATTGACGCGTGACGTCACAGAGGGAGCAATTTCCGGTCCAACTTAAAAATATGACAGCGCCATCTATCGCTCATCAGGTAAACCACCCCCTTTTTAGTTTAACTACACACCACCAGATGGCTTACATGAATTTTGAATTTCAAATTTCCCGCGCTTTGACGTAAATCACTTCCGGCGCATGCGGAAGTATGTGATACGGAAATTGTCAAAAGTATGTGAAGAAAATAAAGAGGAAATTGATTCCAAACGATTTGCAGAACATTACTGAAATATCTTAAAGCTAATATCCCGAGGACTTGACAAATTACAAAAAAATACACACGCTTTACCATTTATCCGCCTTTCCAGTCATCAAGATTGCGATTAGATCGGCTCTAATTTTCTCATAACATATTCGACACACTTCGAATTCACTCCTTAGCATGTACTGCATTTGATCAGCCTCACTAATTTGGATGGTGTATTGAGGTTGCATATTCTGGTATCGTATGCTTGTTTGAAGTTTAGGAATGGTAGAATAGTGGGTGTATTAGTGTCAAACTCGTAGAACTTTTCATAGAACAGTCTGGTGATAAAAAGTTGACCTACCCAATCTGAAGTTATGAAAATCTATTCTAATCTTGATATTAGCCAATGATTGTCTATAATTTACACTGGTGGTTTTTCTATTTTCAATATCGCCTCTATCAGTATATACAGGGTGGTTGTATGTTGTTCCTCCCATATTTTATTAGCTTCACTGGTATGTTGTGCCTTATTAATTTTAGTGTTTCTTGCTTTAACTTATATTGGGCCTGCTTTGTATTCGTGCTTCGGATTTCCAAAAGTTCTTTCTTTTAGTAGAACATCGATATCATATCGTTGCATAATTTTTGGAAAAGCCAACAGCATTGCACTAACTGGAATTTTATAGTTAACAGTATGTTTGTTGAAATTTTATCTTCAATCTGTTTTCATGTGTCATTATTAGAAACAGCCAATTATAAGAATTGAAAGTTAAAGTAAAATATTAAAATAACAAATACGTTGGGTTAGTATAAAATTATGTGGTTTTGAAAAACCCCAGTTATATATTTTAATTAATCAAAGGCATCTATGTTTAGATTTTAAGAAGTATTCTAAGTACTTAGTAAGTAAATGTAACAAATCCCGATTTTCTCGCTTTTGCTTTTCAACTTAATTTTTGGTCTGTTGTTGGTGCAGTTGAGTAGCGTCGATGCGTCGTCTATTCGTCGGTATTTTTAGCCAACCCAGTTATAATCCGCGACGTCGAGCCTTTCCGAAATTTATAATCGGACGCATAGGATCGCGCCCAACAATAATTATAGACTCCGACAAAGCGGGACGAACGCAGTACCAGCACCATTTCTCGTTTCTCAGTCACTCTATCGATTCTGTACCACCAATAAATATCTTGACGACAAAAAATATAAAAAAAATAAGAGTCATCGCACTTGATTTACCTTGAAATTTTGATCTGAACTACTCCGACGACAACAAAAAAGAACGTAAAATGAATTTATTTAAAATTATTATTGTAAAAAGAGAAACAGTTTACGTAATGTTTGAAATAGGCTATAAATATTATTAAGAAAAAAATGGGAATTTCCATTTTGGTTAGTACTTTAATAGAAACGTCAATGATAACTTTTTTTGTTTTAGTCGTTTATACAGAGTGTTCATAATCAACTTTTTTGTTTTATTATTTAGTTTTTTAATGGAATATAAAAACGTACTTTATATTATAGTAAAAGTAGGTAATAATTTTATTTTTGGCTTATGAATGGTTGTTTTTGTTTCATTAATTTATTAGGCACGTGAAAAATATGTTGCAATAGGTATGTACAGGGTGATCTAAATTAATGTATTTTCTAACACAAATAATCGGAATTAATTTTTCTTATTTGCCGTAGAAATCAAATCGATTACAAACTCTTATCACCCGTATTGTTCAATTTAAATGTTTTATAGTTTTATGGCTCTTTATGTGTATAACATTTTTCTGTGAACAGAGAAAGCGTTAACTTAATATTTAATAATCTCGGTCGATTTCGAAGACGTCGGCCGCCCCAAGTTATATTTGTGGTATAAGAAATAATCTCTACCAATTTCCAAGACGTACCAAGAAGTATCATGAACAATATACTTCGGCCGAGATTATTTCTTCCACAAATTTCAAGCAGGATAGATTTATTGTATTGTTCGTGATACTTGGAGAATTACTTTGTGAGGTCTAAAAGACTTTCGAGACTGTAAACAAAATAAAATTGTAAACTAAATTAATATAATCAATTTTTGAAATACGTTATTAATTTTCAAAATTCGCTATAAAATTAATTTCTTGAAAGATCCTCGTGGAAATATCTTTTTTTTTGAAATGATCGACAATTTTTTCCCTCGAAGCGACCGAATCTTGGAAGTTGTCGATAATACTATTAGTATTTTTTGTCACTTTTTTATGTGAACACTTTTTAAGTATCTCATCTCCATCAAAATCAGTTTTACTTTCTTCGTTAACATAACTTACACTTTTCCACTCATTTCCAAGTATTTCAAACATCTCATGTCAGATATAAATCTGGAAAAAACTAAGAAATTATATTCGTTACATTCCCAAATACTAACATAGAAGTATACAGACAATTTTAGGCATTTTACATTTATTTAAGGTTAAGTGATTAAGCTTACTTTATAAACACTCTGTATATCATATATTATATAAAACAGTTTCTCTTTATGTTAGGTTGTTTTGTATGTTTATTTCCATTAATTATTATGTTTATTTATAAGACGAACGTCTGTTGTTGATGAAAATCTTTAATGATAACGAAGAAGAAAAGACTTGAAATGTTTGTGGTAGCCAAGTTTAAAATGAGAAAGATCGTAGTGGGTTTGAGAGACGGGGGGCTTGTATCAAGTAGGCTGCTGCTGGGATAGATTTCATGCGGTACGGTCGGATTCAAGGTCGACCTCTGATAAAAAAAACGTCTTTCGGCCGTCGTACGACGAACAATGGTCGACCCTAAGAACGTCCGTTTTCGTATCCCCCCTATCCCCTCTCCACAACTATATACCCACAGAACTTCCACCGCCGTTTCGCCAATTTTTCCATTTAAAATTAAAACACGCCTTATTTTTGAATGTATTAATCATGAAATTGCGCAACGAGTCGAGTTCGCATCGGATCTCTCTAAAGTGAGAAGTGAGCAGCGCAATGAATGAGTCAAACTCGGGCTCGCAAACGACGTTGTTTCGTTTCTTGTGGGAAAGCAAGCAGCGGTATCCGGGGAGCGAGAACGGTACCATTTCGAACTCGGTGAAATCACCGACTTCCGTTATGTAGTGTAGTATATGCGCGCGTAACGCACTCAAATACTTGACATTTTGATGTCTCATTCCGTATTTAGATTATTCGATTTTTTATTTTTATCGTTTCCGGACCGGAAAATACCCTCATTTTTTTTTTTTTCACTAAAGCGTTAAAATTGCGCAATCGACCGTATACACAACGCGCAAGGTTAAGAAAAAACTATCACTTCCGGTTCGATTTGTTATGTTCGTTTTTAACCGGCGCGGATGTTAGCGCCACCTCTTTGTTAATAGCCGAAGTAACTTTTTGTTTTGAAATCATTTTAAACGGTTTGTTTGATTGCGTTTTCTTCTCGTGTTAATTATAGATCAAAGACGACGATCAACTTCCTCGTGTGATATGTCAGCGATGTACGGACCAAGTGGATGTTCTTTACGAGTTCAGGGAAACCGCCCGGAAGTCGGAGGAGATGTTACAGGAGTACTTAGTGCACACGAAAAGACTGCAAGGGACGCCTCAGGTATGTTAAATAAAATTCATTTTTTTACTTGCTGGCATTTATCACTTGGGTACGTCATTCAGGTACACCTTTATATGATAATAAATCTATGACAGTGTAATACCAACCTTAGACCGCAAAAGTCAAAAAAAAGGATATGCAAAAAGGTGCTTTTAATTGATTTTTGAGACTGTTTTTATGTACGTTATTTAATAATGAAGTGCGTTGTTGGAGCCAATTTATTTTTGGAACAGAGTATTATTTATTTAAGCTTTTAATTAAATTATATAATAGTGTTGTACCTCATTACATTACATAAATAACGTATAGTTCGTTTTTTTTTCTATAATACTTGTCACTGTAAATTATTTAGGGTTTCTGTTGGTATTATCTAGTTGTTTTCCTGATTTTTAGTAACATTTTTAGTAACTAAATAGTTGAGGTTAAAATACTAATAAATTTTTAGATAAATACGATTTTAACGAAGTACATATTTGTTGTAAAAACGTGCTACAAAGTATTTAATAGAATAAAATACCTTTTCTAGGTAAATAAATGGCAAATAACCACCTGACAACACTTTTTATTCACCTTTTCTTTTTGAATAACGAAAGCTCAAACGTCAATGTGACATATTTACTTCAAAACATGATAAAACAAAACTCCCTGTTAATTTTGCCAACTTTACAACAATTTGACAGGTATTATAGAAAAAAAATGAACTATAACATTTATTATTTTGCCGACAAACATTATGTTTCAATGTCATTATTGATGTTTTAATGCCACTTTTGACATTTCTTTGTCATTATGAATATGACGTTGTCACTTTTGACGTTTGATTGTCATTGCTAATTATTGATGTTTCAATGTTGACGTTACAATGCCACTTTCGACGTTTTAATGTCGCTTTTGATGTTTCGATATCGTTAATTATTTCGTTGATGTTTTAATGTCATTCTTAACGTTTCTATGTTGACGTTGCAATGTCATTTATGACGTTTCAAAGTTACTTTTAACGTTTCAATAAGTTTCAATGTTATTCATAATACTGTTTTTAATGAATGAGTGCTTTAAGTCTTATGAAACGTGTTTTTTATGCTATTTTTTGTAATTCGCGTTTTTATACTTTTTTTAACAAAAATAAAGTAAATTTTGGCAATGTAGGGAAATAGGTATGTAGCAGTTGGTAACACCGGAACACTTGAAAATAGAAACTTTGAATTGACAATTAGAAACTGTCAAAACACAAAATATATTCACCTGATAAAGAATGTTTGATGTACACCTCCCAAAATACGAGAAATTGCTCAGAGTCAATGTCCTCATCATTGTGGACCTTGTATTCGATGCTAAGAACGTGTTTAAACATCCATAGAAAAAAATTGTCACATTGACAACTACAAAATTAATGACCCAATGTCACCAACTTGAACTGGTTCCATAAAATGTTACTAAAATCTCATTACAGCATCGGATGCTGTAATGAGCCTCATTACAGCACCCGTTTGAGGACTGTTATAGCTTCCATTACCGTAGCGAATTACAAAAAAGCCTATAAACTTAAACGCTATAAAAATAACTGAAAGCTAGATTTTCGGCTTTTATACCGGACAGGACATCTTTCATTCTAAAAGCGTTTTTGTAATATTTTCCGTTTCCCGAGTATTATCCTTACCAACTGAGAACAAAAGTGCAAGAGAACAATATTGTTAGGAATAAAATTTGTTACAACTTTTGTTTATGTCAAATTGACTTTGTCACACCCGTTACATGACGTGTTATCGATATTTTTAGTAAAACGTGAAGCTTTATTCCACCGATTTATCAAACGTGACTTGTTGATGGAATAAGGGCGCTACAATTATACAGGGTGTTTCGGTGACTCGGGGAACAAATTTAATCATATACAGGGTGTATCTGAATGACTGCAACTAACTTCAAGGGGTGATTCTTTAGTGAATTTTAAGGGTACTTTGGTATATGAACCATGGGCGACTTCGGCGCCCCTAAGGAGCTACACCCCTCCAAAAATGGCGGAAAATGTTGGTTTAATTTTTTTTTCTCAAAAACCATAAACGCTAGGAAAATGAAATTTGGGGAATATGTTTAACTCATAATAGGCCACGTTTTGACCCTATTTGTACTTTCAACCTACCCCTCTAAACTACTAAACGTAACCACCCCCTTTACATTTTTGCTAATATTTTTTTTATGCAGATGATAAATACATTAAAAAAAAATTATCTAGGTAGATGAAAGTATCCTAAAACTTTTTTGTCTCTTTAAAATTTTTCCAAAAATGACTAATTTTTGAGAAAAAAAATAATAAAGCAAACACTGCACGTTAAACAACGGGGTTGTCGATCAAAAGTTGGAATGAATTTTTAATGAAAAAATCTTAGTAGGCTTTGCAATCTTTGTCAGAAATATTTTTGACGTTAGTATACAGGATGTATACTAGAGTGAAAATGATGACGATACAGGCCATAAAAGTTAGGAAATTTTAACACATTTTTCCAAATATCTTAAACACTATTTACAGTAAAGCGTTGAAATTTTTTACTGTGTAAATCAATGTCATGTAAAATCGTTAGGCAATTTATGAATTGGATCGGTCCGCGGGAACAATGCTATACAGGATGTTCCTAAAGTTTGTTTGTTCAGAACTTTTTTATTCTATCATAACAGTAGATTTATGTTTGCAGTTTCTAATAGCAAATTTAATTTAGAAACTTTTATTGCTCTTAGATAATATTGATAAAAGTCACCGTTTTCGTGTTAAATGCAAAAACTTTGGGTTCCGATTTCATTAATAGCACTAAAAAAAAGAAATCTAAGTTTTTGAACATTTCTTTTAGTATTTTTTATTACTTGTCTTGTTATTTTATGTATGTTTTTATTATTCATGTTAGTGTTGATTTTTAATTTATTGTTTTCGAATTCTTTTATTAAACCAACTAAAACAAATTAAAAATGTGACTTAGCTAAATGTACACTTGGACATGTTGCGTACATAATAGTTATGACAGCTCAGTTCGATTTTCACTTGTCATTGCCAATTCAGATTATTTATTTATTTCTTTTTTTTTTTTAGTGTTATTGAATTCGGAGCCTAACATTTTTGCATTTAATACGAAAACGGTGGTTTTTATCAATATTCTCTAAGAGTGATAAAAGATTCTAAACTAAATTTACTATTAGAAACTGCAAAAATAAATGTAGGGTTATGATAGAATAAAAAAGTTCTGAGCAAACAAAGTTTAGGAACAGCCTGTATAGCACTGTTCCCGCGTACCGATCCAACTCAAAAATTGCCTAATGATTTTACGTGATATTAGTTTACACTGTACCAAATTTCAACGCTTTACCATAAATAGTGTTTAAGATATTTAGAAAAATGTGTTAAAATTTCATAACTTTGGTGGCCTGTATCTTTGCAATTTGAGGACTTTTACTAATTTTTTTTACATGAATCGTCATCATTTTTACTCTAGTATACTAGGTTACATTTGTTCCCCGAGTCACCGAAACACCCTGTAGAGTGTGTCACGCCCGTTACGATGCAATGTCACACCCGTTACGTCATACTGTCACACCCGTTACAAATTCAACTATAATGAGAGGATCCCGCTTTGAAAGATTTAATTAAACTAAATTAAAACCACAAAATCTTTTCTTTTAATTATTTATTTTGAAAATTTTCGACTAGAAATCAACGGAATACAATAACCCAAAAATATTAAAGGTGCACATTTGTTGTAATGGGGTTGTAAATGACTTGCCTAGCAAAGGGATAACTTTGATTCCTTTGCCAACTCTTCCATTTTGTGTAGCATAAAATAACCGCGATGAACGATGACACGATGATAACGACGGTTAATAAAACTAAAGATAATCTTAAATACGGCGAAGTTTTATGGACGCTAACTAAATATTGGGGGTTAAAAGGCTGGAAATAAAATTGATTATAAAAAAAAATATTTTAATTTTATGATTAATTTAATACCTTATTTTTGCATACTTCATCTGTTAAATTATAAACCTCCAAACTCCTCATCCCCCGAATATCCCTGCAATAAGGCCCATTTTTGTTTCTCTTAACATCTTGAGATATCAACAACGAAATATTATACAAATTACAATCGCAATAAAGTTGATTATGCGACAATTCAAGCACATTTAACTCCTCCCAATTCAAAATATCAACAGTTAAAGTGTTAATTTTCGTGTTCGTTAAATGCAATTCTTTGAGTTTTTCGCTTTTTAAAAACGCCTGCGCCTCGATCGTTTCCAACTTAACGTTATGAGATAAATCTAATTTTTGCAACTTTTTACACGGCGCGAAAGTGTTGGTTTTGATGTGGGTGAGTTCGGTTAAATTTTTCGCTGAAACTTCCAACAAATCGTCCAAACCCAAAAACGACGGTTCATCGAGAAATCGAATCGGATTATTATCCAAAATTAAAACTTCCAATTTTTTTAACAACGACAAACTTAACGGCATAAAATCCAAATCGTTGTTTGATAAATTCAAGTCGATTAATTCGGGGAAATTCGTCAATACGTTTGTGGAAACGTCCGTTAAACGATTAAAAGCTAAATTTAACACGGCCAGTTTTGGTATGTTCGCGAAAGCTAAAGCCGTTTGATCGTCAATAACCCTAAAATTGTTTCCCTCTAAATTTAACGACTTCAAATTGGGCATGTGTTCGAAAATGTTTCTATGCAACGAATGGATTTCGTTAAAACCCAAATTAAGGTATTCCAAAGAAATCGGTTCGAAATTCGTGTTATTATACGGCCCTTTAAAAACGTTCGCGTTTAAAACGTCACTTCTTATCTTGTTATAACTCAAATCCAAGTAATAAATGTTTATTGAACTCCCAAATAACCCCGGTTCCATATCTTCTATGTTACAATGAGATAGAACCAATTTAATCGTTGCATTCGATCCCGGAAATTGTTTAACACTTTTCATGTTGTTATAACTAAAAGTTGCGACGATTTCCGTTGCGTTGGTTTCCGGCCAATTTGCTATCGTTTTTTCTAAGCTTTTGTTGCTACAGTTTATGGTTAAAGTTGTTGTTGATGTCGAACATTTGCAAAAGCTGCAAAGGTGATCGGAATTTAGAAATTCTTGGGCGTCTTCGGAAACCGTTGGATTTGGCTCGAATAAAATTAAAAATGTTGCGATAACCTGGAAATAAAAAAAAAATTAATATGATGATGTAGATGTTTATGAAGAGAAAATGAGTTATGAATGAGATGAGAGAAGATTCGGACATCGAAGATGTAAGATTATTGAGGACGGTGATTTTAAATTAAGATGAATGTAACGAGATATAATGAAGACGTGTTCTACTTATTTAGTTAATAATAAAAGATATAAAAGAATTGTTATAGATATACTAAAAACGACTAAATTTAGTACTTTGAAAACGACGAAATTCATAAAATTTTCATATTTTCGTATTTTTCTCAATATCTATGCCTTTGAGTGCAAAAATACAAGAGAACAATATTGTTAAGAATGAAATTTGCTACAAGTATTGTTCTAAAAGTTTTTTTATAACATGCTTCGTTTTCGCAGTGTTACCATGAACTACTTTGAAAAGGAAGAAATTCATAAAATTTTCATATTTTCGTATTTTTCTCTATATCTAGTCATCTGAGAGCAAAAGTGCAACAGGGCAATATTATTAGTAATAAAATTTGCTACAACTTTTGTTCTAAAAGTTTTTTTTGTAGCAAGCTCCGATATCCGAGTATTACCATGAACTACTTTGAAAACGACGAAATTCATAAAATTTTCATATTTTCGTATTTTTCTCAATATCTATGCCTCTGAGTGCAAAAATACAAGAGAACAATATTGTTAAGAATGAAATTTGCTACAAGTATTGTTTTAAAAGTTTTTTTATAACATTCTTCGTTTTCGCAGTGTTACCATGAACCACTTTGAAAAAGAAGAAATTCATAAAATGTTCATATTTTCGTATTTTTCTCCATATCTATTCATCTGAGAGTAAAAGTGCAAGAGAGCAATATTATTAGTAATAGAATTTGCTACAACTTTTGTTCTAAAAGTTTTTTTTGTAGCAAGCTCCGATATCCGAGTGTTACCATGAACTACTTTGAAAACGACGAAATTCATAAAATTCTCATATTTTCGTATTTTTCTCAATATCTATGCCTCTGAGTGCAAAAATACAAGAGAACAATATTGTTAAGAATGAAATTTGCTAAAAGTATTGTTTTAAAAGTTTTTTTATAACATTCTTCGTTTTCGCAGTGTTACCATGAACCACTTTGAAAAGGAAGAAATTCATAAAATGTTCATATTTTCGTATTTTTCTCCATATCTATTCATCTGAGAGTAAAAGTGCAAGAGAGCAATATTATTAGTAATAAAATTTGCTACAACTTTNATTTGCTACAAGTGTTGTTCTAAAAGTTTTTTTATGACATGCTTCGTTTTCGCAGTGTTACCATAAACTACTGTGAAAAGGAAGAAATTCATAAAATATTCATATTTTCGTATTTTTCTCCATATCTATTCATCTGAGAGCAAAAGTGCAAGAAAGCAATATTATTAGTAATAAAGTTTGCTACAACTTTTGTTCGAAAAGTTTTTTTGTAGCAAGCTCCGATATCCGAGTGTTACCATGCTCTACTTTGAAAGCGACGAAATTTATAAAATTTTCATATTTTCGTATTTTTCTCAATATCTATGCCTCTGAGTGTAAAAATACAAGAGAACAATATTGTTAAGAATGAAATTTGCTACAAGTATTGTTCTAAAAGTTTTTTTATGACATGCTTCGTTTTCGCAGTGTTACCATAAACTACGTTGAAAAGCAAGAAATTCATAAAATATTCATATTTTCGTATTTTTCTCCATATCTATTCATCTGAGAGCAAAAGTGCAAGAGAGCAATATTATTAGTAATAAAATTTGCTACAACTTTTGTTCGAAAAGTTTTTTTGTAGCCAGCTCCGTTATCCGAGTGTTATCATGCTTTACTTTGAAAGCGACGAAATTCATAAAATTTTCATATTTTCGTATTTTTCTCAATATCTATGCCTCTGAGTGCACAAATACAAGAGAACAATATTGTTAAGAATGATATTTGCTACAAGTGTTGTTCTAAAAGTTTTTTTATGACATGCTTCGTTTTCGCAGTGTTACCATGAACTACTTTGGAAACGACGAAATTCATAAAATTTTCATATTTTCCCAAGGACAGTAGAANCAACAATACAAGAGAACAATATTGTTAAGAATGATATTTGCTACAAGTGTTGTTCTAAAAGTTTTTTTATGACATGCTTCGTTTTCGCAGTGTTACCATGAACTACTTTGGAAACGACGAAATTCATAAAATTTTCATATTTTCCCAAGGACAGTAGAATCTAACAGGACTGCTACATCCATTGTTGTGACAACCTGCCCGCAAACTACGTCATACCATTTTCCACGCCCAGCTGTTGTTATGGTCTATGCGTTTACTGTGTATTTTTAAAGGTTATATCCTAGACGTCTTCATATTATTTTTGAAGTTTTATGTTTTTAGACGTATTAATGTCTATCATATAACCTCTAAAAACACAGACAGTTACCAGGCGTGGCAAATTGTGTGACGTAGAGTGCGGGCAACCAACCCATAGTGGACTACAAAAATACAATGGATGTAGCAGTCCTGTTAGATTTTACTGTCCTTGATATTTTCCCATATTTCTCAATATCTATGCCTCTAAGTGCAAAAGTATAAGAGAGCAATATTGTTAGTAATAAAATTAGCTACAACTTCCATTCCAAAAGTTTATAACTATAAGTAATTATTTATGGTACATTAAATCTTCATCAAATTTGCTTTAAAATGGTCTTTATTTCATGATGATATCTCAATTCAAGGTTTTTGCCACGCGGATTCTGAATGAAACAACCTCGTTGAAAAACACTTATGATTTTGCCCTATTTTCCTCTAATACAAATGTGAGTTTAGCATATACAGGGTGTCACACAAAAAACGCCCCAACCTGTAACTCTGTCATTTACATTCCGATTTTCATGAACGGGTTATCAAATGAAATGGTTTCATGAAAACTATGATTCATGCTACAAATAAATTTTTTCCAAGGCCGTCTTCAATTTTAAGCGATTATTAACTTTTGCTTTTCAAATTGCTCTATATATTTTTCTTTACGTCATTGGATAGAGACTGTTTTTCTGAATCCACTGATGTACAATACATCCATTTTGAATATAATTTTAGTAGAGAAAAGACACCTGTATATACAGGTTGCCACACAACGCCTTCCAATTTTAATGACTCAGCTATCAAATGAAATGGTTTGATGAATACTATGATTCATGCTACAAATAAACTTTTTCCAACGCCATCTTCAATTTCTAGCGATTATCAACATTTGATTTTCAAATTGCTCGGTATGTTTTTTTTCACGCTATTTGATAGAGTTTTTTTTTCTGAATCCATTTATGTACAACACATCAACATTAATTGTAATTGTAGCATAAAAAAACATTAAAATAGTTTCTGAACATTCTCTTAAAGTCACTTGTATTATACTGTAGTGTGCCATGGGATACATGAAAAAACACCTTATAAGTATCATTTACAACTGCTTCGGGCATTGACATAGCAGTTAATGACTGTTATCAGTTTTGCGTGTTATTTTTTTCCATGGCACACTGCAATATTACAGAAGTGACATCGCTTAAAATTGAAGATGGCCTTGAAAAAATTTTTTTGTAGCATGAACCATAGTATTCATCAAACCATTTCATTTGATGCCTCGGTCATGAAAATCGGAATATAAATGACAGAGTTACAGCTTGGGGCGAGACACCCTGTATAATTATGTATACAGTACGACATGTGTAAAGAATCTTACAGGTTGAACGTATGATTTGGACAGAGTTTTCTATATTCCGCACGGTCTATCTTCCAAGCTTTTATTCCCACAATATTTTGATCATCTTCCACATCGTCAAGAAATCCCTCATCCTTTTTGCCTAACAATATGATCATCCCTCCTCTTCTTTTTGTTATAGAGGGAATTAGGAAATTTGCTTAACAAACATCGAACCGTTTCGACTTTTGCGTTTAAATGGTGTCTTATACTGTCCCATAGACTATTATTTCGGAGTAGAAGGTTTCTTTCTGCCTCCTCACTTAACGTGATTCCTCGTTCCACATCTTCTCCTAGTAACTGTGTCCTTCTGTTTATGTCTTCTCGTCTATGGTCTAACTTTTACTTATCCTTATCTCTGTCCTCCTTCTCCACGCTTTTATTACTACAATGTTTAGGTCTTCCCCATCGTCAAGAAATTTCAATTTCGTTCTACTTGGTCTAAAAATCTTGCTTAACAATATGGTCTCTGCAATGTGGTCAACCCTACCTAACTCAGTCATATCCAACTCTTCTTTTTATTATAGAAGGGATTCGAAAATTTGTAACTTCAACAGGAATCTGGAGTTTTGGTGTTTTAGGATTTTTGCGTCCGATTTTTCGGATTTGTTTTTTTCTTGATCACTTTCTGCTTCCTCACTTAATCTGATTTCTCGTTCTCGTGCAAAATTCGCTATAAAATTCATTTCTTGAAGGATCCTTGTGGAAATATCACCAATTATTAATTAAAGTATCCTCTTTTTAGCCGTTTTGAAAAATCATTTTTGGAAATTAGTTTCAAAAAATCAATCAATCATATTTATGTATTCACCTTTATTTCATTTTTTCCTATTAATCATTTATTTCAAGGTTATGATATCATCGCCTTTTCATGAAATAAGCACTTATTTTCTGAATTCAAAACTTTCGTCTCCTAATATTATCAAGATATAAAGTTCTGAGTGTACGAAAACTTTCGTGAGTCATGGTACGCGCGTTTATGACACAAAATTCTAATTTAAAAATCTAACCTAACATTTCATCTTGATTATTAACATCAAAACGTGATTTTTGAATTTGATGTGATGTATATTATACTAAATGACAGCTTTAAATATGAATAAATTTAAATTAAATTAAATTTTTTTTCTTTAAACGCCAAGTTAATATGGGTGCTCGATACACTTACGTCAATTTGACACGACGCCATTAATTAAGAGTGTCATTTAAGAGACGTTAAAATAAGAAAATTAATGTTATTTCAAAACATAATACAGTTTTGAATCATTTTGTATAAATGTTGACTCATAAAAAAGTGACTAATCAGAGATTTTTAATTGTTGGTAATATTAATTAATTAATTACATAAATTTACTCACCGATAAATGAAACAACATGTTGACTTCTTTTTTGCGTTATTTTCGATTAACAAAATCACACCACACCTAAATTCGAGTTTTTAACTTTATCTTTTTTATACTGATTTGGTACCTGTTCTGAGTTTAGTTTTAAGTCTCTCCCCCGCTTGATATGAGCGAACAAACATTGTTATCTAATCGAAAATTATGATAAAAACAAGTTCTTTTTAGAATTGTTTATAAATTTTATCGCCGGACTTAATATCTTTCAAAAATGTTGTAATGCAATATCTTTTAATTTTTATTTTCTTTTTTTCTAGGAACAATTAAAAAAGTCTATCACCATGCTCGAATCAATTCTCGCCTTAAAAACGACAAGTTTAAAACAAGAACCGGAAATAACAATCGAACCAATCGAAATTATTCAACAAACGTCCCAATTAATACCAGAATTAACTCAATCAATCCAACAACAGTACTTAGTAATAGATGGAACTTTAGATCTAAGCCAATCGGCCGATCGTTTTGGTGGAAGTAGAGAAGGTTCGGTTACGCCGCCGTTAGAACCAGCCGATTTATCAAATAAAAAACCTGAGAATGTCACCTGCGTTCCAGAAATAGATTTTATTAAAGAAGAAGTAAACGATGCCGCATCCGATTACAGTAATAGCTCGGATCCGGAACGATTAGAAGTGGATATGTCTCAAGCGGTTGAGGAACAATCAAACTCGGCCACGGAAAGTGCCCCATCACCCACTCCTGACGGAGGCGGCGGGGGCACTCACGAAGATCGAGAACTTTGGCACGCTTTAACAAGAAACGGCCATCCAAACACCGTCGCTTTATCCGGCGAGGCGAGCCAATTACTAAGGAAATTGATTACTTGCAAGAAATTAGGCATGAGTATCACACCAGCTCCTCTTTCAATTACTCCAAGTTCGCCGAAAAAACCTTTACACAACAAAAATAGTAGTAACGATATGGAAACATCTTTAGAAGGGTCCATTATTAATTATAAAAGCACGGCAGGGGGGAGGCGAAAACAGAGTTTTCCAACGAAAACAACCACGAAAGAAGAACCAGTCGATAGGGATGATAGTCCGTGCATGGAAGTTGAATCGGAGGAGTATATGCCTGATTTTACAGGAAATAGTCCTTGGTGCAATATACAAATGTGTAAAAATAATAAGGTTAGAATAATAGGTAGAAAAATACGTTTAGGGTTTAATTAAATTCGAGTCGAGGAAAGAAATTAGTTATAAATAGAAATGATACGGATAAAAATTAAATTTTTGAGGTTATGTTAATCTGTCAAAATATTATTTGAGGTTAAATTTACATTAATGTTAAGGTTAAATGAAATTATTGTGCATTTGCACTGTTCCACATAAAATGTTACTTTTCGTTCAATAACAATATTATGTTTTTAGAAATTTTCATGCTGCTTGGTAGTAGGTAAAGGTGTAACTTATCTTAGAAAAAATGCAGAACTAAAACTAGAACGAGAACTAGAAACATTCGGGTATAGTCGTGAAAAAAACTTTCAGTTGTCAATGTTAACTTTAATTTTATTATTATATTCGTAATCTTCATAAAATAACCTTTGAAATGAGTCCAAACTCGACATATTTAACTATAATATTAATGGAAATGCAATCACTTCCGGTTTGAAACGTCAACGTCAATTTTGGCATATTTGTCATCTTCATTATAAAACCTTTAAAATGAGGCCAAAGATGACGCACTTATCTCAAAAAACAAAAAAGTTAGAATCAAAAACATTAAACCCGAAGTTAGCAACAATGAAGATAGCAATTTAAGTTTCAAATATTAAAATCAACCTCAATTTTTAATTTTTTTTTATTATATTTTTGTTTTTGTGACAAATATTAAGACACTTTATAAAAATGAAGAATATGTCAAAATGACATTGACATTTCAAACCGGAAGTTGCTTATATCTCGACTAATATTGGAATTAAACGTATCATGTGTGAGCTCATTTTAAAGGATTTTTCACGACGATTACAAATATGTCAAAATTGACGTTGACATTCTTAACCGGAAGTTGACCATAGCTTCATTTATATTGAAGATAAGTATGTCGTGTTTGTATTCATTTTAAAGGTTTTTTAATGAAGATTACAAATATGTCAAAATTGAGGTTGACATTTTAAACCGGCAGTTAGTTGTCATATAAGAAACAAAAGGACAACTTCATAGTGTTATTTCATGATGTATTCTTTATTAAAAAACTTTAAAATGAGTCCAAACATGACGCATTTATCTCAAAAAACCAAAAAGTTCGAACTTTCAACTTTTAATTTTGACATATTTGTCAACTTCATAAAAAATTCTTTGAAATGAGTCCAAACTCGACATATTTAACTTTAATATTAATGGAAATACAATCACTTCCGGTATGAAACGTCAACGTCAATTTTGGCATATTTGTCATCTTCATTATAAAACCTTTAAAATGAGTCCAAAGATGACGCACTTATCTCAAAAAACAAAAAAGTTAGAATCAAAAACATTAAACCCGAAGTTAGCAACAATGAAGATAGCAATTTAAGTTTCAAATATTAAAATCAACCTCAATTTTTAATTTTTTTTTATTATATTTTTGTTTTTGTGACAAATATTAAGACACTTTATAAAAATGAAGAATATGTCAAAATGACATTGACATTTCAAACCGGAAGTTGCTTATATCTCGACTAATATTGGAATTAAAAGTATCATGTGTGAGCTCATTTTAAAGGATTTTTCACGACGATTACAAATATGTCAAAATTGACGTTGACATTCTTAACCGGAAGTTGACCATAGCTTCATTTATATTGAAGATAAGTATGTCGTGTTTGTATTCATTTTAAAGGTTTTTTAATGAAGATTACAAATATGTCAAAATTGAGGTTGACATTTTAAACCTGCAGTTAGTTGTCATATAAGAAACAAATGGACAACTTCATAGTGTTATTTCAAGATGTATTCTTTATTAAAAAACCTTTAAAATGAGTCCAAACATGACGCATTTCTTCTAATTTCAACTTTTAATTTTGACATATTTGTCAACTTCACAAAAAATTCTTTGAAATGAGTCCAAACTCGACATATTTAACTATAATATTAATGGAAATACAATCACTTCCGCTTTGAAACGTCAACGTCAATTTTGGCATATTGGTCATCTTCATTATAAAACCTTTAAAGATAACGCACTTATTTCAAAAAACAAAAAAGTTAGAATAAAAAACATTAAACCCAAAGGTAGCAACAATGAAGATAGCAATTTAATTTTTAAATATTGATACCAACCTCAAATAAAACCAAATCAATCGCTATAATTTAACATATCAAACATTTTATCTTAATCAACTTTTGTTGTACATTGCTCAGAAAGGCCACTTTACCTGCAACAGTTAACAAACTTCTTAAAACTTTGGTACTTTGAGGACATTTGACGTAAAACTTGGTTATAATTCGTTTTATTCAAAAATTTATTGTCAATTATACCTTGCGGGGACACACTGCATTATATGGGAGTCGCGGGCAAATTTTTTTTAAAGAAATTTTTAAATAAACTTTAAATGTTAATGTGATAAAAATTCAATGTTACCAACTGTAACCAACTTCACAACAATTTGTCAAAATTAAATGTTAATTTTATGAAACGTCATGTTTTTTTTACGAAAATTAGTTAATGTATGCTTAAATCATATGAAAATAGTTATTTAACCAACAAGTGTATATTAATACCCTAACTTGTTGTAATGAAGGCGATTTCCCCCAATTCCATCACTGGCAAACTTTAAGAAAGTCCGACCGAACTAATATAGTAGTCAATTTAGTAAACATTCTCGAATGAAATCTGTAATACCGACCACTATATCTATTCAGTAAGACTACAATAATAAATTTTGACTTTTGACACATTAAAAGTGAGGTTAGATTTTTATATTAAAATCGTTTATTAAAAGCTGTCATTAATGAATGATTTTGTATACATTTATAAATCATATAAATACACGGTCGACGGAAAAAGGAATTTATTAACGTTTTTTTAATGTCAAACCTCTAGAAAGTCCTAAAAAAATTGAATTAAATTGAGGTTTTTTGAAATTTTAACGTTTCAAATAATTATTAATCTGTTAAGTTGATTAGCCGTAAATAATGATAATATAAATAATGATATATATTATAAGTTAGTCGTGGACAAATTTATTTTTTTAAATAAATTTTTGAATAAAGTTTAAACGTCAATGTGACACAAGTTCAATATAACCAACTGTAACCAACTTCACAACAATTTGTCATAATTAAATGTCAATTTTATGAAACGTCATACTTTTTTACAAAAATTAATTAATTTAATAATAATAATAATAATTTATGTCGGTGCTGTATTATTGGGTATTAATTTAATTATTTTATAGGGAAATAGTAGTTTGGCAAGACGCATGGATTTATCATGTACAAATTGCGGTACGCGAACGACAACGATTTGGCGACGAAATCTAAAAGGTGAAATGGTTTGCAACGCTTGCGGTTTATACTTTAAATTGCACGGGGTGGATAGGCCGCATACGATGCGACGAGACACGATTCATACGAGGCGTAGGAGACCGAAAATTGATCGGAGAGCGGAAGGGGAACGACAAAGAGGTCGGTTTTAATTCATTCGCCAATCAATCTAATAATAAATATAACGTATAATTTTAGCAGCGATTGCGCCAAAAAAAGACGCCGAAGACCTCCTAAGCGCTCTTCGCAAACAATTACAACCCCACCTGGTTATGGCACTTCAAGGACACAAGAATCTCAATTACCCGAATATGCAAGTAACTAGCGACAATATTTATAACGTAAGTTATTAAAAAAAATAAATAAAAATAAAAAAAAAGATTTATTTTAGTCTTCGAGTTATAAACCGATTGAAACTGTTAAATCTCCGTCGGAATCTGTACCAGACGAGCCGGACGAAGAAGATCATTATCGAGATTTGCCCTTAAATTTAGTGGCAACTCAAATGGCGGAAACGGAAACTAATTAAATAAATTTGCAACAAATAATGTACTTAGAATGAGGATGAGTCTCTTATTTAAAAGGAAAAGAATACTCTTTATTTAACTCTAAACTTGTAACAAATCGTTAGTGCCTAAACAATAATTAATTAACACTTCCTCGGTATTAATTTGTATTATTAATTAACCCTTAACTTAACCTCAAAACGTCAAATATGTCAAAATTAAATTATTTTCTAACCTAACTTTATTGATTAAAAAGGTTTGAAGGGTTAATTATTGTATTAAATTTTTTTATAGCTTTAACATCTAACTGTTTTTTTTTTGTATTACCTAAAAGAGCTTACTAAGAAGTAATAAGGATTATCTAACTTGATAAGACCAGTTTATAAAGAAGAGAACTTTTTTTATACCAGTGAACTCTTTACAATTTACTTATTAATTATTAAATTAATTATTATATATTTTTTGTACATAGTTTTACCTTATTTTTTATCGTACGTTATAATCTGATCAATGTTGTAATATTATTATGGTGAATACTCGTTTTTTTTTTCTTTTTTTGCCAATGTGTTTAAATAACTTTTTGTCTTTATGAAAAACGAAAATAACATTAACACAAACACACCTTAGTTTTTATACTGTTTTTTAGTTGTTAAGAAAAAATTTAAAAAATGTAATGAGCAATAATGGCAATACTTATTATTATTATTGTCGATTTATTATTATTAATTAATTAATTAATTACTCAGTCTTTCTATTAGATTGTCTTTTCTATTATTTTGTCGTTCGTTCGTTTTTTTTTCTTTTTATTTTATGATAATAGAAAAAAAAGTAACCCAGTAGTATTAACATTCGAGTGATATTTCTAACGTATTTAACAATTATTTTTTAATTATTATTTTTTAATTAATTAGTTAACTTATTGCAACCCAAAATCAGTATTGTATACGTTTTTATACTTAAAACATTTTTTTTTTGAACGACCGCCTTAGTCTTTAGGAACTTTTCACACACAATAATTTATGTTGGCAGCTCTCCTAATAACAACAAAAAAATGAACAAAATAATACTCATTTTTGCGCCTATTATTATTATTATTATTGTTACCCCTTTTTTTGCGAATCTCAATGATTGTTCTCTGTTTTTCATCTTTTATAATATTATATAGAAATTATGCGTATTACAATGTACAGTTGGTATTAATTGTAATAAGCCTTGTTGATCACCTTTAGCGTTTTTTTTATAATAAATTGAGAGTGATCTGTACAACTAATAATGATGATGATGACTTAACAGATTGGCTAGTAGTGTTAAAATATTTTTTTACAAATAAATATGGCTGCTAAATAACTTTTTGATGTTTATTTTATAATCAATTTTAATAAGCAAATTGGGTTGCCTATCTTTTCTTCACTTCATTATAGACATAGATGTCACTATTTTGACATTTTATTTTAGTCAATCAGCCATTTTACCTCCATACACTTCAGTGCGATTATTCCATTATTATGGCAGCGATTTTAAGCCATAGCGTACGCCGTTATTTAGCCACAACGGCTGCAAAAAATGCTGTTCGCGTGGAAGGCCCATCGGCGGTTTCGGGAGGACATGAAGGTAAATTTTAAATTTTGAGGTTATGTTATATAACTTGCTCCCAATGTTTTAATTCCTTTTATCTAAAATATAATCTTTAAATATCTTTTAGGTGGATTCAAGATGTGGCGTAGCTTATCTTTCTTCGTAGCTTTCCCGGCGATTGCTTTATGCGGAGTTAATTGTTATATTACCCACGAACACCTTGATGCTCCCGAGTTCGTTAAATACGATCATTTACGTCTACGTTCGAAGAGATTCCCGTGGGGCGATGGACAAAAATCTTTATTCCATAATCCCCACACCAACGCATTACCGGATGGTTATGAACATTAAATTGCATTGATGTGGTTAGAAAACAACATAGAAAGTTTTGTATATTGTTAAGTTGATTGATTTAATTAAATAAATTAAATACTAGATGTAATTATTGTTTTATTCTACCACATTTTTATTAATTTTCCATTTAAATATTATAAAAAAGGATTATGTAAAAACATTTAAATTAATTGATAAGAGATGGCGCTACGAATTTGCCGCTAAATTCTTGATTTACGAATTTTAGAATTTAAGTGCTCCTAATACAACACTTTTAATTAATATTAATTAATAAAAGAAGTAATTCTCAACATAAAACTTTATTTAATAATTATAATAACATTATTTTCTAATTGAATTTTAAAAATATCTTCGTCCAACAACAATCGGTGCGCGTCTCCGACCACGAAGAAGAGACGACAGGTGATCCGCGTTTCTGCTAACTGCACAAAGAGTCTTCCCTAAGTGGGGACAGTTGGTTGTTCACGCTTCTGGCTCTCTGCACTGCAACAGTTTTCAGTCCATCGCAAGACGTCGCGAAGATATCTTGCTCTCTTTCCATAAATTCAAAAATACACCTAATACAATAAAATAAAAAAAATCTCATTAACAATTAAATTAAGTAAAAAAAAAAACCTTGACATAATTATTATTTAAAAAAAAATGATAACTCATCAATTAAATTAAAAATAATACTAATAATAATAATAATAACAACACGATGAATTATAATTTTTTGTTGGGTCGAGAAAGATTTTTTAAAATAAGAATGAAGTATTTGTTTTGATTGAGTACTCGATGAGTACTGTTTCGAATCGGTGCGATGCCTCAAATAACCGGAAGAAATACGAACGGAAGTGGAATTTTGGGACTGAACGGTGGTGTGTATCATGGGGCGTCGAACGGTTTTGTGCCTCATTTCATCCAGAACGGACACGCTAAAACTAACGGACACATTGGAAAAGGTAAACATTTTAAAAATTCATTTTTTACTTAAATTATAAAGAATACGATTGAATTAATCGATAATTAACTATAAAATTGATTTCAAATTAGTTTTGGTTTTCGACTTTTTATTATTTTATAAAAGATTATTTTCTTTTCATCATTAATTATTAGTTTTATATTGTTAAATTATTATTATTTACGCTTGATTACCAAAACAATAAAGATTTAGATATTAAGGTTAAATTTTAGAAGGCGATATTCAAAATTTGTTACGTGTTCGTAATAATAGATGGCGCCATAAATAATAGTGGTCGTCCAGAATATTTCTTGTTGACATTTTGAACGATTCCCTTTGCTTTAAATTTCTTTCTGATTCCCTTCTGAATCGTCTTTGCACTTCCAATAACATTTTAGGACAAACTTTGTTGATATTCTGCCTTGTTGTGATTAATTAATTAACACCTGCAATACAAAAAAGGCAGAATGTTAGTGACAGTTAAAGTGTGAGTACATTTTTTGAGACACCTGTATAACCCTCTCAAATCAATCTTTATTTTCACTCAACCTAAAGAGAAAAATTGCTTCCATACTTGTAAGTGCCGGAAAGTGACTAACACTAGATTAACTTCAGTTATAAAACTTCTATTATATGATAACTAACTTCAGATTTAAAATGTCAACTTCAATTTTGACATATTTGTAATCTTCATTAAAAATCCTTTAAAATGAGTCCAAACACGACATATTTAACTTTAATATTAATGGAAATACAATCACTTCCGGTTTGAAACGTCAACGTCAATTTTGACATATTTGTCATCTTCATTAAAAAACCTTTAAAATGAGTCCAAAGATGACGCACTTATCTCAAAAAACAAAAAAGTTAGAATAAATAACATTAAACCCGAAGTTAGCAACAATGAAGATAGCAATTTAATTTTTAAATATTAATACCAACCTTAATTTTTATTTTTTTTTAAGATATTTTTGTTTTTGTGACAAATATTAAGACATTTTATAAAAATTAAGAATATGTCAAAATGACATTGACATTTCAAACCGGAAGTTGCTTATATCTCGAGTAATATTGGAATTAAACGTATCATGTTTGGACTCATTTTAAAGGATTTTTCACGACGATTACAAATATGTCAAAATTGACGTTGACATTTTTAACCGGAAGTTGACCAAAACTTTATTAATATTGAAGATAAATATGTCGTGTTTGGACTCATTTTAAAGGAATTTTAATGAAGATTATGAATATGTCAAAATTGAGGTTGACATTGTTTTATTATTGTTCACTTGACGTTTCAATTAGGTGAACGAGCGTAAATGCGATAGAACATATGTAAAATATACATCTACCTATGTAAAATTTCTAATGTGTTTATCATCTGCATAAATGAACAACTATAACCTCTATCTGTAAGTTAGGTTAAGCTTTAATCTGTACAATTTTTGATTGCTTTTTTTTTGTTTTTTATTAAATAATAGCGTTCCTCTGATGAAGAATTAAACCAATAATTGGCTCCGTACTTGAAGTTTGCACAACCGGTAACTTACTTAACCATTATGGATTTATTATACAGGTGTCCCAAAACTCACCTGCCAAACTGAAGCTCCAGATATAGTACTTATAACTGTATAGTACTTATAACATATTTATTTTTCGAGCTATAACATTTGCAAAATCATTAACAATATCGCTAATATCGATATTTACATCATGCTCTATACTCACAAGTGATAAATTGCACAATCTACTTTGTGACATTGTCGATCTTAAATAGTTTTTGACGGTACTTATTAAAAAGGCGCCCTTTTAGGGTGCACCCCTTGCACCCCCCCGGTAGCACCGCTCCTGTTTCCATCCAATGTATTGCTTTCTTTATTTCTTCTATCGTTATTACTTGTTTCAACTTCATTTCCAGAGTAGGCAATCCCAGCCTTAGCTTCTCGACACCTTTTAAATTCTTTATTTTTATTTTACGGTTTTTTTGCCACAACTCATACAAGTTTTTAAATGTTGAGATAATACCAAGTATTGATCTTATTACTCCATAACTCTTAATTAATGGGTTGAAATTTCATGTATTTTGAATGTATTTGAAGAAAAAGTGTAGATCTTGAAAAAATGTTCGAAAATAAAGAAAAAAAGAACGAAATTGAAGAAGTATCAAGATATCTTATGGGCAATTAATTGTTACTCCGGTGTTCCTCGGGACAACTTTATTGGCGCGATGAGAGCAACCGCGGGTAGATACGAGGTTCCAAGAAGAAGTACCGAAGGCCCATTTGCATCTTCGGGGGCCTCGTTTTGCATAGATCGACAGTTAAACTGAGTCGTCTGCTCTAAATAACTACTTCGTCGACGACTTCATAAAGTCATCCTCCGCAGATATCTATCTAAATAAAATTTATTTTAAAATCATTTTTTATGATAGATATCATTAAGGCTTGAATCGAATCGAAATCATAATACACAGTCAATTAAGTCGTTGACTTAACTCTATAGTAGTTATTAATTTTTTTCATCTCAACATTTGTAGTTCTAAAATTACCATCGAAACTAATTGCATCCCAAGCGATTAGTCACGGGTACCTGCAAACTTGGTGCCGATGCGGTTATTATTGCGGTTCGTCTTGAAAAATTTGCGTACACACTATTATTTAATCGCAGGTTTAATTAGCGAAACGATTTATTACTAGATGATATTTATCCCTATAGAAAACTTATTAAGAAATCTAATAATATTTATAAACTCGTCCCCACACAAACGAAGAACCCACATATGTTGGATCGCTTATGTTATATTTGTCAACTTCATAAAAAATCCTTTAAAATGAGTCCAAACTCGACATATTTAACTTTAATATTAATGGAAATACAATCACTTCCGGTTTGAAATGTCAACGTCAATTTTGACATATTCGTCATCTTCATTAAAAAACCTTTAAAATGAATCCAAACATGACGTATTTATCTCAAAAAACAAAAAAGTTAGAATAAAAAACATTAAATCTGAATATTGTTGTTTTGTGACAAATATTAAGACATTTTATAAAAATTAAGAATATGTCAAAATGACATTGACATTTCAAACCGGAAGTTGCTTATATCTCGAGTAATATTAGAATTAAACCTATCATGTTTCGACTCATTTCAAAGGATTTTTCACAACCATTACAAATATGTCAAAATTGACGTTGACATTCTTAACCGGAAGTTGACCATAACTTCATTAATATTGAAGATAAATATGTCGTGTTTGTACTCATTTTGAAGGAATTTTAATGAAGATTATAAATATTTCAAAATTGAGGTTGACATTTTAAACCTGAAGTTAGTTGTCATATAATAGACAAATGGATAACTTCATGGTGTTCTTTCATGATGTGTTTTTTATTAAAAAACCTTTAAAATGAATCCAAACATGATGCATTTCTTTCAAAAAACAAGAAAAAAGAATAAAAAAAAACATTAAACCCGAAGTTAGCAACAATGAAGATAGCAATTTAATTTTTAAATATTAGTGCCAACCTTAACTTTTTTTTTTTTAATTATATTTTTGTTTTGTGACAAATATTGAGACATTTTATAACAATTAAGAATATGTCAAAATGACATTGACATTCCAAACCGGAAGTTGCTTATATCTCGAGTAATATTGGAATTAAACGCATCATGTTTGGACTCATTTTAAAGGATTTTTCACAACCATTACAAATATGTCAAAATTGACGTTGAGATTCTTAACCGGAAGTTGACCATAACTTCATTAATATTGAAGATAAATATGTCGTGTTTGTACTCATTTTAAAGGATTTTTAATGAAGATTACAAATATGTCAAAATTAAGGTTGACATTCTTAACCGGAAGTTGACCATAACTTCATTAATATTGAAGATAAATATGTCGTGTTTTAATTATATTTTTGTTTTGTGACAAATATTGAGACATTTTATAAAAATTAAGAATATGTCAAAATGACATTGACATTTCAAACCGGAAGTTGCTTATATCTCGAGTAATATTGGAATTAAACTTATCATGTTTGTACTCATTTTAAAGGATTTTTCACGACGATTACAAATATGTCAAGATTGACATTCTTAACCGGAAGTTGATCATAACTTCATTAATATTGAAGATAAATATGTCGTGTTTGGACTCATTTTAAAGGAATTTTAATGAAGATTATAAATATGTCAAAATTGAGGTTAACATTTTAAACCTGAAGTTAGTTATTATATAATAGACAAACGGTGTTCTTTCATGATGTATTCTTTATTAAAAAACCTTTAAAATGAATCCAAACATGATGCATTTCTCTCAAAAAACAAGAAAAAAGAATAAAAAAAAACATTAAACCCGAAGTTAGCAACAATGAAGATAGCAATTTAATTTTTAAATATTAGTGCCAACCTTAACTTTTTTTTTTTAATTATATTTTTGTTTTGTGACAAATATTAAGACATTTTATAAAAATTAAGAATATGTCAAAATGACATTGACATTTCAAACCGGAAGTTGCTTATATCTCGAGTAATATTGGAATTAAACGTATCATGTTTGTACTCATTTTAAAGAATTTTTCACGACGATTACAAATATGTCAAAATTGACATTCTTAACCGGAAGTTGATCATAACCTCATTAATATTGAAAATAAATATGTCGTGTTTGTACTCATTTTAAAGGATTTTTAATGAAGATTATAAATATGTCAAAATTGAGGTTGATATTTAAAACCTGAAATTAGTTATCATAGAATAGACAAATGGATAACTTCATGGTGTTCTTTCATGATGTATTCTTATGAAAAAAGAATAAAAAAACATTAAACCCGAAGTTAGCAACAATAAAGATAGCAATTTAATTTTTAAATATTAGTGCCAACCTCAATTTTTTATTTTTTTTTAATTATATTTTTGTTTTGTGACAAATATTAAGACATTTTGTAACAATTAGAAATTGCTTATATCTCGAGTAATATTGGAGTTCCCACACATACGAAGAACCCACATATGTTGGATCGCTTTCCTGGTGTTTGAGGCATTGGAAAGTTTACCATTTCCTCGTAAAGGTAATTAGAACCAGATAAGAGTATGGTTGAGACCAAAGGTCGCCTAATTAGAGTGCAACGTGGTCATATTTCTTCTGACCGTTACGATACGAGATGAAAGATATGCCATTTTCGCGGATCACATGCAAGGAAACGAAGAGAAAGTGCTACATTACATACACGTATTAACCAATAGTAACAATGGAGGAAGTTGCAAATATTATTTTGGATAAGATCAAATAATCAAGGAAAAAAAATTGAAAACGATTTAAAAACTGCATTACTGTTTCCATGGTGATGTGAGCACAATCAGGTAGTTCTTCGCGCATCAGCAAATTCCTGCTATAGTCCTTTCCGGGCACACCAAGGCCATGGAGGAAAGAGAGAGCGAAACAAAACAAATAAGAAACGGATCGAGGCGGAAGAAGAAGAAAGAACTTGCAGCAATACCAATACCAGTGGCTACAACAACTAATTCCTGTAAGACGCGGAACTAAAAAGAAATGTTATTTTAATAATTTTCTTCTTCTTCGTCCCCTTCTTTTAATTGATCACTCAATCGAGTGAATACCCAATGGGTAATTAGTCTTCGGATCCCGACAAACGCGGCGGCTTCTTTTGCGCAACGGAAAACCGCGTTGGGTTTAGAAGATGAGACGTTCTGATTAATCGTCGGAAGCAGCCGATGACGCTCTATAAATCAGCCGGAATCGTCTAACTTTGTCTTTGTTGAACAATGTTTTTCTTTTTTCTTCTTCGCGTAATCGCCGAATAAATCGAGGAAAATTAAGTCCATACTTATACTTTGAGGAACATTTTAAAAAATTCTAAAACCGTTCATGAATATTTATTGAAAAATTATAACTGTAAACGAAGATAATCTGCTTTTTTTTTAATTACAGTTTAACAGTTCTCTTTTATCGAGATAATAATTTTCAAAGTAGAGGAAAAAAATTATGATCGATATTAAATAATACTTTATGAGTTTTTAAAATCTTGACCGATTTCCGCGTATTATGTCATTCTCAGGAGCGTGTCAAAAATCGTTGTTAACTTCTCCTAAAAAATTCTAAAACATAAAAACTAATAAATTGGCAATGTTGGAAAATAGCAAACAGATACCAAAACATTAAAATAAAGGTGTCGAGAAGCTAAGCCTGGGATTGCCTACTCTGGAATTGGAGGCGGAACAAGTAATAACGATAGAAGTAAAGAAATCAATATATAAGGTGAAAAATGATGGTATACTCAGAGACTCTACAAATAGATTAACATCTCTCAAACAAGTTTCTTAATATTACTTTTTGTTTTGTTAAAAAAGATCACCTATCAAAGTCGAAATCAGATTATTAGTTATTAATTTACAAAATTAAATCGACGATTTTTTTAAATCAATGTGAAATGACCCAAAAAAGAAAGTGTCGGAAAGTGACTAACTTCAGTTATAAAACTTCTATTATATGATAACTAACTTCAGGTTTAAAATGTCAACCTCAATTTTGACATATTTGTAATCTTCATTAAAAATCTTTTAAAATGAGTACAAACACGACATATTTATCTTCAATATTAATGAAGTTATGGTCAACTTCCGGTTAAGAATGTCAACGTCAATTTTATTTTTATTTTATTGTTTTCTTTTTTGACACTTTTAGTTTATGCGAAAATGTAAGTTTTCTTTCAACATTTTTTTTCTCAATATTTTTCTAATCCAACCCAACGATTATTATACATCATTTTAAAGAGAAAGCTTTGAGCTTTAATTTAGAATAAGTCTCATTCCTTAATTTCAATAAATACGGCTTCCAGGAATTTTTAAATTAGCATCTTTTTTGACACTTTTAGGTTATACGAAAATGTAAGTTTTATTTCAACATTTTTTTTCTCAATATTTTTCCAATCCAACCCAACAATTATTATACATCATTTTAAAGAGAAAGCTTTGAGCTTTAATTTAGAATAAGTCTCATTCCTTAATTTCAATAAATACGGCTTCCAGGAATTTTTAAATTAGCATCTTTTTTGACACTTTTAGGTTATACGAAAATGTAAGTTTTGTTTCAACATTTTTTTTCTCAATATTTTTCCAATCCAACCCAACAATTATTATACATCATTTTAAAGAGAAAGCTTTGAGCTTTAATTTAGAATAAGTCTCATTCCTTAATTTCAATAAATACGGCTTCCAGGAATTTTTAAATTAGCATCTTTTTTGACACTTTTAGGTTATACGAAAATGTAAGTTTTGTTTCAACATTTTTTTTCTCAATATTTTTCCAATCCAACCCAACAATTATTATACATCATTTTAAAGAGAAAGCTTTGAGCTTTAATTTAGAATAAGTCTCATTCCTTAATTTCAATAAATACGGCTTCCAGGAATTTTTAAATTAGCATCTTTTTTGACACTTTTAGGTTATACGAAAATGTAAGTTTTGTTTCAACATTTTTTTTCTCAATATTTTTCCAATCCAACCCAACAATTATTATACATCATTTTAAAGAGAAAGCTTTGAGCTTTAATTTAGAATAAGTCTCATTCCTTAATTTCAATAAATACGGCTTCCAGGAATTTTTAAATTAGCATCTTTTTTGACACTTTTAGGTTATACGAAAATGTAAGTTTTGTTTCAACATTTTTTTTCTCAATATTTTTCCAATCCAACCCAACAATTATTATACATCATTTTAAAGAGAAAGCTTTGAGCTTTAATTTAGAATAAGTCTCATTCCTTAATTTCAATAAATACGGCTTCCAGGAATTTTTAAATTAGCATCTTTTTTGACACTTTTAGGTTATACGAAAATGTAAGTTTTGTTTCAACATTTTTTTTCTCAATATTTTTCCAATCCAACCCAACAATTATTATACATCATTTTAAAGAGAAAGCTTTGAGCTTTAATTTAGAATAAGTCTCATTCCTTAATTTCAATAAATACGGCTTCCAGGAATTTTTAAATTAGCATCTTTTTTGACACTTTTAGGTTATACGAAAATGTAAGTTTTGTTTCAACATTTTTTTTCTCAATATTTTTCCAATCCAACCCAACAATTATTATACATCATTTTAAAGAGAAAGCTTTGAGCTTTAATTTAGAATAAGTCTCATTCCTTAATTTCAATAAATACGGCTTCCAGGAATTTTTAAATTAGCATCTTTTTTGACACTTTTAGGTTATACGAAAATGTAAGTTTTGTTTCAACATTTTTTTTCTCAATATTTTTCCAATCCAACCCAACAATTATTATACATCATTTTAAAGAGAAAGCTTTGAGCTTTAATTTAGAATAAGTCTCATTCCTTAATTTCAATAAATACGGCTTCCAGGAATTTTTAAATTAGCATCTTTTTTGACACTTTTAGGTTATACGAAAATGTAAGTTTTGTTTCAACATTTTTTTTCTCAATATTTTTCCAATCCAACCCAACAATTATTATACATCATTTTAAAGAGAAAGCTTTGAGCTTTAATTTAGAATAAGTCTCATTCCTTAATTTCAATAAATACGGCTTCCAGGAATTTTTAAATTAGCATCTTTTTTGACACTTTTAGGTTATACGAAAATGTAAGTTTTGTTTCAACATTTTTTTTCTCAATATTTTTCCAATCCAACCCAACAATTATTATACATCATTTTAAAGAGAAAGCTTTGAGCTTTAATTTAAAATAAGTCCCATTCCTTAATTTCAATAAATACAGCTTCCAGAAATTTTTAAATAGGATCCTTTTGACACTTTTAGGTTATACGAAAATGTAAGTTTTGTTTCAACATTTTTCTAATCCAACCCAACAATTATTATACATCATTTGAAGGAGAAAGCTTTGAGCTTTAATTTGGAACAAGTCTCATTCCTTAATTTCAATAAATACAGGTTCCAGGAATTTTTAAATTAGCATCTTTTTTGACACTTTTAGGTTATACGAAAATGTAAGTTTTGTTTCAACACTTTTTTTCTCAATATTTTTCCAATTCAACCCAACAAGTATTATACATCATTTTAAAGAGAAAGCTTTGAACTTTAATTTAGAACAAGTCTCATTTCTTAATTTCAATAAATACGGCTTCCAGGAATTCATTATATCACTAGTGATGTAATGAAATCATTACATCACTAGTTAAAAAAAAGTGATGTTAAATATAAATTTTTTTAACAATAAAAAAAATCCTTAATAACCTTTAATCTCTTCCACTTGAAAGTTAATTTTTCTTCTTCGTTATAATTATCGGGGAAGTCGAAAACGATCCATTGTTCTTTTTTTCATTATTAAACTCGCTCCATTTGATATGGGGGCTGATTGTGGGACAGTTTATTATTGCTACATTTTCCGGACATCGCGGGTGTTCTTATTCTTCGCCTTCGACCAGTTCCGTTACTTTTTTTCCTCCTTTCTTTTCATCTTTTTTCTCCGTATTTACGATAGGACAGCAAAGAACTAAAACAAACTCCACACGCAGCATTGGCGGCGTACGATGACATTCCGGATCGCGGTGCGGAATACGGCACTTTTGCGGTTGCGTCGAGTGAAAATTTACAAGAAAAGTACAGTTAGACACAACTCTTTAAAAGTAGGTTGACGATATCTCGACATTTAAACGTTTTAAAACGTTTTAAAACCATTATAGAGTCTAAGCACTGAAAGCATTTTTTAAATTAAAATTGAAACTTTTAATTAAAAGGAAGTTAAAGGAATTAACAGTTATTTTCTGGGAGTTTATAAAGATCTAAATCGTGCTTAAAACAATGCTGTTAAAACAGTTCTTTTTTTGTCTTTATGTTTTATTTGCACTTTTTAATAAATTTTGCTCTTTTTGTTCTCGATTTCAATTCTTAAACCAATTTCTTTCGGAGAACGCAAAAGAAAAGTTATAAAAATAAAATCTTTCTAAAGAAATCTTGTTGGGTTATTGCTTATTGTTGTTCGCGAAACAATAAGCTGCGCTCGTTTCTGCTCCCATTTCTTCGTAGCAAAGAAGAAGAAAACGAGACGAGACAAAACCAATAGCTATTTTATTTATGATATTATCCTTTTTGTTCTCTCTTCACGCTTTGTTTATGAATAAGAAAAAAAATGATGATGAGAAGGTTTAGTTCTAATTTCCAACGCGATTTATTTAAACAATTAATGGCACGTGTTTAGATAGTAAATTATCGTATAACGTTTATTTTGAATACCGCTAACTGAAATAGTCGTTCGTGCACTTCCAACGAAAACGCAGTTGTAAAAAAAAATCGTTTTGTTTACTATTTATTATTTCAATGTTGTGGTGTTGTCGAAAGAAATTTCGCGAAAACGGTAAACAAAATAATCATATTATTATTATTTCGTTGCAGTTATACGAACTGGACTATGACAAAGTTGACACTTATTATTACTTAACTTTCTTGAGACAGTTATAAAAACAACACCTTTTTTGTTGTTATAGGTAGCAATCTTAACAGACCATGGTTGAATGGACACACGACAAAACCAGAGGATAAACAGTCTACGTTATCCAGGTAAGATTTATTTTGAGTTAAATTACGCGTGGAAATGAAAATTTTTAATGTAATGGTGTAATTAAGAATAACCTTGCGATTAAAATGATTCATTCGTCGGATAAAGTCTTTTTTTAGAACAACCCACCTCGCGAATGTTAGAATTTAAAAATGATTAGTAATCGTAAGAACCAATTTTGTCTACGCACCTGGTTTCTAACCATCTCCTCATGGTAATTGCACCTTCGTGACGCCAATGACACCACACTGGCTTTATTGTTCATATCCGTTGAGGAAACCTTGAAATAAACAAAAAAATTTGGTTAATAATTATTTTTTAATCGTATAACTTTGTTGATAATATAAAATAGCTAACTAGGTGACTTATAACTGTGAAGGTGTTGAAAGTGTTCTTGTACGAAGGATCTCGTAAAGTACTAACAGAATATTTTGTGTCAAAGAATTCTGTTCCTAGAGTAAAGATTAACAATGCGACAAGCAACCTCGGTTTAATTAAGTCAAACGTTCATGATGAGTCTCGTTCTCTAGTATGAAGAATACAAGTTTTAAGGTTCAACAAGTTGGCAGACTCTATGATGGAAAACACAAGCTTCAAGGGGTAATAGCTCATGCTGCCAACAAGTTGGCAGCCTATAGCATGAAGAGTACAACTTTAAAGGTTTAATAACTCATGTTGCCTCAGCTTGCTGATGACCAACAATTCGGTGATCAGCAAAAGGGAAGTGATGCGTCATGTTTCATCAAAACCTTACATGTTGTTATCCAGTAGAGTAAAAAGAAAGTGCGGAAAACTAACTAACCTAGATTAACTTCAGTTATAAAACTTCTATTATATGATAACTAACTTCAGGTTTAAAATGTCAACCTCAATTTTGACATATTTGTCATCTTCATTAAAAATCCTTTAAAATGAGTCCAAACTCGACATATTTAGCTTTAATATTAAATGGAAATATAATCACTTCCGGTTTGAAACGTCAACGTCAATTTTGACATATTTGTCATCTTCATTAAAAAACCTTTAAAATGAGTCCAAACATGATACGTTTAATTCCAATATTACTCGAGATATAAGAAGAAGATGATCAAGATAAGATCGTAACAACAAGATGATAAGAATAAGTAGTTGAATACTTGTAATCAGAAGAACTTAGCTGATTTCAGTTAAGTTGGTGGAAATAATTTTAATGCATTTCTTAATTTAGTAAATACAAAAAAAAAGTGATCGTTGACTCATGACAATTCACGTCAAAGTGATGTAAAGCAAAAAAAATTCCGAAACTAAAATCCCTCCAAAAAATCAGTGCAGCGGATTGACCTAAATCTTCTCGTATTTTTTTAATGTAAAACCAAGACACCAAGAAAAAGATGTTGCTTTTTCTATTTTCTATTGTAATGGCCACGGCAGCCGGCGTAACAGCGTTTTTAATCATCGTCTCCGAAGACTTCAGTAAATTTCGAGAAACATTTTTGACACCAAAACTACCACAACTGCCCTTGGTGACGATGGACGGTGACGTAATCGATACCCGCGAAGAATTGGAAGCCCAATTGGACATCCTCCAGTATAAATTGGAAAAGAAAAAGAGCGAACTTGAAGGATCGAAAAGTCGAATTTTTAGTGCGGCCGAGAGTTTGCAAAAATTAACAACCACATCGGCGGAAATTAGAAAGTACTTTTTACGACTAACAAACGAGGTGAAGAGATCCGAGAAAGATTTGAAGGTTTTAGAGGAACAAATTACCGATTATAAGCAGCGTAAAATCCAATTGGATCAAGTTTTTGGGGAGAAAGGCGACGAGGAAAACATGCCACCGTATAATTGCAATGTTCTTCTTAATAATTTAACTTCGTTTAATATTACCCCGGATTCTTCTAGAGGAAATTTAACAACGTAATTTTATTGGGATGGTTTTCTTTATTTCTCTCGGATTTTCAGTAAATTTTTGATATTTATTCGTGTTTTTTTATTTGTGGAGGTATTTGGTGTTTTTGTAATAAATAAAAAAAATAGTTTAGTTTTTATTTCAATTTAATTTTTTTTTGTATTGGAATTCGCTTCTTCTCGACTTTCCGAATAGATGTCCAAAGATTAACACTTCGTGAAGGAATCCAGTTCCTGCATTACAGAAGTGCACACGAGACGCCTCCGCATGCATCCTGCTGCTTCTCGTCGTCTAATTTGCATGGAATTGCGAGATATACTCGGCCGTCTCAAGAGATCCCGTTTTTTTCTTAAACGTATCCCAACGAAATCGTGTGCTATTGTTCCCTAGGTAACGTCACTGTTACCTCAAAAAAAAAATTCAACTCGAAATTCCATTTCCTCCTTCGAGAATCTTCCAACAATCTAAAACCTTCACGTAACAGTTCTTCTTCGACCGGAAGAAGAAATTCCCGGACTCGAAGAAGGATGACGAAGAAGGAAAAGCGCGACTCTTAATACCGCTATCGCCTCTAATTGGCTAAGAAGAAGAAGAAGAAAAACGATCTCCAAACTAACTGTATTTAATATGCATCTTCTTCCTCTCAACTTCTTCTTCTATTTCTTCTAGGCCCGACTTCAAGTTTCCTTCTTCGACTTCTTCTTTAAAACGATCGTATTTCAATCGTCGTCCACTCGGAGTCGTCGATCAAAGTGATTCGTGGATGTCCAGCCTCTCTGGACAGCCGCGTCTCTCGCCCAAGAAGTAGAAGAAGAAGTAGTAAATAGGAGGAGGGCCGCGCGCGCACAGATTACCATTGGAAAAATCTCTTGGTTTACTGCCCTCGAACGGACGTAACTCTCGCGTTATTGTGACCATCGGCCCACATAACTCCTTACTCGAGAAGAGATGATCTCTCCTCGAAGAACGCTCCTCCGAAGAGGAGATGGACGGAGAAGAAGAAAACTATTTGAAGAAAACGATGCTTGTTGAAGACTTAGAAGTAGACGAAGAAGAAGAAATAGACGGACGAAAGAAACTGTTTACGATACAATGGGCAGTTTCGTATGGTCTTCTTCTTCGTCTCGTCGAAGATGTTAAAGAAGAAACGGACAATAGCTCCATCGACTCTCACTATATACGATTCTCATCAATTAAATAAAAAAATTAATGGAATACCAAAACAATGTAGGGAAAGTAATCAACATTATCATGTCTTTTGCTTAAGATTGTGCTAAATAGGTTCATGAAATCTAAGAAAGAGGCTCCAAGCTCCTAGGTCTACTGTTAGTTCTAGATTTATTTCAATAAAAATGATTTTGGCTAAAAAACCAACTTTCAGGTGCTAATGTCAACTTTAATTTTATTATTATATTCGTGATCTTTATTAAATAACCTTTAAAATGAGCCCAAACATGACGCACTTACCATAAAATACAAAAAAGTTTGAATAAAAAATATTAAACTTCAAGTTGGCAACAATGAAGTTAGCAACATAACTTTTAAATATTAATACCAACCTTAATTTTTGAGATAACTTCGTCATGTTTGGACTCATTTTAAAAATTTTTTAATTTTATTATGAATAAATCATGAAAAAAACATCTATTATATGATAACTAACTTCAGGTTTAAAATGTCAACCTCAATTTTGACATATTTATAATCTTCATTAAAAATCCTTTAAAATGAGTACAAACACGACATATTTATCTTCAATATTAATGAAGTTATGGTCAACTTCCGGTTAAGAATGTCAACGTCAATTTTGACATATTTGTAATCGTCGTGAAAAATCCTTTAAAATGAGTCCAAACATGATACGTTTAATTCCAATATTACTCGAGATATAAGCAACTTCCGGTTTGAAATGTCAATGTCATTTTGACATATTCTTAATTTTTATAAAATGTCTTAATGTTTGTCATAAAAACAAAAATATAAAAAAAAAAAATCAAAAATTAAGGTTGGTATTAATATTTAAAAATTAAATTGCTATCTTCATTGTTGCTAACTTCGGGTTTAATGTTTTTTATTCTAACTTTTTTGTTTTTTGAGATAAGTGCGTCTTGTTTGGACTCATTTTAAAGGTTTTTTTAATAAAGAATACATCATGAAAGAACACCATGAAGTTGTCCATTTGTCTATTATATGATAACTAACTTCAGGTTTAAAATGTCAACCTCAATTTTGACATATTTATAATCTTCATTAAAAATCCTTTAAAATGAGTACAAACACGACATATTTATCTTCAATATTAATGAAGTTATGGTCAACTTCCGGTTAAGAATGTCAACGTCAATTTTGACATGTTTGTAATCGTCGTTTAATTTCAATATTACTCGAGATATAAGCAACTTCCGGTTTGAAATGTCAATATCATTTTGACATATTCTTAATTTTTATAAAATGTCTTAATATTTGTCACAAAAACAAAAATACAATGATTAAAAAAAAAAAAATTAAGGTTGGTACTAATATTTAAAAATTAAATTGCTATCTTCATTCGGATTTAGTGTTTTTTATTCTAACTTTTTTGTTTTTTGAGATAACTGCGTCATGTTTGGACTCATTTTAAAGGTTTTTTAATGAAGATGTCAAATATGTCAAAATTGACGTTGACGTTTCAAACCGGAAGTGATTGTATTTCCATTAATATTACAGTTAAATATGCCGAGTTTGGACTCATTTTAAAGGATTTTTAATGAAGATTACAAATATGTCAAAATTAAAAGTCCGAACTTTTTAGTTAGGGAAGATATACAAGGTGTTTCTAAATTGATGAAAAAAATTTCAAAGACTGATTTTTCAGCAAAAATTACTAATATATTTGAACTAATACTTTATATCTTCTTCTTATAGATATAATAAGTATAAAAGCTTACAATTATAACGTCGTATTCTAGAAATAGAGACACGAGTACTTTTTGACATCAATCTTCCTCTGTATGATGAGTTTTTCCATGCAGTCTTTCTGGATTGCATTATCGCGTATCTTTAGTTCTTCTAGAATCGATGATATTAGTGGCATGCAACATTTATGGTCCATTTTAGTAGTGTTGTCATAGTTTCTTTGAGGATATGGTAGTCTTTTCAAATTTTCAATCTCAACTCAAACCTTCCTTTGCTATTTCGATTCTCCTCTTTATTTGCTGTTCTGGGCTACTTGTTATTTTCGTGTCAGATAAAATTTCGTGTTTTTCTGCATTACAAAATTAAAAATCCCAATATCCTTGCATAATCTTTTTGGATGGCTTGAGGAATACCACGATTGTAATTGTAGGTGTTGGACTATTTGACATAGTATATTCTGGCAGGTCGACCGAGGCGCTACATTCTAAACCATAAAGCGAAAAATATTGTGACCTTAGAATACGAATGACTATTATATATTAAGATAACACATTTTGTTAATGAAATCGGAGTCAATCTCTTGCGGTGAAGATAGAACATTGTGACCATGGAGCACAAATACCTATTGTATGATCTAGAGCACTAGAAGCTATATTAAGAGCTAGAAGAGAACAAATAGTGTTAAGTTATATTTTTATCCTTTAAGTTGAAATTAATTTAACAGGTTAAATATATCTACCCATAGTCTTACAATTCCCATCAATTGAAAAGAAAGAAAAGATGAAAACGATGAAGGTCGAGGGTAATCAACACCGTCTTCTAATTAGAACCCACATCGATCAGTCTTTGTCGTCATCTTCGCCGTGCTTTATCATGTGCGGCTCGTAATGCATCCACCACGAGGAAGATTCAAAAAAGAAACCGAAGAAATTCTTCGGGAATCAATCGTTAATAGATTACCTCTTCTTTTGTAGTCCGCGCCGAGTCTACTACAATGTCATCCATTTTGACGCTTAATAACTCCCTCTTCCGAGAAGGCGTTGCGATAAGAAAAAAAGACCATAGTCATCTTGGTGTTTCAGGTACTGTACCGTCGAGAGACAGAGGAACCAAGTCAATATCCAGGCGGTGAAGAGAGCGTGCAGGGAAAAAGGTACATTGTACGAGGATGTTGATTTTCCAGCGACCACCAGGTCGCTGTTTCATCACAAGAAACCACATCAACATCCCATCGTATGGATGAGGCCACACGTAAGTTTAAAATAATCTTTTTTTTTTGTAATTCGTTTCGTGGAAACTTATCTTTAGAAGCATCTTCAGAGAAATACTCAGTTAACACCTTTTCCTGTCTTCGCGGTAGTCTTTATTGATGTGTTAAATGTACATACACAATAGAGTGCTTCTCGTGTTGCCAACTTTACAACATAGTAGATACTCTCTCTCTGTGTGGAAGTGATTCTTATCGCGATACGTGTAGATCGTTAATGAGAATTATAAAGTTAAGGATTTCTTCTTAAAAGACAACCCATTAACTTCCTATTTTATTTTATTTTACTTTATCAGCGAATCAAAAAGAAATTATTATCTATATTGTTAACCAAGTAAATGTGATAAATCTTCTTGTTGCTGCCGTTTCTTCTTCTGTTGGTGTGGTTACCTTCGCGAAGTAAGAAGAGATGCGATCGGCGCGAGTAGCAGCTTCTTCCTCTCAATTTAACAGAGAGAGCTCGTCTTTTGACGTGGTATATGCCCCGGTCGCGAAAGGGGCACGCACTTCTTGCTGTTTGCAGCACTATAGTAGATAGTATCGACCGCGAGGATTCTTAATGAGAGCGAAAATTCCAAGATTGTACCGATTCAACCGTAATTACGCCGTAAACTTCAAACTTTACTTACAAGAAATCATTCTTTTTATTTATTTAGGAAATGTGTCAAAGACCAAGATTTATTGGTGATAACTCTGGTGATTTACTAAGATTCGCGGTGGAATCCGGAGAACTCGGTGATCAATGGTTATTGGCAGCAGTGGCATCTTTAGCTTTAACCCCTCGATTTTTGGATAGGGTGGTCCCCCCAGATCAAGGATTCGATAATTCGCAATCGTATTGCGGCGTTTTTAGGTGAGTACCAAACACCTCCCAACACTTAGGTTAAGACAAAAGATAATTACTCCTAAATGGAAGAGGTTGAGGAGTAATGGTGGGAAGAAGACGCGTCCAGCTCGTTACGCATCTAATCTACCACTAAGGATCTTCTTAAGATTATCGTTCTTGCATAGAGTCCCACAATAATTCTCGAACACCGCACGAACTCTCTCTTCTTCGTTCCTTTTCTTCGTGTATACGTGCCGAGAAAAGCGAATACCTCCACTTCTCTAATTAGGATAAATCAACTACGACGAAGTACCCAAGAATACCATGTTCTCACCTACAAACATAACCTACACCCAGATTTCATTTTTTTTTGTTACAAAAAATAATTCGAATTCCTTTTTTGGATCCACGAACAAGTTGAGTTCGATTCGATGATGAAGTAGAAGGGGGAATCAATCAATCACGATTTTTTTTTCTTCCACCAGAGACATTAATATAATAAATAACCCATTAAACGGGGCTCCGATTGCCCCCTTCTTCTTCTGCAACGTCTACAACGACGGCGTTGAGGGGAGAAATACGCAAGCATGACAAACGGAATAACTCGGTTGAGACCGTGAGAAAGCCGGCATTAGAAGAAATAAAACTAGCTCTACCCAGAATCGATATGTACATAAAATAAAAAAAAAATAAGTACAATGAAATTCCCCTAAGTCGAATCAAGTGTTTTATTTGGTTTCAAATGTATCAAGTTATAAATAATTATGGTGGTGTCACTTGAACGCTGTCAAAAGTATATACAGGTTGGTTAAAAATGAGCGACAACATTTAAAGTTTTATCAAAACTTCAAATATTGTTGGTTTTAAAAAATTGATTTTATACGAATTTAAAAAAAATTAAGGTTGGTATTAATATTTAAAAATTATGTTGCTAACTTCATTGTTGCCAACTTCTGGTTTAATACTTTTTATTCCCATTTGAATGGTTATTTAATAAGGATTACGATACATCAAAATTAATGTTGACACTATCACCGTGAAGTTGTCAACCTGTGGTTTAAAATGTCAACCTCAATTTTGACATATTTGTAATTTTCATTAAAAATCCTTTGAAATGAGTACCAACACGACATATTTCATTACAATATTAATAAAGTTATTGTCAATTTCCGGTTTCAAATGTCAACGTCAATTTTGACATATTCGTAATTTTAATAAAATGTCTTAAAATAAATATAATTTTTCATAAAAAAACGAAAATATAAGAAAAATGTCAAAAAGTAAGGTTGGTATTAATATTTAAAAGTTATGTTGCTAACTTCAATGTTGCCAACTTGAAGTTTAATATTTTTTATTCTAACCGGAAGTTGCTTATATCTCGAGTAATATTGAAATTAAACGACGATTACAAACATGTCAAAATTGACGTTGACATTCTTAACCGGAAGTTGACCATAACTTCATTAATATTGAAGATAAATATGTCGTGTTTGTACTCATTTTAAAGGATTTTTAATGAAGATTATAAATATGTCAAAATTGAGGTTGACATTTTAAACCTGAAGTTAGTTATCATATAATAGATGTTTTTTTCATGATTTATTCATAATTAAAAAAATTTTAAAATGAGTCCAAACATGACGCAGTTATCTCAAAAAACAAAAATTAAGGTTGGTATTAATATTTAAAAGTTATGTTGCTAACTTCATTGTTGCCAACTTGAAGTTTAATATTTCTTATTCTAACTTTTTTGTATTTTATGGTAAGTGCGTCATGTTTGGGCTCATTTTAAAGGTTATTTAATAAAGATCACGAATATAATAATAAAATTAAAGTTGACATTAGCACCTGAAAGTTTGTTTTTTGGCCATGCTTCGTAATTCATTCAAAAAACACCAAAATCATTTTTATTGAAATAAAACTAGAACTAATACTAGACCTAGAAAGTGTCGAGTTTAGTGTTAATTCTAGTTTTAAATTAGCACTGTTACTATGTGGAACTACCACTATACGTAGAACTAGATTCATTGGGGTTTAGCCGTCTTTAGAGACGTGCGGCTAAACTCGAATGATTCTAGTTCTAGGTATAGTGTTAGTTCTAGTGTTTCACTTGCACTGTAAAAACTAATATTAGTTCTAGTTAGAGAGCGTTAGTTCTAGTTTTAATTGTTATTCAGCGCTTCCGTTCTAGGCCTAATGTTAGTTCTAATGACAGTTCAAGTGTAAAACTAGAACTAACACTATACCTAGAACTAGATGGCTACTCTAATGTTAATGTTAATTTTAGTGCTAGTGTTACCTCTAGTTTTATTTGTTATTCAGCATTCGATTGTCGTATATTTTTCATTGAACTAAAACTAGACCTAGAATGTTTCGAGTTTACCCGAGCGTTTGAAGACGTACTAAAGTACTAAGTAATACATTTGCATTAAAAAAAACTTTATTTTAAATACTAGAACATTTCTTCGGCAGTATGGCTGCATCGCCTTCTAAATAATGCATTTGTATTAAAGAAAAGTATGTTTTATCTTAAGTACAAGAACCACTGCCTCGGCAGCATGGCTGCCTCGGCTTCTAAGCGATGCATTTGTATTAAAGAAAACTTTATTTTAAGTAGAAGAACCACTGCCTCAGCTTCTAAGTAATGCATTTATATAAAAGAAAACTATACTTTATCTTACGTACAAAAACCAGTGCCTCGGCAGCATAGCTGCCTTGGCTTCTAAGTAATGCATTTGTATAAAAGAAAACTATACTTTATTTTAAGTACAAAAACTACTGCCTCGGCAGCATGGCTGCCTCGGCTTCTAAGTGATGCATTCGTATTAAAGAAAACTTTATTTTAAGTGGAAGAACCACTGCCTCGGCTTCTAAGTAATGCATTTATATAAAAGAAAACTATACTTTATCTTACGTACAAAAACCAGTGCCTCGGCAGCATAGCTGCCTCGGCTTCTAAGTAATACATTTGCATTAAAGAAAACTTTACTTTATTTTAAGTACTAGAAGTACTGCCTCGGCTTCTAAGTAATGCACTAAATAGCATACATTTCTAATTTTTTTCGATTAGACTTAATGAAATTTCACTATAATTTAAATGAAATAATTTCCTTTAATTTTATTTTCTAGATTTAGATTTTGGTATTTTGGTGAATGGAAAGAAATAATTGTCGACGATCGATTACCAACGCATAAAGGACGCCTTCTTTACCTTCATTGCGCGAATAGCACGGAGTTTTGGGCACCACTTTTAGAAAAAGCTTACGCAAAGTAAACTTTAATCAAAAATTAATTAAAAAAACATTAATAATTTAATTTTTTAGATTTTATGGATGTTACGAAAATCTTCAGCAAGGCTCGACAACGAGAGCTTTGCAAGATTTAACGGGGGGAATCGTTCAAAGTTTTGGGTTAACCCATCAAGATCGTTTCTTAACGTTTCAAGTATTAAATAGTGCCGTTCCAAGATCGAGTTTATTAATAGCTACAATTCTACCTGTATGTAGTAAACAGTGTTAATTAATTAATTACCGCACCCATTTCATTGCAAGTATGCAACCAATATCACAGTATACGTATTGCAATACGCGATCTGCGATATTGGTTGCATACTCGGGTACGATAATTAATTAACACAAAAAATTTTATCTCTTTTAGGAAAAAGAAAATAAACGTCAATTACGTCTTAGAAATGGTTTAATAACTCAACACGCTTACAGTGTGACCGGTTTGGCGAGAGTTAGAGGACCAAGTGGTGAAACACCTTTAGTTCGATTAAGAAATCCTTGGGCTAGAGGAGAATGGACGGGACCATGGAGTGAAAGATCATGGGAATGGGATGGGTTATCACCGAGAGATAAAGAATTATTAGGAGTTCGAGTAATAAACGATGGGGAATTTTGGATGTCTTTCGATGATTTCGCTCGGAATTTCACCCAATTAGACTTGGTTCATGTTGGCCCGGATGATTGGATGTTAGAGGCAGCCCTGCATTCGAAACAACCGTGGAGGGCAGTTTTAGCTCGGAGAAGATGGAGATCTGGGTACAACGCAGGCGGTGGTCCCGGATATTTAGAGACGACCGCTTTAAACCCGCAATTTCACGTTCAAATTCCAAGAAGTTCGAGTAATAAATGCCACGTGGTCGTTTCAATTACGCAATATTACGAGTCAAATCCCGGCGAATTAAAGAAAAAGGAGAGTTTGTTTGCAATTGGATTCGCGGTGTATGAAGTTCCGCATTCGATGCCGAGATTAACGCCACATTTTGTTGCGGAACAAGTAAGAAAGAATCATTGAAGAAATAAATTAGTAGTAATAAATAAAAATTATTTTAGAAACCTCTCGATGTAACGAATCATTCAATAGCAAGAGAGGTTGTTACCTTTTTTACTTTACCCCCTGGTGATTATATCGTTGTTCCTCAAACCAATATTCCTAATTTAGATGGGAAATTTTTGTTGAGGATTTTCACAGATGAGCAAAGTAATATTTGGGAGGTGAATGATGACAACATGGTTATTAGGAATATTACAACGGAATTTTTGGAGGAATCTATAAGTGTATTTAATTTTGTTTATTTTATATAAAAGAATTCATTTTTTGTTTTATAGTCTGATGGTAAATCAATTTTGAATAAGCTCCTTTCGAAATATCCACCAGAAATCGATGCTAGTCAGTTGCAAAAGATCTTAAAAGGTCATTGGAAGCATTATCTTCCCGAAAAACCAACGTTGGAATTGTGTAAAAGTTTAATTATGATTCGGGATTATAATATAAGTGGAAGAATTAATATTCTTGATATACCCGTTTTAATGAATATGTTACAATTTTGGAGGGTAATTAATTATTTCTAATTACAATATAACCTCGATATAACGGATTCTTAAACATAAATGTAAATAGAATCCAATTTGTGTTATTCCCCTAAATGCTGTATTCCATTTTCATAGATAAACTCAGGGTATTCCCCGAAAAATACCCTGAGCTGTTTTAACACAAGCCATCAATGGAAAATCTCAACCATTAGTATTCTTTTTCAAAAAATTTACTTCATGCCAAACCAAATATTCAACTTTTGATAGAGAACTATTAAATGCCATCAAATTTTTCAAACATTTTTTTAAATTACATTTAAAAAAAAAGAAAGTTGGCGCTGCATCTTGTTTGACAGCTAAACAGTTGAAAATTTTGTTAACATAAGATTTTATTTAGCCAAATTCACATTTCAAATTTTATATTGATGCGACAAGTACTTTTGGAGATATTAAACAGTTTCCATACTTAATGAACACCTTGTATATTTTTATTGAACTAAAATAATGCATTTGTATTAAAGAAAACTTTATTTTAAGTTTTCCACTGCCTTGGTTTCTAAAGACTACATTTGTATTAATCCTAGAAAGATACTCTGCGTAAAATTGACGCATTTAAAGATTCTGCATTTTTTGTATAAATAAATAAATATAAATTGTGATATTTATTATTTCACCCTGTATATAAATATACAGGGCGATTCACTTTGCTCTGTGTGGGTTCTTATGTGAATCACCCTGTATAATAAAGATTGGTTTATTCAAATCAATAAATAAATTCCTGAATTATTAATCCGTTATATCGAGGTTTTACTATATTAAATAATTTTTCTCTAATAAATTATTTTTAAATTATTAGTTAGCGTTTCAAAAAATGGAAAGAAGTCACAACAGTGGAAAAACTTCAAGTTATAACTTAAGAGCTTTACTTTGGGAGACCGGATGTACCGTTAGTAATAAAGTTTTGGAATGTGTGGTATTGAGATTTGCCAAAAATAAGATTTTAACGGCCGAAAATTTCATTATGGCTATGGTTAGGCTACATTTAGCACACGGTAATTACCACCTAATTAAAAAAAAATCCAATAACTAATTTAATTTTTTAGAACGATATCATAGTTTGGACACAAAAACGAAAAGTAACCCCATTTCTTTAGAGGAAATGATCCTAATGACGATATATTCGTGAAGAATTATCGCCGTCTATATTATTATTAATAATTTCTTTAACCAAAGAGAAAAATTATCTTATTAACGAGTTTGATTATTTAAATCGATTTAATTATAAGTATTTATTTATTATTATTTTTTTTCTCGGTTAATTTCTTCGCCCATTTTATTTTTGTAAACTTCTAATCTTTAAACAGACTGAAACTATTTGGGCCTTATCAATAAAAATGGTATTTATATCCATTAATAGGAGTAGGTCCTTTTTTATTGATGGGGTCCTTTATAATTTATAAATAAACCTATTATTTGCGCGACGACACTAATTTTAAGACAAAATGAACGTTGTTTTTGTTAAATATTTAAAAAAAAATGTAATTTGAGAAAAAAATAAATTAAATTCAAAATAATAAGAAGTTTTGTTATTTAATATAAATATTAATTTAGTGATAAAAAAAAATTGAGATGTAGGCAACCCAAATTACTAAATTGTCAAGGATTTTAAGCAATTTTCTGTATCATATTATGCTGGCTTATTATTATATAATAATATGATACAGAATTAATTGTTAGATAATTTTATCTTGCTTTAGAAAAATTTTCACCATGTAGTAACAAATAGCAATACTTTTCTTAATAAATAATAATGCAATAATAAATCTAAACCACATTTAGTCTCTTAATTTGTTGTTTTTTAAGAATTATTTCACTTACCTGGATGTAGGAGAGGCTGGACATAAGAATAACTTCAGATTCACTTTCAGATAGGCCTAAGACAAATTAATGGTTTTTAGATAAATCAGCAATTGGTAAGAATCATATTTACCTTATTTATTCCTTCCAAATAGACTCATGAATAGTAATAACCCCATTCATTTTATTAACCTAAAAAAATAAAACATTTTATTATTTCATTCATGATATTGTCTCAAGTGAAGACAAAATAAATATGTACTTACTTCCAATATGGTCAACATTTTCATCCTTTCAGCTGCATAATCTTCAAGACAAATGTTGGAATTATTTGAATTACACCCAGCTTCAAAATTTCTAAGAGGAAAATAAAGTAAAAATATAAAATTAGTTAATCAGGAATAAAAATCTTGAAATAACATTAAATTACATAGAAAACACTCACGTTATAATATAATCTCCGAGACAATTGTTGGAATTATTTGAAATAGTTCCAGCTTCAAAGTTACATAACCTCACAATTAGGGATGAATCCAAATAATTAATCACCCCTTGCATTATTTCCCTATAAAACATTAAATTATTATTATAGAACCACGACAAAATGCGTGTTACCTTTTAAATGGTATTAAAACTAACATTTTTAACGATTTTAACAATGAAAATAATTTTAATACTAAAAAAAAATTAAGTCAAATTTTTAAGGTTATGTTTTTTGTTTGTATTGAAAATTTAAAATTATTGTATATGCAACCCAAATTACAAATATTTAAAAAAAACTTTAATTTTCGTTTTTCTTACTTTTTTTTAAATATAACAAATTAATTTTTATGAATATCAATTTTAATTTATATTAAAATAAATTATATACTTTATATAAAAAATACTTACGTACGTTAAGTAGTTTCCAAGATAGATTTTGAATTTTATTTAGAATTCAATCATTCAGGTTCAACATTTCTAGAGTGAGCTGCTCTTCACCACGTTTCTTGTTGCTTTTCTTCCACTAATAACCTTTGGCTCCTTCTAGATAACCTCACAATTAGTGATGAATGTGGATAATTGTTCATCCATCATAGTTTTCCTAGAAATCAAATTTTGACTTTGAAATATGTATTACCTCTTAAATAGTGATAACACTAACAATTCAAACAATTTTAATGATGAAGACAACTTTAATATTAAAAAAAATTGTTTAAATCAAATTTTTAAGGTTATGTTTTTTGTTTGTATTGAAAATTTAAAATTATTGTATATGCAACCCAAATTACAAATATTTAAAAATTTTAAAAAAACTTTAATTTTCGTTTTTCTTACTTCTTTTTAAATATAACAAATTAATTTTTATGAATATCAATTTTAATTTGTATTAAAATAAATTGTATACTTTATATAAAAAATACTTACGTTAAGTAGTTTCCAAGATAGATTTTGAATTTTATTTATAATTCAATCATTCTAATCATTCATTTTCAACATTTCTAGAGCGAGCTGCTCTTCACCACGTTTTTTGTTGCTTTTCTTCTACTAATAACCTTTGGCTCCTTCTAGATAACCTCACAATTAGTGATGAATGTGGATAATTGTTCATCCATCATAGTTTCCCTAGAAATCAAATTTTTACTTTGAAATAAGTATTACCTCTTAAATAGTTCAAACAATTTTAATAATGAAGACAACTTTAATATTAAAAAAATTGTTTAAATCAAATTTTTAAGGTTATGTTTTTTATTTATTTGTATTGATAATTTAAAATTATTGTGTATGCAACCCAAATTACAAAAATTTTTAATTTTGTTTTTTCTTACTTTTTTTAATATAACAACTTACACAAATCGTTTCCAAGACAATTTTTGATAGCTTTAAAGTTTTCAGAACAAGCTCCTCTTCACCACCTTTCTCATCACTTTTCCTCTATTATTATATCTTCAGCCTCTTCTAGATAACCTCACAATCAGCAATTAATAAAAAATAATTGATCTCCTTTTGCATTGTTTACCTAGACAAAATCAAATTTTAAATATAACAAAAGTGGTAGTAAGTGGTATTAACTTAATTTTCTTCTTACAATATTTATTATGTTTATAATTAAAATTAAATTCGTTGCAACCAAAGTTGCCTAATTGTATTTTTAGTTGCCTATATCAACATTGATTTTAATTTGCATTAAAATTAGTTAATCAGGAATAAATAATAAATTAAGCGATAACATTACACAGAAAACACTCATATCCAGACATTGATAGGATGATAATTATTTTTTAATCAAATCCAACCATCTGTTGGAGTTGTTATAAAAAAGGGAGAGATAACTTTAACATTTAACATCGAGCTTTCAGTTGAATTAGTTGACTAAAGCTCAACATTAAAATGCTTGAATTTGGGTTGTTTTTTGATAATGAAGAAAATATAACAATCAAACCGGTAATTTAATTAATTAATTGTAATTTATTTTTATTATTAATTTTGTTTAAGAATGGAAATATTCTCCCAGCTAATAGTGAAGACAGCTTAAAATATTTATCATTTTTGGAACGTTCGATTTTCTTCTCCGTGTTTTTTTTAGTTTATATCATAGCTTTATCGGGAAACATCGCCGCGATTTATGTCACTTTAAACAGGAAGCATCGTTTTATACAAAAAACTTTAATCATCTCTTTGGCTTCGTCGGATTTAATTATGGCAACGGCTTACACAGTTAATTATTTAGAAACGTTTTCTCACGATCTTGTCAATTGGGTTAAACTTAATAAATTAATTTTAATTAATAAATATGTAACAAATTCTTTTTTAGACTATGGGGGTATTTTTGTGTGGAGCAATTCCTTTTTTGCAAATTTTTGGGGTCATCGCAAGTTCTGGAGCTTTAGTGGCGATTGCTTTGGATAGATATAGAAATGTTGTTCATGTAACAAAACAAAGATGGAACCCGAGTTTCTCTCATTGCATTTTTATGATATCAACGATGTGGATTATTTGCGCGGTTATATCTTATCCAATAACAATTTGGTTCGAACATAAAGAAGTTAACGTTTATTTCTCGGATGGGCGTCAACCACCGATTGAGCGTATGTTTATGTGCTTATCAATGGAAAAAGATAAACTAAAAATTTATTACATCTTCATAGCAGCCACTATTTTTTTACCACTTTTCGTAATCTTCACTTGGTTATATTGCAACATAGCAAAATTGGTGTGGAAACATCGAAAACCTTTAAGTGTTAGATTCGAGAAAAACCAAGAAAATTCTTTAGAAACGGTTACCTCGCAAATAAAAACCGACGATTCTATTTCAACGATTAAAATTATGCCAAAATCACCCCCGATTATCATGCCTAAACAAAAACCGAACAGCGTTAAAAGAAAAATACGCACTTTTAAGATTATTATCGTTTTAATGATGGCCTTTTTGTTATGCAGAATCCCATATTGGACTTTTAACATCTTAAAGTTAATTAATACATATAGGGAACATCATTATTGGATTTTAACGTATCTTTTTAACGGATTGGCACTTCTTAATTGCGCTATGAACCCTTTTTTGTATACTTTTTTGAACGAAACCGTCGATTATTTATCGCGGATTACAAAGATTTTGAATGATTTTACTTGCCAAGTTTGTTGCTGTTGCTTCTCGAACACTGAATTTGAAGATTTCGGCAAAGAAAATCCTTTTATGGATAATTATAATAACTTTGAGAATAAACAATGTAATAAAAAATGATTCAATTATTATTAATATTGATGGAAATGTAGAGCTTAGAAATAAAAATCGTTTATGTCAACTGGTCTTTTTTTAATATTATTTTGAACAGATTTATTTTCGCATGCGTGTTGAGTTTCTATTGTTCCTGGTTTGTTCTAAAAATAAAATAAGTCCTGAATAATCTCGTCCATTGTCGCTCTGGAAAGGTACGAGAGAGTGTCTGCCATAAAAATCAAACAATTTGACGTATTTAATTGTCTAAATGAAGTTTTGGTATTAAATTTATGTTGATGTGCTGATTATTAGATATTCCATGTAAGTAATTTGAGTTCTAAATATATTTCATAATAATTTTTGTTACTTAATATGATGCTAAACGTATTAGAAATCTACTCGTCACTAGATGGCGCCTTTGGTTTCTATTTTGTAGTTAATTTTAGCACATATTTTGGAGTATTAAATTGTAATCACCTAAATTAATTAATTAAATGTCATTCTGATATCATTTTTTATTATAAAAAAATATTTATTATCGATTAATAGAATATGTAGTAACGCGACTAACTTCATAACTATTTTCTATACTTCACGACTACCAAAATTTTAACAAAGTATTATGAAACACATCGTACTTAAAATCAATACAATTGGACAAAAATGGGAACACCCTACACTTATATTGCATAAAAGTATATACCGACGATATGGCAATGTCGCTCGAGCAACGTTGCCAGATCGTTGGTATATACAGTACGCGTCATAAGTAAACCCCCTGTTCTAATTTGAAAACGGTTCAAAATAGATATTGACGCATCTAAGAGTAAAAGTGCAAGAGAGCAATATTGCTAACAATAAAATTTGCTACAATTTTTGTTCTAAAAGATTTTTTATAACATGCTCCGATTCCCGAGTGTTACCTTTAATAACTTGAAAAAGCAACAAATTCATCAAATTTTCATATTTTCGTATCTATCTCGATATTGACGTATCTAAGAGCAAAAGTGCAAGAGAGCAATATTGTTAACAATAAAATTTGCTACAATATTTGTGCTAAAAGTTTTTTTGTAACATGCTGCGATTCCCGAGTGTTACCTTTAATAACTTGAAAAAGCAACAAATTCATCAAATTTTCATATCTTCGTATCTATCTCGATATTGACGTATCTAAGAGCAAAAGTGCAAGAGAGCAATATTGTTAACAATAAAATTTGCTACAACTTTTGTGTTAAAAGTTTTTTTTAACATGCTGCGATTTCCAAATGTTACCTTTAATAACTTGAAAAAGCAACAAATTTATGAAATTTTCATATTTTCGTATCTCTCTCAATATTGACATATCTAAGAGCAAAAGTGCAAGAGAGCAATATTGCTAACAATAAAATTTGCTACAATTTTTGTTCTAAAAGATTTTTTATAACATGCTCCGATTCCCGAATGTTAATTTTAATAACTTGAAAAAACTACAAATTCATCAAATTTTCATATTTTCGTATCTAACTCGATATTAACGTATCTAAGAGCAAAAGTGTAAGAGAGTAATATTGTAAACAATAAAATTTGCAACAATTTTTGTTATAAAAGTTTTCTTATAGCAAGCTCCAATTTCCAAGTATTACCTTTAGTAACTTGAAAGAGCAACAAATTCATCAAATTTTCATATTTTCTCGATATTGATGCATTTAAGAGCTAAAGTGCAAGAGAGCAATATTCTTAACAATAAAATTTGCTACAACTTTTGTGTTAAAAGTTTTTTTGTAACATGCTGCGAACACCCAAATTTACCCACCCTGTATATCAAGGTTGCATTTATCGTCTCAGGTTCTTCTCATAACGTGTGTATTCGAGTGATATATCGAAAAGTAGGCATGTGTGTGCATTTCATTATTTATTATGCATGATTGAAGTCTATGACTAGCATGTGGATATTACTGTGAAACTCGTCATGATATTAGAGCTGTCTGAACTCAGCTTGATATGCACCTACATTTTGGGGGTATTCTAGATTTAATTCATGTTGGGGTTGGGGTGTATTCGTAGTAAGGAGTTTTTGGAACACCACGTTGTTGCATTTCTTGAGGACAGAACAGAGAAAATTTGGCGCATTCAAGCCGCACTTTGGACGAAGGAAGTTGCATCTTTTTCTTCAATATCGCTACAGCCCAAATCGAGCGTTGACGTCCTCGATGCTTCGCCTATATATGTCTCGGTCTTTGGTCACTCTTCCAGTATCACGTTGTCTTGGTCTTGGTCCAGTCTTCCTCCGGGATGTGTCAGAAAGTGTCGTATCCTCCACTCAGATGAAGAATTTGGTTTTGCCTTCGTTGATCATTAGTTCCCAACCTCGCTTCCAAAGGATTTCTTAATGCCTACATTGATCTGCCAATGATGTTAAGATTATCGGCATATCAGCCCATTTGAACAGAGTTGTGCAACAAAGTTGCGTTCAAAATGCGAGTCCGCCTAAAATTTTTCATAGAACTGTTTTTGGTGATAAAGAGTTGTTGACCTACCCGATCAGAAATCAGCTTGACATTCCCATATGTTTTCGGCGTATTTTAGATTTAACACTATGGTGTTACTTTTGACAGAAAACAGAAAATGTACACTCTAAGATCAAATTTTAGAGCAGCGTTATTTGGCAAAAGATACATAAAGGCAGAATTATTAATAATAAATTAATTTGGTGAGGATAGCAAGCGCGGTTTTCGATAATTATGCAGCTAGTTTTAATGGCACAACTCCAATTTGGCTTTATAATTAAACCAATAACTCTTTTTAAGTACGTATTAACCTAGATACAAAAAACTTACATCATATTTAATAAATTTTAAACAAATCCGACGTTTAATTAATTAGCCAAACTAAAATTAAAGTACATTAACCAGATCGATCACTCTCTCCAAACAGTCTAAATCGAAACGAAATGGATTCAACACAACAAAAATGTTACGTTTGCGGCAAAGAAAGTTCAAGAAAATGTAGCCAATGCAAAGAGATATTTTACTGCGGCGAACAGCACCAGAAAATCGACTGGAAACGGCACAAATTCGACTGCGCTTTCGTGGTAAGTCAAAAATAAGTTTCGACCTCTTTTTGGGAACTTTCAAAGCGATTTTTGGCCCCGATCCAAGCTTATGAGGTAAATATGTTCGCAATCTATATACACGATTTCCCCCTACTCTAAACCTATTTATAAAATCCTAAAACTCCGAGAATCGCGTTTAAGATTTCTTTTAAAAAAACTAACTCTAAACAGTAAGATGAGTGTGTGCTCGAAATGCGGGAAAAACGCGGAAACGAAATGTTCAGCTTGCAAATCGATTTATTATTGTTCGAAAGAATGTCAAGTGCAAGATTGGAAGGTGCATAAAGATAACTGTCGAGGTTGCGAGGTAATTTTGCTTCAATCTTGATTTTTTTGGGCTATTTCAAAGTTATTAAAGAATTTTTTTTTGTAAAGTATGTTACAGATCCAAATATGGGGCGATGTTTAATCGCAAAACGCGATTTAAACCCAGGGGATGTAATCCTGATTGAAGCCCCGATTGCTTTTGGACCAAGACCCCACCTCGTCGAGGAAGGCCCCGTTCCTTGCGTTGGTTGTTGCAGATTAATCATGGCAGAAAAGTCACCGAGATGCGAAGGTTGCGATTGGCCCGTTTGCCACAACGATTGTGTTGGATTAAAAGACCCCAATAAACACGGCCATGAATGTTTCATCTTACGCCTAAGAACCCATAAAGCTCTCGATGGGTTACACGAATATTATCGGCAAGACGCTTTGTTCGCTTTGAGGTGTTTAATGGTGCAAAGGAAAGGGATTAAGAAGTGGATGCAATTTCTTTCTATGGAGAGTCATATGGAGAAGCGAGGTGTTGGGACAGAAATTTATAAGTAACTAATACACTGTGTTAATTAATTATCGTACTAGACGTCATCAAGTATGCAACCACGTATTGCAATACGAATACTGATAAATAATGATGACGTCGGGAACGATAATTAACTAACACGCAGTACTTTATTAATTTAAAAACATTTTATACTCCCTTTGTCCCAAATTATGTTATACATTTCTCTAAAATCTTTAAGATTACGTTTTTTGTTGTCTTTAAATCGTTAGTTTTTTTTTAATAATTTTTTAATTCAAAATAGATGTTGGGAAATGAAAGAAAACTAAAAATGCTTTAAAATGAGTCCAAACTCGATATATTTCCTTTTATTTGTTGCTGATATATCAATTAAATAAAAAAAATTTGACAGTTGACAGTTCTTAACCTAACTTTTTTAATTTTTAACGGAAATATGTCGAGTTTGGTATTAAATTAACGGATTTTTATTGATCTTTAAGATTACGTTTTTTGTTATGTCCTTAAATCGTTAGTTTTTCTAAATAATTTTTTTATTCAAAATAGATGTTGGGAAATGAAAGAAAACTAAAAATGCTTTAAAATGAGTCCAAACTCGATATATTTCCTTTTATTTGTTGCTGATATATCAATTAAATAAAAAAAATTTGACAGTTGACAGTTCTTAACCTAACTTTTTTAATTTTTAACGGAAATATGTCAAGTTTGGTATTAAATTAACGGATTTTTATTGATCTTTAAGATTACGTTTTTTGTTATGTCCTTAAATCGTTAGTTTTTCTAAATAATTTTTTTATTCAAAATAGATGTTGGGAAATGAAAGAAAACTAAAAATGCTTTAAAATGAGTCCAAACTCGATATATTTCCTTTTATTTGTTGCTGATATATCAATTAAATAAAAAAAATTTGACAGTTGACAGTTCTTAACCTAACTTTTTTAATTTTTAACGGAAATATGTCGAGTTTGGTATTAAATTAACGGATTTTTAATGATCTTTAAGATTACGTTTTTTGTTATGTCCTTAAATCGTTAGTTTTTTTAAATAATTTTTTTATTCAAAATAGATGTTGGGAAATGAAAGAAAACTAAAAATGCTTTAAAATGAGTCCAAACTCGATGTATTTCCCTGTATTTGTTGTTGATATATTAATCAAATAA